CCAAAGACTTTTTTCGAAATGACTGAAACACTGGACTTGATTGATATATGGAGAGTAAGGAACCCTCTGGAGAGAGAGGGAACCTTTTTCTCTGAAGCAAAAATGACATGGACAAGGATCGACCAAATTTGGGTAACTAGTAGCATGGCGCCAAAGATAAAAAAAGTAGAAATCTGCCCAAAGACTTGCTCCGACCATAATGCTGTGAAGATGGAGATGAAACTAACAACAACTGGAACCTTCAGATGGAGGATGAATGACGCCCTATTCAGAGATGAAGAGATTTATAAGAAGGCCCAAAAAACTCTGAAAGACTATTTTGAGATAAATTTGAGAACAGATGTGGAGAAAAGAATAATATGGGACGCAAGCAAGGCCGTGATGCGAGGTTTCCTAATACAACAAAATTCCATAAAGAGGAAAAAGCAGAATGAGAGGAAAGAAAAACTTTTGGAAAAGATAAAAGAAGGTGAAAAGAAATTGAGGTCTAAACCAAAGTCTCATGAGATTTTGAGAGAAATAAAGTATTACCAGACGCAATATATGGAATTGATGAATCAAGAGATAGAATGGAAAATAAAGCAAATGAGACAAAGAACATTTGAATCGGCAGACAAATGTGGGAAACTTCTGTCATGGCAATTGAAAAAGAGACAAAAACTGAACACTGTGACAAGTTTGGAAATGGATGGAAAAATTATCCACAAACCAAATGAGATAAGCAATTGCTTTCAAAGTTTCTTTAGGAAACTATATGCACAAGGGCCAGTTGATGAGCAGGAAATAGAAGAATTTATTAAGAAGTATGGACTACCAAAGATCTCATATCAAAGTAAAATGATTCTGAATGAGAAAATAACAGGACAAGAAATAGAGGGTGCCATTCAGAATATGCAGTTGGGAAAATCTCCAGGACCAGATGGCTTAACGGCTAGATACTACAAGGCATTGAAGGAATGGATAATACAACCATTGAAGGAGGTCTGTAATGAAATTTTGGAAGGGAAAAAGGCACCTGAATCGTGGAAAGAAGCTTTTATTTCACTTATACCGAAAACAGAGACTGAAAAGAACCAGGTTAAAAACTACCGCCCTATATCATTACTTAATGTGGATTATAAAATCTTTGCAGACATTTTAGCAAAAAGACTGAAGAGAGTGCTGATAGGGGAGATTCACAAGGACCAAACAGGCTTTCTTCCAGGGAGACATATGTCGGACAATGTGAGGAACATTATAGACATTTTGGAACTGCTGGAAGTGAACATTAATAGAAAGGCGGTTTTGATTTTTGTGGATGCGGAGAAAGCCTTTGATAATATTTGTTGGACCTTTATGAAGAAGAATCTCCAAGGGATGGGGGTAGGCCAAGGTTTTGAAAACGGTATAGGTGCTATATATTCTAAGCAAAAAGCAAAGTTGATTGTGAACAATGTGGTTACGGAAGAAATACCTATAGAAAAAGGCACACGACAGGGATGCCCAATATCCCCTTTACTTTTTATAAGAGTCCTGGAGGTCTTGTTAAACATGATTAGAGGGGACCAATTGGTTAAAGGAGTTCAGGTCGGAGCCAGAAATTACAAACTAAGGGCATTCGCAGATGACCTAGTATTGACTTTGCAACAGCCAGATACTAGTACCAAAAGAGTATTAGAACTAATTGAGATATTTGGTCAAGTAGCAGGATTTAAACTGAACAAGCAAAAAACTAAAGTGTTGGAGAAAAATCTAACAATGGCAGAAAAAGAGAAGTTTCAGAGTGAAACAGGTTTAGTAATAACAAAAAAGGTGAAGTACCTGGGTGTGAACTTGACTTCTAAAAATGTGAATTTATTTAAAGACAATTATGACAAATGTTGGACAGAGGTGAAGAAAGATCTAGAAATATGGTCAAGGTTGAGACTTTCCTTGTTAGGCCGAATTGCTGTCATCAAGATGAATGTATTGCCTAGAATGTTGTTTTTATTCCAGACACTCCAGATCCTGGACAAAATGGACTGTTTCAAGAGGTGGCAAAAAGACATATCAAAATTTGTCTGGCAGGGCAAAAAGCCCAGAATAAACTTTAAGATCTTAACTGATGCAAAAGATAGAGGGGGGTTTGCCCTGCCGGACCTGAGACTTTATTATGAATCGGCAGCGTTCTGCTGGCTGAAACAATGGCTGCTTCTTGAGAACACAGACATTTTGGATCTGGAAGGGTATGACAACAGATTTGGTTGGCACGCATATATATGGTATGACAAGGTAAAAATACATAAAGGTTTTAAAAACCATATTGTCAGGAAAGCACTATACAATGTTTGGATAAGATACAAAGATCTACTGGAAAGTAAAACTCCCAGGTGGCTATCACCAATGGAAGCTAAAGAGACAAAAAAACTTAATATGGAGTCCAAATGGCCAAAATATTGTGAAATTTTAGAGCAAGATGGTGAAAGGGTTAAATTACAGAGTTATGACAAATTAAAGTCTAAAGTACGAGATTGGCTGCACTACCTTCAGATAAACGAGGTATTCAAACAGGACAGGAAAATAGGTTTTCAGATGGAGAGGTCGAAATTAGAAACAGAATTGTTAGAACCCAATACTAAGAACTTGTCAAGAATGTATAATTTGCTGCTGAAATGGAATACACAAGATGAAACAGTAAAATCAGCTATGATCAAATGGGCACAAGACATAGGTCATGACATTATGTTTGATGACTGGGAAAGGTTATGGAATACTGGTGTTAGGTTTACGGCTTGTAATGCTTTGAGAGAAAACATAATGAAAATGATCTATAGGTGGTACATGACCCCAGTCAAACTTGCAAAAATTTACCATTTGCCCAATAATAAATGTTGGAAATGTAATGAGACTGAAGGTACTTTCTATCACCTTTGGTGGACCTGCCCGAAGATTAAAGCCTACTGGGAAATGATCTATAATGAAATTAAAAAGGTCCTTAAATGGACATTTTCTAAAAAACCAGAGGCTTTTCTCCTGGGCATGGTGGGCCAATTGGTGCCAAGGAAGGACAGAACTTTTTTCATGTATGCTACCACAGCAGCAAGAATTCTTCTGGCAAAGTATTGGAAGACGCAGCAGCTACCCACTCTGGAAGAATGGCAAGCGAAGGTGATCGACTACATGGGAATGGCAGAGATGACCGGCAGAATCCGTGACCAGGGAGTGAGACAGTGGAAGAAGATTGGAAGAAATTTAAAATATACCTTAAAAATTGTTGTAACATTGAGGAGTGCTGAGATGTTATGGTGTTAAGAAACAGAGAATTGCAGCTGTAAATCATAAATTTAAGGGAATTATGAAGAAGATGAGTTAATTAATTAAATGGAGGGTTGCTGTCAAAAGGGAAAAATAAGGATGCAGAAAAAGGGAGGTATGGGAAAGTCCGGGAAATAAGGTGAAGGAATATGAGTTTATGAAATTATACATGTTTATTTGTTTGTATGTTTTGTTTTGTTTTATTGTTTGTTTTTATTACATGTCTGGAAAATTAATAAAAATTATTAAAAAAAAAAAAACAAATTCTTCAGGTCGGGCATTGTTTTCTTTATCGGAGAAGACTGAGGCAAGGCATTGAGGAGTTCAGCCCTTTCTGTGTCCCCTGTTTGCATTTCACCATCTTCTCCTCTGAGTGACCCCACTGTTTCTTTGTTCTTCCTTTTGCTACGAACATACCCATAAAAGCCTTTTTGTTGCTTTTAACCTCTCTAGCAAGCCTGAGTTCATTCTGTGCTTTAGCTTTTCTGACTTTGTGTCTACACGTGCTGGCTATTTGTTTGAATTCCTCTTTGGTGGTTTCCCCCTTTTCCATTTTTGTACACATCCTTTTTAATCTTAACTCAGTTAAAAGTTCTTTAGATAGCCACCCTGGCTTCTTTAAGCACCTTCCATGTTTCCGTCTCATTGGTATTGCCTGACGTTGTGCTTTTACTATCTCCCTCTTAACAAACTCCCAGCCATCATGAACTCCCTTTCCTTTTAGTATTACTGTCCATGGGATCTCACCCAGCACTTCCCTAAGTTTTATGAAGTCGGCTTTCTTAAAGTCAAGAAATTGAGTCCTAGTATGCTTGGCTGCTCCTTTCTGCTGTATAGTAAACTTCAGAAGAGCATGATCACTCGCACCTAATGATCCTTCCACTTCTACCCCAGTAACCAGGTCATCAACATTGGTTAGGACCAGATCTAAAATGGCTGTTCCTCTTGTTGCTTCTCCCACTTTCTGGACAATGAAGTTGTCTGCAAGGCCAGTGAGGAATCTGTTTGACCTTATGCTCTTGGCTGAGTTTGACATCCAACAAATATCCGGGTAATTGAAGTCCCCATTACTACTATCTCCCTTCCTTTTGCATGCTTGGCCATCTGTTCCAGGAAGGCATCATCTATGTCCTCCGTTTGGCTTGGGGATCTATAGTAAACTCCCACAATGAGGTCTCTGTTATTCTTCTCTCCCTTAATTTTGACCCAAATGCTCTCACTTTGGCTTTGAGGTTCTAAATCTTGGATTTCTTCACAGGTATACACATCCCTGACATATAACGCCACTCCTCCTCCTTTCTTGTCTGGTCTGTAGTCCCAAAACATCTGGAGGGCCAAGTTTGGGGATGCCTGTTCTAAGATATTGCAATATTTTTACAGTTACTTGTGGCACAGTAACACGAAAGTTTGACTTCTTAATCATAGGGGAGAGTGCTACTTGAGCCTGTGATCCTTTCCTCCCTGGACAAAGAGAAATACAGAGATGTGTCTAAGAAGCCAATTCCACCACAGATTATAAAATAATACAGTTTATCTCACCTGCATTCCTAAAAGTTTGGAACATAGAGAGGACAGTGGAGAAAGGAGACAGTGTTAAAATAAGAGAAGGTGCATACTGGGACTGACATGTGTTCAGTTCCTTTCTTGTCTTTGTTGAAAGTCTTAACAGGATTCTCTTCCCCCTCCCCCACTCTCAAACAGGTGAGGAAGATGATGGCCAGAATTCTATGGAGCCATCTGTGAATTCATTGGGAAGAACAAAGAAACAGTTTAAATGCCTGGAATGTGGGATGTGCTTTAGTCACAGTGGAAGACTGAGGACACATCAACGAATCCACATAGAGGAGAAACCATTTAAATGTCCTGACTATCGAAAAAAACATCAAGGAACTCACACAGTGGATAAACCATTTGAATGTATTGAATGTGGAAAGTGCTTCAGTCGAAATGGAAAGTTTAGAATACACCAACGAACTCACACGGGGGAGAAACCATTTAAATGTATTAAATGTGGAAAGAGCTTCAGTGAAAGTAGAGCACTAAGAAAACATCAACGAACTCACACGGGGGAGAAACCATTTGAATGTATTGAATGTGGAAAGCGCTTCAGTGTAATTGGAAACCTTAGAAATCATCAACGAACTCACACGGGGGAGAAACCATTTGAATGTATTGAATGTGGAAAGTGCTTCAGTCGATATGGAACACTTAGAATGCACCAACGAACTCACACAGGGGAGAAACCATTTAAATGTATTGAATGTGGAAAGAGCTTCAGTGAAAGTGGAGCACTAAGAAAACATCAACAAACTCACACAGGGGAGAAACCATTTAAATGTATTGAATGTGGAAAGTGCTTCAGGGAAAATGGAACTTTTAGAATACACCAACGAACTCACACAGGGGAGAAACCATTTAAATGTACTGAATGTGGAAAGAGCTTCAGTGAAAGTGGAGACCTTAGAGTACACCACCGAACTCACACGGGAGAGAAACCATTTGAATGTACTGAATGTGGAAAGAGCTTCAGTGAAAGTGGAAACCTTAGAAGACACCAACGAACTCACACGGGAGAGAAACCATTTGAATGTACTGAATGTGGAAAGAGCTTCAGTGAAAGTGGAAACCTTAGAAGACACCAACAAACTTATACAGGGGAGACACCATTTAAATGTATTGAATGTGGAAAGAGCTTCAGTCAATATGGACACCTTAGAATACACCAACGAACTCACACAGGAGAGAAACCATTTAAATGTATTGAATGTGGAAAGAGCTTCAGTCTATATGGAACACTTAGAATGCACCAACGAACTCACACGGGGGAGACACAATTTAAATGTATTGAATGTGGAAAGAGCTTCAGTGAAAGTGGACACCATAGAAAACACCAAAAAATTCACACAGGGGAGAAACTATTTGAATGTATTGAATGTGGAAAGTGCTTCAGTCAAAATGGAACACTTAGAAGCCATCAACGAACTCACACAGGGGAGAAACCATTTAAATGTATTGAATGTGGAAAGAGCTTCAGTCAAAATGGACACCTTAGGAAACATCAACGAACTCACACGGGAGAAGCCATTTTTTGCCCCATAGGACGTACTTTTCCCCCTCCAAAAATGAAGGAGAAATGTGTGTGCGTCCTATGGGGCGAATGCAGGCTTTCGCTGAAGCCTGGAGAGCTAGAGGGGTCGGTGCGCACCGACCCCTCTGACTCTCCAGGCTTCGCGCAGCTCTCCGCAAGGCGCGGGAGCCCGGCACTGGGCTCCCGCAGCTTGCGGAGAGTTGCCTGCATGCCACACCCCTTTGTTTATCGCTCAGACAGGCAGGGAGGGAGAAACGGGTCGGGCGGGCACGCACAGTTCAAACCACCACCACCCTGCCCAGCGCAAGGCGCCCGCTCTGCTTCCCGCCTCCATGTTGTTGCCTGAGGGGAAGACGCCACCGCCGCCACAAGGAGGACGGGAGAAGGAGGTGGCTGAGGCACCAGGGGCGGGCGATGCACTGGGGCACTGAGTGGAAGGAGGGCGGAGAAGGGGACGGGGAAGGAGGAGGCGGTGCTGACAGGTGAGGAGGGAAGGCGAGCAGGAAGGCGGCTGCTACAGTTGCTGCTGCTGCTGTGGCGCAGCGCGGAGACCGGCCTCCACAGGCGCTCCCTCCCCTTCTCCCTCCCCTGTTTTCTTCTTCTCCCCCTCTTTTCCTCCTCCTCCCCCCCCTCGGACTCCCCCCCTCAGAGCTGCATCGGGGAAGGAGGCGAAGGAGGGGTAAGATAATCCCCGGGGGGAGGGGGAGGACAGGGTGGGAGGGGGCTTGATTAGGGGAGGGGGCTCTTTCAGGATGGGGAGCACCTCTTGCTCCTCCTCCTCCTGGAAAGGGGCATTTTTTTATCTTCTGGCGGGAGGGGGGGAGGTAGGTAAGTTTAGGGATCTACATAGAGGGGATGTGGAGGAAGGAAGGTACTGCCTCCAGATGAGGAGGGGGGTCTGAACCCTCTTTTTTTGGGCAAGGGGGTTGGGGGGGAAAATGAGAGATCAGAGGCAAGGTTTTGGGGGTTACATGTAGGGTGTTTTTAATTGGGTTTTGGGGGGAGGGGTAATACAAAGCCTTGGCTTTGGGGTGAGTGTGAGTGGGGTGGGTTTTTTAGGGATCAGCTCAGGGCAGCCATTTAGGAGGCACAGGACAAATTGGGGGTTCTTGAGGGGGTGCGAAGGTAAGCCGCCGCCAAGACCCCTATCTGTATTTTCTCTACTGCTGTCCTGAGGTTGCTGTTCAGGTGGATATCCTTTTCTTCTCTAAAAACTTCGGGCAGATATCCTCTGCGCTTCGGGCAGATATCCTTTTCTCCTCTAAAAACTATGGTAGGTGTGTTCTTAAAAGCTTGGGCTTTCCCCGCTGCTGAGGGGGGGGAATAATTTTTTTTCTTTATTTCCCCCCCAAAAAACTAGGTGCGTCCTATGGGACGGTGCGTCCTATAGGGCGAAAAATACGGTAAATGTACTGAATGTGGAAAGAGCTTCAGTCCATATCGACACCTTATAAGACACCAACTAACACATGGGGAAGAAACCATTTAAATATGTGGAAGGAGCTTCAGCAAAAGTAGAGCACTTAGAATACACCAACTAACTCATACAGGGGAGAAAGCATTGGAACGTATTGAATGTGGGAAGAGCTTCAACAGGGAGGATAAACTTACATTACACTGGCGAACTCCCAAAGGGGAGTAGCTTAAGTCAATATGGAACCTTAGGAAACATCCGCTAACTCACATAGGGAAAACTAGATTTATGAAACGTGGAAAAAGCTTCAGAGGGAGTGGAGACCTTAATATTCATAAGATAATTCACACAGGCGGGAAACCATATAAATGTATGGAGTTTTCCACTCAGGTTTCCCAGATTTCCTGGGAAGTGAAGATGATTGTCAAGTCTCTGGATGTACAGAAAAGAACTTACATAATAATAAAAATATTTTTATTTGTACCACGCCCATCTGGCTGGATTTCCCCCGCCAATCTTGGTGGCTTCCAACAAAATATTGAAATACAATAGTCCTTCAGATATTAAAAGCTTCCCTAAACAGGACAGCCTTCAGATGTCTTTTAAAGTCTGGTGGCTGTTTTTTCTGTTGACATCTTTTGGGAAGGTATTCCACAGGGATGGCACCACTACCGATAAGGCCCTCTGCCTGGTTCCCTGTAACTTCGCTTCTCACAGTGAGGGAACCGCCAGAAGGCTCTTGGTACTGGACCTCCATGTCCAGGCAGATCAGTGGGGGTGGAGACTCTCCTCCCGTCACCAGTCTAGCTGCCGCATTCTGGATTAGTTGTTGTTTCCGGATCACCTTCAAAGGTAGCCCCACGTAGAGCGCATTGCAGTAGTCCAAGCGGGAGATAACTGGAGCATGCACTACTCTGGCAAGACAGTCTGCGGGCAGATAGGGTCTCAGCCTGCGTACCAGATGGAGCTGGTAAACAGCTGCCCTGGACACAGAATTGACCTGTGCCTCCATGGACAGCTGTGAGTCCAAAATGACTCCCAGTCTGCGCACCTGGTCCTTTAGGGGCACAGTTACCCCAATCAGGACCAGGGAGTCCTCCACATCTGCCTGCCTCCTGGCCCCCAAAAACAGGACATCTGCCTTATCAGCATTCAACTTTAATATGTTAGCTGCCATCCATCTTCCCAGAGACGCCATCACAGCTATGAGGTGATAAGACGCCTTGTCTTTGTTTTTCTCCTGGCCTGCTGCTTTCTTTGTTTTTCTCCTGGCCCCTGCTGCTTTCTGCTGGGAACCGGCCCTGGAACCGCCGCTTATCTGCTTTGTTGACATTCCTCTCCGGCCGGTGTCCTTGCCTTCCTGGGCCTCTGCAGAACAATGCCCTTCGCTGTTGGACATCGCCTCAGAGCACAAATGACTCTTGGAGACTTTGGCTTTCCCAGAGCTCTTGGAACGGCCTGCACCCCCACTGTTGGGTGCCCAGCTGCCTGAGGAATGGACTGCAACTGCCTTCCTCTTCCCAGCTCTCAGCCTCTCTCCAGCACACAGTCCATCACACAGATGTGTTGAAGCATAGAAACAGCTTCCCAAAACAGTCCCAGCCCCCTCTGGACTTGGTGCTTTCTCTGGGCATCCTCCAGCCCCCTCTGGTCTGGCTCCCACTGAGGCTTGACATGCCGTCTTCAGTGCCTGCCACGCGACCCAGGGCTTCTTCCCTTGGAGGTTTGGCAACAGCCAAGCTTCAACGCTGGCCCTTAAAATGGCTAGCACCCTTTGCTCTCTTTCCAGAGCAACAACCACATCTGCCTCACAAGCTTCCACTGCTCCTGCAGACCTCTCACTGGGCTGGGCAAAAACTGGATCGGCTTGCGTGCAATCCCAAAGCTTCCTTTCTTCCAGCCAGTAGTACATGCGCTTACTCCAGGCTTCCCAATTGGCCCCATGCAGTCTTTCACCGGGGTAGCTCTCATGGCCTTGCTGTGGCTGAGCAGCAGCCATCTTCCTCCCCCCGGGGCTTTAAGCGTACTCACACGTTTGCCAGCTAGCTGGTCCTCCGAAGCAGCAGCCTCCTCTTGGCTCCGCTCTCCACCAGCGTCTCCCACTGCCCTTCCTGGCAGGAGTTCAAAGCTGGCAGCCTTCTTCCCTCCTCACACATGGCAGGAAACGCGGACCTTCCATAACCTTTGGGGACATTAATTCCTGCGTCCAGTCAGCGCTTCCCCTGTGCAGCTCTGCTTTGGGGCTTGAGGCTGACCTGGCAGAAAATGCAGAGTAGCAGCGGTCCTGCGTCCGTGTGAGATGAGGGATAAATCAAGTCCAAAGACAGTTCGGTTCTTAACTCTAGAAGCCTTTATTTACAAAGCAGTAAATCAGTCACATTCCATCGGAGCTTTCCGGCATCTTTCCCGTGCTCCAAAAGCACACACTGCCTCTCTGCAGCTGAGCTGCGTCTTAGGCAGAATCAAAAGCAAGTCTGAACAGTGATACAGACTGTGATGCACTTCTCTGCGTCAAGCTCCTCCCAGATACAGGACACCACGGAGTTTTAACCCTGTCAGTTCCAAACTCTACAGGGTTGTGGAGAAGTCCAGTTGCATCAGGAAGTGATCTGACCATGGCGCTTCTTTAGATTTGCTTTTACTTAGTGTCAGATCACCAACAGGTGAACACCAGGTCTAAGGCATGTCCGCGGCTATGAGTTGGGCCAAACTTATTCAGGGACAGCCCCATGGAGGCCATGCTTTCCACAAAGTCCCAATCGGCCCCTTGTAAGGTTGTGTCGGTGTGAATGTTAAAATCCCCCAGGACAACCAAACTAGGTGTCTCCAGGAGAAATCTGCCACAACCTGAAGCAGTTCAGGCAGGGAATCCTTGGTGCAGGGGGAGATCGGTACAAAGAAATCCTGTACTGCCCCTATTGTTCAACTTCAAGAACATGCACTCAGAGAACTGGGTCTTCCCAATAGGACACCTGCTGCAAATTAATGACTTCCTACAAATTACTGCAAACCACCACCCCCTCCCTGCCCACATGACTTGGGTTGCTGTGCGTAAGAGAAACCTGGTGGACAAGCAGCGGCAAGGACAGGTCCATTACTGCATACAAAAATTTTCTTTTGTTTCTTTTGGGATGTCTGTTGTTAATAGGCCCAAAAAAACATTTCTGGTTTTTGGGGGAAAGTATGTCGTAACATTTTATTTAATTCTTCATTAATGGTATCCCAAATTTATTTAATTTTAGGGCACGTCCACCACATATGGGAGAAATTCCCTTCTTTAAGTTTGCACCTCCAACACTTCCCACTGGTGTTTTGGTACATTTTAGCCAATTTCGAGGGTTTAAGATACCATCTGTACATCATTTTTAAAAAATAATTATTTTATTGTATAACATGCTGTAAATGTTATGTCTCTTTTCCATAAGTTTTCCTATTTTTCTAAATCAATTGTATGACCGAAATCCTGTGCCCATTTGACCATGACATCTTTAACCCCTTTGTCTTTTAAGTGCCAATTTAATAATAGTTTATACATTTTGGATAAATACAATTTGGATAAATTTTTATCATCGTTTATAATCAATTCTTTGTCTATTTCAAATAATTTTGTATCAAATCCATTTACTTTCTTGTCTTCCTCAAAAATTGCATTTAATTGATGGTATTGAAACCAGCCTATTCCTGTATGTCTTATTGTTTCATATTTTTTTTCATTTGTAATCTATTATTTACTTCCTCTAAAAGATCTTTATATGTCAACCAATTTGAATCCATTTTTTTCTTTTTACTGCCTCTGCCTCCATTGGTGACAACCACCATCAGGTTTTTGGTTCTAATAATTTTTTGTTCCTTTCCCAAATTTCATATAAGGCTTTCCTAATAATGTGATTTAGAAATCCATTGTGGATTTTTGTTTTATTATAACCCAGGTAGCTGTGCCACCACACCATATTATCCCAGCCCTCAATATCCAATAATTTAGTATTCTTCAAGATCATCCATTCCTTGAGCCAGACCAGGCAGGCAGCTTCGTAGTAGATCCTAAGATCTGGCATTCCAAACCCTCCTTTGTTTTTGGTTTCTGTTAATAATTTAAATTTAATTCTGGTTTTTTTGCCCTGACAAATGTATTTTGCCAAATACCTGTGCCATTCTTTAAAACAATTTAAGCCATTAAGAACCAGAATTGATTGAAAAAGGACTCCGAGAGAATATGGAAAAAATGATGTACCGTTGGCACATCACCCCTGTGAAACTGGGAAAGATGTATAAGACCGGAGACAAAACATGTTGGAAATGTAAAAAAAAAGAGGGTGACTTCCACCATATGTGGTGGTCATGTGAAGAAGTGAAGAGGTTCTGGGGTTCTATCTATGACGAATTAAAAAAGATACTGAAATACACATTCCCTAAAAAACCAGAGGCATTCCTTTTAGGAATGGTTGGTGAGGAGATTAGAAAAGAAGATCAAACCATGTTCCAGTATGCAATGGCAGCAGCCAGAATATTGCTAGCACAAAATTGGAAAACACCTAACACCCCAACTATTAGAGAATGGCAAAACAAGTTATTTGAGTACTCAGAGTTAGCAAAAATGACACAGAAGATCAGGCATCAGAGTAATAAAAAATTTATTAATGGTTGGAATAAATTTATACAATACATGGAAAAAAACTTAGGAAACATTAAAATAACAGTAGGTGAAATATAGAATCTGTGAAGTAAAGACAATGGTTGTAAGAAAGAACTGCAAGAAGATTATTAATGTGATATAGCTCAAATCGTGGTGGAGGGAAGTCAGATTGATGATATGATATGATATGATAGGAATTAGTACTTTCGGAGAAATGTATGTTTGTCTTGACTTGGTTGTTTATTTTTGTATTTTTTTTTCTCTTTCTGGAATGTTTGTGGTTTTAAAATATTGTACACTGGATATAAAATTTAATAAATAAAATTTAAAAAAAGAAAGAAAAAGAAAAAGGAACAGCATTTTTGGTAAAACTACCATCTTGATTGTAGAAATTTTCCCCACAACGTGAGTTTTAATTTACTCCAGATTTCTAAGTCTTTCCTAATATCGTTCCATACCTTAATATAAATGTCTTTCTATAAATGAATGTTTTTCATGGTTATCCAAATACCTAAATACTTTGCTCTGTTAGTAATTTTAAGTCCTGTTTCTATTTCTAACTTTACTTTTTCTTGTATATCTAATTTTTTTACCAGTTTTGTTTTTTCTTTATTAATTTTGAATCGTGATAATTGTCCAAACACCTTTCTTCTTTTCTTTTCTTTTCTTTTTTATAATAATTTTTATTAGTTTTCTTTCTCACAACAAATATCCATCACCATCACTCAAAATTCCTTTATCTCATCATAGTCTTTCAATTTTAACTTTCCTTCTTGTTCTATTAGTAATTCTCTGTATGTTGGCCATATTCCTTTCATTGCTGACGTATTAAGTGATAGTGCTTCAATGGGTGATAGCCACCATGGAGTTTGGGGTTCCAATAATTCTTTGTATTTTCCCCATACCTTTATTAAAAACTTATTATAGTATTGTGGAGTCCTTTGTGTACTTTTGTTTTCCCATGCCACAAATATGCATGCCAACCAAATCTGTTGTCATGTCCTTCCAGTTCTACTGCCTCTTCTTTCTCCAATTTGATCCAATCCCGAATCCGAGTAAGACAAGCTGCTTCATAGTAAATTTTGAGATCTTTAAGGGAAAAGCCTCCCCTTTCTTTTAAGTCTGTATTTTGTATTTTATTCTTCACCTTGTTTTTTCCAATATTACTCTAAAGCAGCCTTTTTCAACCTGTGGGCCCCCAGATGTTACTAGCAAGGCCAGAGCTCAGGGATGATGGGAGTTGTAGTCCAACAACATCTGGGGACCCACAGGTTGAGAACTGCTGCTGTAGAGGGTTTTCTGTTGTAATTATTAGATTGTCTGCTTAGGCTCTGACCTTCTAGGCCCTTTGTCCAACTTTAATTCCTTCTAGTCTAGGGTCTTCTTTTATTTCAAATATCCTTCCAGAAGTGTGCTAAAGAGGAGAGGAGAAAGAGGGCAGCCCTGTCTTGTTCCCTTAGAGATGTTAAAAGCTTCTGATGTTTCACCATTTATAATTAGTGTGACCTGTTGGGAATTATAAATCACTTTTATACCGCTACATATTTTCTCACCCAAACTCATCATTTCCAAAGTTTTTTGCATGAATGCCCCTGAAACATCAAATGCTTTCTCCGCATCCACCAAGATCATTGATGCCTTTTTATCTGGTCTCATTTCTAGGTATTTTATTATATCTACTACCAAGCATAAAGGTAAAGGGACCCCTGATCATTAGGTCAAGTCGTGGCCGACTCGGGTTGCGGCGCTCATCTTGCTTTATTGGCCGAGGGAGCCGGTGTACAGTTTCTGGGTCGTGGCCAGCATGACTAAGCCGCTTCTGGCGAACCAGAGCAGGGCACAGAAAGGCTGTTTACCTTCCCGCTGGAGCGTTATGTAATAAAAAAAATTAAGGTCTTTTATATATAATAAATGTTCATAAATGTACCAGCCAAGCACGTACATAGATACGTGGACCACATGTCTGGAGCAGCACAGGAAGACCGTCCTGAAACCATTTTGACTCCCAAACCGACCAAATGTTTTCCCTGAAAGGAGGGAGGGGGTGAGGGAACCTTCCCATTGTCTCAGGAATTGGGTAATCACCATCTCAAAGGAATGGCCAGACTACCAGGAAAGGCAATCAGATAAGGCATTATCAGATAACCTGGGAACAACAACAGTCAAATTTCTGTTGTAGACTGCCTTTTCTGTGATGTAGGTATGATGTTTGTGATGATGTTTGTTTGTCTTAGGTTACACTCCTTCTGTGATGTATGTATGATGTATGAAGGGGTGGTCTTGAGCTCCAGGGAAGGGAATTTAAAAGGTCTATGTAAGGGCAGGCACACCTTGGTTCGGGGTGGTCCTCCTTTCTCCTGCGTGTGAGGTGAGCAACCTGTTGCAACAGTTCAATAAAGATCAGTCTTACTAGCTGCTTTGCTTCTCAATATTCTCTGGTTGGCTTCTTTGATTTTCTCCAACTGATGGGAGAACTGGCAAAAGACTCTATAAAGGCTCTTGTGTCCCCCATAAGGGAATAAGGGCAGATTTTGTTTACAACAGGTACTTATTTATCTTCTTGAATTTGATGTGCTTTCGAACTGCTAGGTTGGCAGGAGCAGAGGCAGAGCAACGGGATCTCACCCCGTCGCAGGGATTCGAACCGCCGACCTTCTGATTGGCAAGCCCTAGGCTCTGTGGTTTAACCCACAGCGCCACCCGCGTCCCTTATTGAGGACAATACGTTCTTGCAAAAGTGGGGGTCCAAAGCAGGCACAGTCCAGCTGGGGCAAAGAATGATCTTATATTCCCTATGCACACGTTCCCTCCCTCATCTCCCCATTGGTTGGGTGCTACAAGGTTTTCCTTCCCCCAATTAACAAATAACAGACAAGAGGCTGAGCGTGGAGAGAAACTTCTCCTTCCTCCTCTGAGTTGCTTCCACTTCCGGCTTCACCAGCAGAGATAAAATCGGGGTTTGCAAAGGAGGGAGGGAAGGAGGCGGGAAGCGGGGCTGCATCCTGCGGAGGCTGAGGAGGGGCTGCTTCCTAATCAAGCCTCCTAATTAAGCGCCCTCACGCCCTGCCTCCCACGCGGGGGCTCCCATTCCCGCCCCCGCTGCCCAGGATTTCGGGTGAGTGCAAAGCCAATGGCGGGGAAGGAGGGAAGGGGCTTTTCGAGGGGGTCCAGGATGAGAAGCCCCCGGACGGGAAAAGAGAAGGGAGGAAAGGGAGCTGTTTCCTTAAAGGGGGCCTTGAAGGGGAGGGGGGGAGAGATGTTTCCTCCTGCAGGGATCTGGTGCAAAGGGAGTTGCAGGGAAGGAGGCGGGAAAGGGGAGAGGGGTGAGCATTGCTGGCCAGGATCGTCTTAATAGTATTACAGTGCTACCTCGGGTTACATACGCTTCAGGTTACAGACTCTGCTAACTCAGAAATAGTACCTTGGGTTAAGAACTTTGCTTCAAGATGAGAACAGAAATCACGCAGCAGTGGTGCGGCGGCGGGTGGTCCCATTAGCTAAAGTGGTGCTGCAGGTTAAGAACAGTTTCAGGTTAAGAACGGACCTCCGGAATGAATTAATTACTTAACCCAAGGTACCACTGTAATTTAAATTTAGTATCTATACCCCAGCAGAAGACCCCTCGGAGGAGGACCTTATCTTTAGGCAACAGGCAAAAGCATTGCTCTTCTCCCAGGGGTTTGGCTCATTAAACAATCTATGGACTGCACACCTGCATGGGAGGGGGGCGAGGGTTGTCGTTTTTATTTCTTACTCTGCTATGCATCTCTGTGTTTTTCTCTTGTAAGCTGCCCTGTGATCTTTGGAGGAAGGGCAGTATAGAAATGTGAAGAATAGCTGTAAAAATAGGAAGCCCTCTTGCGTTCATGGGGGAGGGTTGGGACAAAGTCTCTGATCAGCATGCGTAGCAGGATGGGCTTAGGAGGGAATAACAATAACAATAATTCATTACTTGTAGCCTGCCCATCTGACTCCGTTGCCTCAGCAACTCAGGGCGGCTTCCAAAAAAAAACAACCCCAAAATTGAAAACATTGAAAACCTCCCTGTGCTGGGCTGCCATCAGAAGACTTCCGTTTTGTAGAAATGGCCTTTGAATTTAAAGAAATGCTCTCTTTAAGGAATCCCGTGGTGTAAACGTGTATGTTGTCCTCTAGGTCCAAACACATAGTAAGAGCAAGCAGTGCTCCAAAGTGCTTCTCTTGTGAACTTGCCATCTAAGTTGTTTACTCCTGACCAAAGCTCCTGTTTCCCAAAAAGACTGGAGGGGGAGGTCTCTCAACCACTTTTAACCTACCCCACTCCCACCGCATGGAAGGCAGAGGACGTGTTCATTCACAATCCCAGTAAACCATGTGAAGTGAACTGCAGCTCCTTCCCCTCTCACTGGGCTGCTGCAAGAAAAGGCAGCAGAGGAGGAAAGGGATGGGTTTGAAGGCTCTTCCTGCCTCTCTCCCCTGAGTACCGCCTCTCCCAGAGGTCCTGATGCAAGCAAGGCCATTCCTTCTTCTCCATGCAAGGGCCACCCATGTATTCAGAGCAGTCCTTTGCAGATTAACTCTTAAGTTCCATGGGATCTACTCTCAGGCCACAAATGTGCATACCGTGCCAGTCTTGGGAAGGGAGGTGGGACAGGCAGCTGAAAGGAATTGCCAAAGGTGTTTGAAAATGGGAGGGGGCTCTTGGGGAGGGGATGCCCAATTGGCGCTTCTCCAGGGGCAGCAGAATGTCTTGGGCAGGAGAATCCCTGCAGGGGCTCTCAGACTCCCTTGGCTTCTTCTTCCCTCCCTCCCAGGAAACTGCAAATTGCTCTGGCTTCTGGGCTCCTCAGCAAGCTGAACCTGCAATCCTAGCTGAGACTGAACCTGCAACCCTGGCCAGGATGGAAGGAGGAAGATGGACGGTTGACCTGGTCAGGCTGTCTCCCGCATCCCTCCCCACAACCTCTGAGCATTCCCTCCCAGGACCCTTGGAGAAATCTGGTGAGTTCCAGGGGAGAGGAGATGGGGACAGGGATAGATGGAAGGTGGAGGGAGAAAGAGGAAAAGATGGAGAGGAGACAAATGGAAGGAAGTTCCTGACATTAAGGAGGAGGGGGGTGAGGCCTTCTCCAAAGCAGCTCTTTGTTTCTTGAATCCCTTTCATAAAGTAGTGGGGGGCAGATATTCTTCCTCAAGAATTTTAAATCTTAGGAGTTACAGTGGTACCTTGGTTCTCAAACATAAGTCTTCCAAAACCAAGGCATACTTTCCTATAGAAAGTAATGCAAAATTGATTAATCCGTTCCAGACTTTTAAAAACAACCCCTAAAACAGCAATTTAACATGAATTTTACTATCTAACAAGACCATTGATCCATAAAATGAAAGCAATAATCAATGTTCTGTACCGTAAAATAAATAAGACAGTATTGTAGATGATAAAAATTAAAATTAAAACAAAAAAACAAGCCACAGTCAAAAATGAAAAAGCCACACAAACAAAAAAACAAAAAATAGGAAACAACTAAAGCACCAAATGTCACCTCAGAACACTGCAACCAGAAACGGCTTTTATATTGATGGGGGGGGGGCTTAAATTAACTGTGTAATGGAACAAATGGGATGAAAAAAGCCTTGATTACGATGGAGAGGACTTTAATTAGCTGCTCAAGGGTAAAACAGAATGAAAAAAGCCTTAATTAGGATGGGGGGGGGACTTAAATTTGCTGCGCAACAGTAAAAATGGAAGCTCAGGAGCACGTTCGGTTTCCGAGGCAAAGGTCAAAAACAGGAACACCTACTTCTGGGTTTGCAAATGATGAATCAACAGAAGCATAGAACAATCTATGGACTTCCCTTTTTTTGAAATATTTTTATTGTTTTTTACAAATGCAAGTTTCTATCAAAGACATTTATATAATCATTTCATGGGATTCTCTGAATCACATGACTTCGCTCCATCCCTTTCATGGGTCCTTATATTACCGTATTCTTCGCTCCATAAGGCGCACCGGACCGTAAGACGCACCTAGTTTTCAGAGGAGGAAAACGGGGAAAATATTCTGAATCAAATGTTGTACTAAACTATTTAATAAACTACTGATTTATCAGAGTGAGACTAAGAGGGACAGGAACTGTATGTTTGTTTAGTGTGCAGGCTCAAGGAGCCAGCGGATCAGCTGAGACGCGGCGGATTTGCGTAATTTCCCCCTCTCCCTCATCCTCTGCCCTCCAGTCCCCAGCAGCCTTCCTTTTCTACCTCCTGATTTTCACTGCGCTTGTGGCTCAGAGCTTGAGGTTGGGGTTTTTTTGCTGCTGGTTGCTTAAATTTTATCCTTCCCCTCCTGTGTCCTTCCGTCCCTCTGCAGCCTCATTGCTCCGTTTAGGGAGCGGGCGGACTTTCTGCAGCTGTTGCTGGCTGCGCACCACTTTTAAAAGTGCCTTCTGGCTTTGAATCACCTGCCTCCCTTTACTATTTTACTCAAGGTATTTGCCCTGTGCCTGGGGGATTTTTTCCATTTAACAGTTTGCAGCCTCTTCCTTCCGTTGCTTGTTTTGAGGCAGGATAGATTTGAGCAAGTGATCAGGACTTGGATTGCAGGGGATTCGCCATTAGCTGTGTAAAAGCGCTCCTCCTTGCAGCCTTCTACTTTGTTTGTACACATGGCTACTGGTATCAGGTTCAGTTTGAGTAATAAGCAGCCCCTGGCAGCAACAGAATGGAGTATAAAAAGGAGTAGGGGCACTGGGACCCAGACAATGCTCAAATCTATCCTGCCTCAAAACAAGCTGCAGAAGTAAAAAGCACGCTCCCGCTCCCCTGCCCCTCATCCCGTGCCCTCCCCAGCCTTTTTTTTTACTTCCTGGTTTTCACTGCGCTCGTGGCTCAGAGCTCGAGGTTGGGGGTTTTTTGCTTAAATTTTATCCTTCCCGATCTTTCCCCTCCTGTGCCCTGCCGTCCCTCTGCAGCCTCATCGCTCCGTTTAGGGAACACGCGGACCTTTGCTAGCTGAGGCTCGCTGTAAAGCAAGGACAGAAGCAAAGCGGGACAGAAGCCCTGTAAGCGGCTCCCGCTTTGCTTGACTGACGGGAGCCATGGCTCCGGTCCAGTGCATTCGCTCCATAAGACGCACAGGCATTTCCCCTTTCTTTTTAGAAGGAAAAAAGTGCGTCCTATGGAGCGAAAAATACGGTAATTTGTCCAAAACTACATACAGTGGTATCTCTGGTTGCAAACTGGATCCGTTCTGGAGCTCGACAGATCCCGAGGTTTTTGCAAACCGGAGGACCGCTTCTGCACACGCACGCGGCACAATAAAGTGCTTCTACGCGTGCAAGCAGCAAAACCCGGAAAAATACCAGAGGGTTACGTAACACGAGGTACCACTGTATGGATACATTCTCCACAGTTCTCATTTATCTAAATTGTCCATAAACTTATTTACAAGTGATTCCTAAAGTCCAGCTAACATTTTGATTTGCGTGCAGTAATCTCATAGGTAAATTATAAATTTTCCCCATTCTTTTTTAAAGTACTTGTTTTCTTGATTCCTGAGTCTCATGGCTAATTTTGCCATTTTGGCAGAGTCCAGCAGTTTGGACTCGTCAAACTCATGCTGGTAGTTTCGTGAACACTATCCAACCATCTCGTCCTCTGTCGTCCCCTTCTCCTTGTGCCCTCCATCTTTCTCAACATTAGGGTCTTTTCCAGGGAGTCTTCTCTTCTCATGAGGTAGCCAAACTATTGGAGCCTCAGCTTCAGGATCTGTCCTTCCAGTGAGCACTCAGGGCTGATTTCCTTCAGAATGGATATGTTTGATCTGCTTGCAGTCCATGGGACTCTCAAGAGTCTCCTCCAGCACCATAATTCAAAAGCATCAATTATTCGGCGATCAGCTTTCTTTATGGTCCACCTTTCACTTCCATACATCACTACTGGGAAAACCATAGCTTTTACTGTACGGACCTTTGTTGGCAAGGTGATGTCTCTACTTTTTCATTATATACCATTTCCCAAAATGATACTGTTATCTTACATGACCACCACATATAGCAAAAGATACCCGCTTGTTCTGTACATTTCCAGCAGATATTTGAACTTACTCTATACGTTTTAGATAACTTACTAGGAGTCAAATACCACCAGCACATCATTTTCATGTAGTTTTCTTTCAATGTACAGCAAGCTGTGAATTTCAGATCTGTTTTCCAAAGCCTCTCCCAATCTACCATTTGTATGTTATGTCCTAAGTCCCTTTCCCAAGAACTAAGAGTTCTTTTTGAAATTGTGATGTCTCATAACTAAAACCTTTCTTTTTGTCTATCTTAAAGATATCGTTTAGTTGATGGTACTGTAACCAGTCAGGTACAGCTTCCCTTATCTCTTCAAAATCGTTTAATTTCAGTTGGTTTTCAACTTCAGTTAACACCTCTCTGTAAGTCGGCCAATTACTTCTCATATTCAATTTTTTTTTCAGAGATATTGCTTCCAAGGGGGAAAGCCACCAGGGTGTTTTTACTGAAGCAAATTTTTATACTTCTCCCATACCCTAAACATTGGTTTTCTTACTATATGATTCTGAAAAGCTCTATGCACCTTGGCCTTTTCCTACCATAAATATGCATGCTATACATTATTTGTGTCCTTCCAGATCTAAAATACAGTATCTGTGTTTTCTAATGTAATCCATTCCCGGTTCTAGCAGATACAGGATGCTTCATAATAAAGTTTCAAATCCGGCAGGGTGAAACCTCCTCTCTCTCTTACATCTGTTAATAATTTATTTTTTATACTTGGTTTCGTCCCTTGTCTGATAAACCTAGATATATCTTCTTGCCATTTTTCAAAGCATCCTGTGTTGCCTATTGCCTGGACTGCTTAGAATAAAAATAACATTTTTGGCAATACATTCATTTTTATTACTGATATTCCTCCCCAAAATGATAAATTCATTCTTCCCCATATCTCTAAAGCTCTTTTTATTTCTTTCCACTCATTCTTGTAATTGTCCTTAAAAATATTAATATTCTTAGCTATCAAACAGATATCCCAGTATTTGACTTTGTTATGTATAACTAACTCTGTTTTCTGTTGTAATTTCTTTTGGTCTTGCTCCATTGTGTTTTTTACCAAAAACTTAGAATCATAGAATCATAGAGTTGGAATAGACCACAAGGGCCATCGAGTCCAACCCCATGCCAAGCAGGAAACACCATCAAAGCACTCCTGACATATAGTTGTCAAGCCTCTGCTTAAAGACCTCCAAAGAAGGAGACTCCACCACACTCCTTGGCAGCAAATTCCACTGTCGAACAGCTCTTACTGTCAGGAAGTTCTTCCTAATGTTTAGGTGGAATCTTCTTTCTTGTAGTTTGGATCCATTGCTCCGTGTCTGCTTCTCTGGAGCAGCAGAAAACAACCTTTCTCCCTCCTCTATATGACATCCTTTTATATATTTGAACATGGCTATCATATCACCCCTTAACCTCCTCTTCTCCAGGCTAAACATGCCCAGCTCCCTTAGCCGTTCCTCATAAGGCATCGTTTCCAGGCCTTTGACCATTTTGGTTGACCTCCTCTGGACACGTTCCAGTTTGTCAATGTTCTTCTTGAACTGTGGTGCCCAGAACTGGACACCGTACTCCAGGTGAGGTCTGACCAGAGCAGAATACAGTGGCACTATTACTTCCCTTGATCTAGATGCTATACTAATGATGCAGCCCAGAATTGCATTGGCTTTTTTAGCTGCCGCGTCACACTGTTGGCTCATGTCAAGTTTGTGGTCAACCAAGACTCCTAGATCCTTTTCACATGTACTGCTCTCAAGCCAGGTGTCACCCATCTTGTATTTGTGCCTCTCAATTTTTTTGCCCAAGTGCAATACTTTACATTTCTCCCTGTTAAAGCTCATCTTGTTTGTTTTGGCCCAGTTCTCTAATCTGTCAAGGTCGTTTTGAAGTGTGATCCTGTCCTCTGGGGTGTTAGCCACCCCTCCCAGTTTGGTGTCATCTGCAAATTTGATCAGGATGCCCTTGAGTCCATCATCCAAGTCGTTGATAAAGATGTTGAATAAGACCGGGTCCAAGACAGAACCCTGTGGCACCCCACTAGTCACTCTTCTCCAGGATGAAGAGGAACCATTGATGAGCACCCTTTGGGTTCAGTCAGTCAGCCAGTTACAAATCCACTGAGTGGTAGCATAGTCAAGACCGCATTTTACCAGCTTCTTTACAAGAATATCATGGGGCACCTTGTCGAATGCCTTGCTGAAATCAAGGTAGGCTACATCCACTGTGTTCCCTTCATCTACCAGGCTTGTAATTCTGTCAAAAACGAGATCAGGTTAGTCTGACATGACTTATTTTTCAGAAATCCATGCTGACTATTGGTGATCACAGCATTCCTTTCTAGGTGCTCACAGACTGTTTGCTTAATGATCTGCTCCAGAATCTTCCCTGGTATTGATGTCAGACTGACTGGGCGATAATTATTTGGGTCCTCTCTTTTCCCCTTTTTGAAAATAGGGACAACATTTGCCCTCCTCCAGTATGCCGGGACTTCGCCTGTTCTCCAGGAATTCTCAAAGATGACTGCCAGTGGTTCTGAGATCACATCTGCCAGTTCTTTTAATACTCTTGCAGTTCATCTGGCCCTGGAGAATTGAATACATCTAAACTAGCCAAGTATTCTTGTACTATCTCCTTAGTTATTCTGGGCTGTGTTTCCTCTGCTGAATCATTTGCTCCAAATTCTTCAGGTCGGGCATTGTTTTCTTTATCGGAGAAGACTGAGGCAAACAAGGCATTGAGTAGTCTTATTCTTGTTTAGTTTAAAGCCCCTGGCCTGCCCGAAGTCCTGTATCTTTTCTACCACCTTTGGTGGAGTATTTATGGAATCCTTCACTGTAATTACAAGGTGAACTGTGAAAGCTTTTAATTTATATGCTTTATTTTCTACTGTTATTCCTGTAATTAATTTCTCTACTTTGTCTCCCTCGCCAGGGCCTCTAATACCAAAATAAATAATAATGGTGATAGGGGATATCCTTGTCTTGTCCCCTTCCTTATTTTACACTTTTCTGTTATCACCATATTAACAATCAGCATAGACTGTTGGTAGAAATAAATTGCATCAATTCCTCTCCCAAATGCTTCCTCAAAATTCATTTTTTCTTTTATCTTTTTCATAAAAGCCCATGAAACATTATCAAAAGCCTTTTCAGCATCTATAAACATTAAGCCCGCTTTTTTCTCAATTTTTACTTCCAAGTATTGAATAATATCAATTATATTCCTTATATTTGTCGGGATTCAAGCCTATATGAGTAGTAACTGGCAACTCTCCAGGCACCCGGCTTGATCTCCTGTTAACCTCCTTGTCTGCATTCCTCAGCGAGATCCAGGCAGAGGTCGCGATAGGCGATCCTTCTCAGCGTGAGAAGAACACCCCCCCTCTTTCTTGCCCCCCCAGCAGGGGAAAGAGATAGACAGAAACGTATTTACATGCCTTTATTTCTGTCTTTGCAGCATTACAAAAAACATGACTGCTCTCTTCAAGCTCCAGCAGTCGAATGACAAACACTTCCTGTACTTCCTGTACAGCTCATATTACACTCTGAGCTAATTCCGGTGCTTCACACTGAATTGACTGTCCCTCTGTTTCCCACGGACAGTCCCAACATCATGTGATGTTTTCAAGCTAGCAGCTCGCAGCTGCATTGCTTCTATATCGTAACAATATTTTCCTTCATCTGACGTCCTGGTAGAAAGCAGGCCTGATTGTGATGAATTTTTTCTGCTAAAACACCTTTCATTCTATTGCCCAAAATATGAGCAATACTCTAAATGGAGTATTTTTCTCGCCTTTTAGTTCAAGAATTATTGATTTGTGGTCCAAAAGTGTTCTTAGTTGTATTTCTGCATTTTTAATCTATGGAATTCCATCCTACAGGAATGATGGCCAACAATTTGGATAGCTTGAAAAAAGAGGATTAGACTGACGTCTCTGCTCTGCCCTCGTGGTCCTAGGCAATTATGCTTCTTAATACTAGTTCCTGGAAAGCACAGGAAGGTAGAGGGCTCTTGTACTCAAATCCGGCTTGCTGGTTTCCCACAGGCATCTAGCTGGCCAATGTGAGAACAGGATGCTGGACTAGGTGGGCCTTTTCCCAATCAAGCAAGCTCTTCTTATGTTCTAATACAGGCATCCCCAAACTTGGCCCTCCAGATGTTAAGGACTACAACTCCCATCATCCCTAGCTAACAGGACCAGTGGTCAGGGCTGATGGGAATTGTAGTCCCAAAACATCTGGAGGATGTTTGGGGATACTAATATATTGGAATATTTTTACAGTTACATGTGGCAAAGTAACACTTCAGTTTTCTTAGTCATAGGAGAGACTGCTACTCGAACCTGTGATCATTTCCTCCCTGGAAAAAGAGAAATACAGAGATGTGTCTAAGAAGCCAATTCCACCATAGATTATAAAATAATGCAGTTTATTAAGTGTGAATGGAATGACCATGTGTTGTTCTTGCCATTATCTCATCTGCATTCCTAAAAGTTTGGAACATAGATAGGACAGTGGAGAAAGGAGACAGTGTTAAAATAGGAGAAGGTGCATATTGCGATTGAAGTGTGTTCAGTTCCTTTCTTGTAAGTCTTAACAGGATTCTCTTCCCCTTCCTCCCCACTCCCAAACAGCTGAGGAACATGATGGCCAGAATTCTATGGAGCCATCTGTGAATTCATTGGGAAGAACAAAGAAACAGTTTAAATGCCTGGAACGTGGGATGTGCTTTAGTCACAGTGGAAGACTGAGGACACATCAACAAATCCACATAGAGGAGAAACCATTTAAATGTACTGACTATCGAAAGAGCTTCAGGGACAATGGAACTCTTAGAAAACATCAACGAACTCACACAGGGGAGAAACCATTTGAATGTATTGAATGTGGAAAGAGCTTCGGTAAAAATGGAGCACTAAGAACACACCAACGAACTCACACGGGGGAAAAACCATTTGAATGTACTGAATGTGGAAAGTGCTTTAGTCGATATGGAACACTTAGAATGCACGAACGAACTCACACAGAGGAGAAACCATTTAAATGTATTGAATGTGGAAACAGCTTCAATCAAAATGGAAACCTTAGAATACATCAACGAACTCACACAGGGGAAAAACCATTTGAATGTACTGAATGTGGAAAGTGCTTCAGTCGATATGGAACACTTATAATACACCAACGAACTCACACGGGGGAGAAACCATTTGCATGTATTGAATGTGGAAAGAGCTTCAGTCAATATGGAACACTTAAAATACACCAACGAACTCACACGGGGGAGAAACCATTGAAATGTATTGAATGTGGAAAGGGCTTCAGTGAAAGTGGAGCACTTAGAAGACATCTACAAACTCACATAGAAGAGAAACCTTTTAAATGTATTGCATGTGGAAAGGGCTTCAGTAAGAGTGGAGACCTTACAATACACCAAGGAACTCACATGGGGGAGAAACCATTTAAATGTATTGAATGTGGAAAGAGCTTCTGTAGAAGTGGGACACTTAGAAGACATCAACGAACTCACATGGGGGAGAAACCTTTTAAATGTATTGAATGTGGAAACAGCTTCAGTCAAAGTGGAGCACTTAGAATACACCAACGAACTCACACGGAGGAGAAACCATTTAAATGTTTTGAATGTGGAAAGAGCTTCAGTAGAAGTGGACACCTTAGAGTACACCAACGAACTCACACGGGGGAGAAACCATTTGCATGTATTGAATGTGGAAACAGCTTCAGTCAAAATAGATACCTTAGAATACATCAACGAACTCACACGGGGGAGAAACCATTTAAATGTGTTGAATGTGGAAAGAGCTTCAGTCACAGTGGACACCTTAGAAGACACCAACAAACTCACACGGGGGAGAAACCATTTGCATGTATTGAATGTGGAAACAGCTTCAGTCAAAATGAATACCTTAGAATACATCAACGAACTCACACGGGGGAGAAACCATTTAAATGTATTGAATGTGGAAAGAGCTTCAGTAGAAGTGGACACCTTAGAGTACATCAACGAACTCACACGGGGGAGAAACCATTTGAATGTATTGAATGTGGAAAGAGCTTCAGTCAAAATGTAATACTTAGAAGACATCTACAAACTCACATAGAGGAGAAACCATTTAAATGTATTGAATGTGAAAAGAGCTTCAGTAAAAGTGGACACCTTAGAATACACCAGCGAACTCACACGGGGGAGAAACCATTTAAATGTACTGAATGTGGAAAAAGGTTCAACAGGACGGATAAACTTACATTACATTGGCAAACTCACACAGCGGAGAAGCTTTAGTCAATATGGAACCTTAGGAAATATCCACTAATTTACATGGGGAGGTCTTAATACAGTGGTACCTAGGGTTAAGTACTTAATTCGTTCCGGAGGTGTATTCTTAACCTGAAACTGTTCTTAACCTGAAGCACCACTTTAGCTATTCGGGCCTCCTGCTGCCGCCACGCCACCACCACACGATTTCGATTCTTATCCTGAAACAAAGTTCTTAACCCGAGGTACTATTTCTGGGTTAGCGCTGTCTGTAACCTGAAGCTTATGTAACCTGAAGCATATGTAACCCGAGGTACCACTGTATAGTACTTTCTAGAGCAGTTTCTCAACCTGTGGACCCCCAGATGTTGCTGAACTGCAACTCCCATCACCCCTAGCTAGCAAGGCCAGAGCTCAGGGATGATGGGAGTTGTAGTCCAACAACATCTGGGGACCCGCAAGTTGAGAACCGCTGCTCTAGAAGGTTTTCTGTTGTAATTATTAGATTGTCTGCGAAGGCTCCGACCTTATAGGCCCTTTGTCCAACTTTAATTCCTTCTATTCTAGGGTCTTCTCTTATTGCTTTCAAATACACTTCCAGAAGTGTGATAAAGAGGAGAGGAGAAAGAGGGCAGCCCTGTCTTGTTCCCTTAGATATATTAAAAGCTTCTGATGTTTCACCATTTATAATTAGTCTGACCTGTTGGGAATTATAAATCGCTTTTATACCACTACATATTTTCTCACCCAAACATCATTTCCAAAGTGTTTTGCATGAATGCCCCCAAAACATGATCCAATGCTTTCTCCGCATCCACCAAGATCAGGGCTGCCTTTTTATCTGCTCTCATTTCTAGGTATACTATTGTATCTACTACCAATCTTACGTTGCTGTAAATTTGTCTTGGTCTATAAATCTTAATTTACTCTAAATTGGGTCCATATTTCAGTATCAATGTAATTAGGGCCTCTTGTCATTATTCTGGCACTTGTCCTCCTTCTAAAATTTTGTTCATTATTTTTTCTAACATTGGTAATATGATCTCTTCCATTTTTTTTGTAATTCATTAAAGAAATGCCATCCGCACCAGGGACTTTACCATTCTTAGAAGTCACAATTCCTTCTTTTATTTCATTAATATTAATAGGGGCATTTAAGTATTTCTATTCTTTCTCTTATTTTTGTGGCAGTCAACCACAAAGAATCTTGAGGCAGGTTACACATTTATTCCAGTTCAGTCTTTGGTTATTGACATTTCTATCCCACAACCCTATCCACCTAGCAGACTGCCTCTGTCCCCTGGCCCTACAAGCCCATCAGTAACATTTTCTGTAGAGACACTGGGGATTGTTCCAGGACACTTGTCACTTGATGACAATGCAGAAGGAGGCCACCTTGGTACACCCAGAAGATACCAGATGTTGGTTGTAGTTACGTCTATACAAAGTGCATAGCCTTTGACCCTCCATAGAGAAATGGGGAGGAATGAGGAGCCTGAATAGCTGACTAGTAGGAAATGTACCCTGGTAAGCTTCTGTCAGTTCTTGAAGGGGCTTTGTATCATTTAACTTCAAAATGTGGGAAATGTTTGTGGGGCCTCCTCCTCCCCCTGTTGCTGCTGCTGAGTGGGGCCCTGGATATCTGCCCCAAACGTTTGCCTGGATGGTAGCAGGATGGGAGAAGTCAAGTGCCCAGAATAAAAAAGGAAAAGTATTTTCTGCATCTTTTCTTGAACAAAATGGGTATGTCTGAAACCTCAGACAAAGTTCATGTTGACAGTATCTAAATCTAACCCAATTAATATATTTATTACTGCTGATACAAAGATAAATCCAATATAATGTGCTCCGAAACAAACACTTTAACCAGATGATCTTGCCTTCTGTGAGGTGGGGCAAGATGCTGAGGGAATCTATTCTATCGGGGGGGGGGGGAGCTCAGTGCACCCAGAAGATTCCAGTTGTGGGTTGTAGTTGCATCTATACAAAGTGCATAGCCTTTGCCCCTCCATAAAGAAATGGGGAGGAGACAAGAGCTGGAATAGCTGACCAGAAGGAAAGGTAACCTGGGAACTTCATGTTGATCAACCACCTCAGCTCCCTGACCCCAATAAAAGACCAGTCCAGGGAGGCAGGTGAGCATTACAGCTACACCCCACATTATGCTCTCCAGTAGCTATTCCTTCAGCCAGGCCTATTTTCATTCAGTTCTTAGTGTGTCCATGGGTGGGTGTGTTTTACGCTTCCTTTCCCCCCTTCCTTGCAGTCCTAACAAAAACTAACCTCCACGCCAATGCTTTCAGCCCCAGAAGAGGAGCTCCCCTTGGTGTCAAGGGAGGGGGGGTTCAAGGGAGCATCTGGAGCCCTGCCATTCCTTCTGTCCCTGGCCCCTTCCCCTCCTCTCTCTGCCATCCCAGGGCCACTCCTGACTCCCCAGCATGAGACTGGATCTGTCTGTGATGGTGAGATGTCCTGGCTGGTTGAAGGACCACTTCCTGTTTCCTGGAGCTCCATCCTTCTTTCTCATGCAAGGTGGAGTCATGAAGCAGGTGGAGACTGAGCACACCTAAGGGTGACCGGGGGGGGGGGATTCTGCTTAACCTTTCCCCGTCTGCTCCGTTTCTGGATCAAAATCCCCAGCTAATCTGTCAAACTGCTGCTGCTGCTGCCTGTCACTGTTCCTGTGTCTCTGGAGTGTTTCTTTGAGGAGAATACAGGACACTGCAAAAGACATTGTGTGTATTGAGTGTGCAATAAGGTAGACAGAGGCTGAGCCCTCCCTGTAATGCAAACAGGGAGACTTCTGTCCAGGAGATTTCTGTATAAAAAATTCTTTGCTGAGGTGGAAGTGGGGACTAAGTGTTATGTATTGAAGTTCTCACCCTGGCCAGCAGGGGTATTGTGTGTGTATAGTTTTCACTCGGGTCCACATCAGTCAATTTAGGCGGGAAACCCTGGGTTGCTGAGCTGTTTGCTGTTCAGTTCAGTTCCAGCTTACTATAAAGAACCACTTGGAGAAATCTCTGTGGCGTCTGCTATGTCCACCCACAATTTAATACTAAGTGAGATTGGAGTAGAACCATGTTTGCATGAACATGAGAAGGCAAAATATGTTCTCCATTTAAATATTTATTAAAATAATTTATTCAGTTACCCAGAAGAGTTATTAGGTTTTTTTTGCTGTAAGCTACTTCATACATTGTAAGAAGTGGGTCCTGAGACCCTTGATCCCCTTCCTTAAAATACCATCTGAAGAATACTGGAGAAGCAAATAAAGAGTTTATTGAGGACAATAGGTAAAGGTAAAGGGACCCCTGACCGTGAGGTCCTGTTGAGGATGACAATGGGGCTGCGGTGCTCATCTCACTTTACTGGCCGAGTGATACGGAGGGGGAGATACCTTCCCGCATCCCTCCGCCAGCCACCAAAGGGGTCCGAGGCGATGACCTCAACGGCGCCCAGCTTTGCCCTGACCCCTCAGCCCCCACACCGTTACACAAGCACCACATTATACCCCTGGCCTCTTAAATAAAATGCCTATCCCTCTCTCTCTATACGGGCGAAATAAGCCCACCATCTTTCCCTAAGCCTCCCTCCCGCTCTATCTCTATCATGGGTTGACCGTATCAAACTGCGCTCCCATTTGTTTCAATGGAAACCGCGTTCCCATTCGTTTCAATGGCCGCGTCCCAGCCAATCAGAACCATGCATCCGCTCTGCAGATTCAGCTCAGCGAGCCCCTACACGCCTCATTTAACCTCTTGACAAGCTACTGGCGGCTCCCTGCTGGGGGAACAATGGAATCGAAACTCATGGACTCCATGTATCCATTTCGTTTCCGACTTCAATCACTGACATAAGACTGGAACAGAACGGACTAAAACTTCTAAAATTCATATTAATTCAACCACAGCTCTGATTTCCTTGGTTTTGGTGCCAATCGACTCAGTTTATTCAGGACTCCATGACACCTCCTCGGCCTCCATAATCCCTCGAGCGAGGAGTCACGTACTCAGGAAGACCCTAATCCGGCCAAGTCGCTTTGCCCAAGCTTTCCTCCGGGCAACGCCAGGTGCTAGACCTTGCATACTTGGACTATTGACTCTGCATACTTGGACTATTGTCTTCTCATCACCGGTAGTCAGGAAGCGCTTATCTGCACATATCTCTGACTCTGCATATTCCCCCCCCCCACTGTATATGTTAATCTGTGTAACTCAACCCCTCTCTAATGTATTCATGATGTCACCTGTGTAACCCAACCTATTTCTAATGTATTCATGACGCAATAATGATGTATTTTGCACTGTATTCTGGGACATGGAGGGAAGTTTCAAAAACTCCTGTCACCCCTTTCTCGGGGTTCAATCTCGCCTTGAACCTGTTGCGCAATAAACTTGGATCTTCTGTAGTTTGCTCCTGCGTCCGGCTGAGCTCATTTTCCTCCGCAGGGACCTGCGGACTTAGTCCAACGAGCTGGGTGGCAGAGTAACCCCGCACCCAGATTTTTCCGTAACACCGAGGGAGCCAGCATGACTAAGCCGCTTCTGGCGAACCAGAGCAGTGCACGGAAACGCCATTTACCTTCCCGCTGGATTAAGATAAATTTATTGTCATTGTCCGTATATACACAGTATACACAACAACGAAAATCAAACACCCACCCAAAGACCGGGTTCACATACACATTTGCACGTATCTCCAACACTCTCATCCTATTCAGACATAATCTATAAAAACATATCATACTCCAGAATGTAACATAACCTATTAAAAGCATAACATAACCTAAAAACCTGTCTCATTCCTTCCTACTCCCTGCTTGCTATTTCTTGCAACTGGCCCTGAGATCATTATTTAGTGCAATCAGAGCTCTTGGATAGAAACTATTCAGAAGGCGTGTGGTTCGTGTTTTCATTGTCCTATATCTTCTGCCCGAAGGCAACAGTTCAAAGAAGTTGTGAGCAGGATGGGTGGGATCTCTCAGGATATTGTGTGACTTCTTCAAAGTGCGAGACGTGAAGATCTCATCCAGGGTTGGTAGTTGGAGCCCAATAACATTCTGGGCAATTTTAATTATTCTCTGTAATGCTGTTTTTTCCGTTTCAGAGCTGCTCCCATACCACGATAATATACTATAGGTTAAGACACTCTCGATGGTACTGTGATAATAGGACAGAAGTAGGTGCTGAGATAGATTCAGTCCCCTGAGCATTCTCAGGAAATACAACCTCCCCTGCACCTTCCTCACAACCATATTAATATTTGCAGTCCATGAGAGGTCCTCAGAGATGTAAATGCCCAGGTATTTAAAACTACCAACCCTCTCCACCTCCTCGCCATTTATGTGCAATGGTAAAAATACACTTTTCTTTCTCCTAAAGTCAATTATGAGTTCTTTGGTTTTTTTGGTGTTAAGCATAAGATTGTTTTCTTTACACCATTGAATTAACCCCTGTACTTCTTTCCTATAAGCAGTCTCATCGTTCTCACTAATGAGCCCCACCACTGTTGTATCATCCGCAAATTTGATGATTGTGTTGGACTTATACAGTGGGGTATGTAATAAAAAAATTTAAGGTCTTATATATATAATAAATGTTCATAAATGTACCAACCAAACATATACATAGATATGTGGACCACATGTCTGGAGCAGCACAGGAAAAGCAACAACATTCAAATTTCTGTTGTAGACCGCCTTTTCTGTGATGTATGTATGATGTATGGAGGGGTGGTCTTGAGCTCCAGGGCAGGGAATTTAAAAGGGCTATATAAGGGCAGGCACACCTTTGTTCTGGGTCCTCCTCCGTTCTCCTCCATGTGAGGGGAGCAACCTGTTGCAACATTTCAATAAAGATCAGGCTTACTAGCTGCTTTGCTTCTCAATAGTCTCTGGTTGGCCTCTGTTATTTTCTCCTACTGATGGAGAACCGGCAAAGGACTCTATAAAGGCTCTTGTGGCCCCCTTAAAAGCATAAGGGCAGATTTTGTTTACAACAGGTACCTATTTATCTTCTTGCACTTTGTGCTTTCCAATTGCTAGGATGGCAGGAGAAGAAACAGAGCAATGGGAGCTCACTCCTTCGCGGGGATTCAAACTGCCAACCTTCTGATCGGCAAGCCCTAGGCTCTGGGCTTTGACTCACAGTTCCAGCCGCGTCCCTTATTGAGGACAATACGTTCTTGCAAAAGTGGGGGTCCAAAGCAGGCACAGTCCAGCAAAGAATGAGCTTACAGTATGTTCCCTATGCACACGTTCCCTCCCTCGCCTTCCCATTGGTTGGGTGCTACAAGGTTTTCCTTCCCCCAATTATCAAGTAACAGACAAGAGGCTGAGCGTGGAGAGAAACGTCTCCTTTTTGTGATTCTTGATGTCGGATTACCAAACTTAAAACCATGGAGAGACCTGGTTTGAACAAAGACATTGGATTCTTATCTCATTATACATGACTAAGCCATTTTTCACCTTCTCACCCCTTGCCTTTTCCTGTAAGACCTATTGCAGTCGTTAAGAGTCGTCAACAGGCTCATCTCAGCTATCTGCCAATCTCCCATTCCCACCACCCTTCTGAGTAATACCCCTCCCCACCTTCTCACTATGTAGGAGGATCTGGCAACTTCTGTTTCAGTGTATCTGAAGAAGTGTGCATGCACACGAAAGCTCATACCAAGAACTAACTTAGTTGGTCTTTAAGGTGCTACTGGAAGGAATTTTCTTATTTTGACTATGGCAGACCAACACGGCTACCTATCTGTAACTGAAAATGGGCAGGGGCTCTTGGGAAGGGGTCTTTTTGTATGCAACAACTGCAGTAAGGATGCTGATTGCCAAGGGATAGAAAGGAGATAAAATTCCATCAGAAGAGGAGTGGCAAGTAAAAATCCTTCAGTATATAGAAGTAGCACAGATGACGGAAAAGATAAGAAATCGATCGACCCAAAAGTTTAAAAGGGAATGGGAGCTCTATAGACAATATTTAAAAGAACAGTGTCCCCTTATAAAAACTTTAAAATGCTTTGAATAACTCTCAGAATTGAATAAGGTACAAAGAATTCAGACAAGATTTAACAAAGATAAAGTTTATTGAAAAATAGAGGCAAGTAATTAAGAAAATTGCCAACCTAGAGGTTCGAAAGCACATCAAAAGTAGATAAAGAGGTACCGCTCTGGCAGGAGGGTAAATGGCGTTTCCGTGCGCTGCTCTAGTTCGCCAGAAGCAGCTTAGTCATGCTGGTCACATGACCCAGAAGCTTAGTGCAGACAAATGCCGGCTCCCTCGGCCAGTAAAGCGAGATGAGCATTGCAACCCCAGAATCATGCGTGACTGGACTTAATGGTCAAGGGTACCTTTACCTAATTAAGAAAATAAATAACCTATATCAAGGAAGTCGGAAGTTGATGGCTGGAATAATTTTGTGCATTTGTGATGTATTGTTCTATTTCTTTTTGTAAGAAATGTATTGTGCTTTTTTGTTTTGTTTCTTTTCCTATTTATAAGCTTTTGGTGTGTGTGTGTGTGTGTTGATTTTAAACCAATAAAGATTGAATAAACAAAATAAAATAAATAAAAAAGGAAAGGAGGTGATGAAAGGAATTGCCAAAGGTGTTTGAAAATGGGTGGGGGCTCTTGGGAAGGGGGTGCCCAATTGGGGCTTCTCCAGGGGCAGCAGAATGTCTTGGGCAGGAGAATCCCTGCAGGGGCTCTCAGACTCCCTTGGCTGCTTCTTCTCTCCCTCCCAGGAAGCCTCAACTTGCTCTGGCTTCTGCGCTCTTCAGGAAGCTGAACCTGCAAACCTAGCTGAGACTGAACCTGCAACCCTGGCCAGGATGGAAGGAGGAAGATGGACGGCTGACCTGGTCAGGCTGTCGCCCGCATCCCTCCCCACAACCTCTGAGCATTCCCTCCCAGGACCCTTGGAGAAATCTGGTGAGTTCCAGGGGAGAGGAGATGGGGACAGGGATAGATGGAAGGCGGCGGGAGAAAGAGGAAAAGATGGAGAGGAGACAAATGGAAGGAAGTTCCTGACAGGAAGAAGGAAGGGGTGAGGCCTTCTCCAAAGCAGCTCTTTGTTTCTTGAATCCCTTTCATAAAGTAGTGGGGGCAGATTTTCTCCCTCCAGGATTTTAAATCTTAGGAGTTACAGTGGTACCTCGGGTCTCAAACTTAATCGGTTCCAGAAGTCTTCCAAAACCAAAGCGATCCAAAACCAAGGCGTGCTGTCCCGTAGAAAGTAATGCAAAATGGATTAATCCATTCCAGACTTTTAAAAACAACCCCTAAAACAGCAATTTAACATGAATTTTACTATCAAACAAGACCATTGATCCATAAAATGAAAGCAATAATCAATGTTCTGTACCATAAAATAAATAAGACAGTATTGTAGATGATAAAAATTAAAATTATTATTTTTTTCGTACCTGCATTGATGATAGTCATTGTTTGAATGGGGAGCTTTTATCCCTTTCCACAGTCAATCAATCAATCAATCAATCAATCAATCATAAAACAAAAAACAAGCTTCAGTCAAAAATGAAAAAGCCACAAAAACAAAAACCCCAAAAATAGGAAAAAACTAAAGCAGCAAATGTCACCTCAGAACACTGCAACCAGAAACGGCTTGAATATTGATTGGGGGGGCCATAAATTAGCTGTCCAAGGGAACGAATGGGATGAAAAAAACCTTGATTACGATGGAGACGACTTAAATTAGCTGTTCAAGGGTAAAACGGAATGAAAAAAAGCCTTAATTAGGGTGGGGGGGCACTTAAATTTGCTGCGCAACAGTAAAAATGGAAGTTCCAGAGGGTTACGTAACACGAGTCACCACTGTATACATACATTCTCCACAATTTTCATTTATCTAAATTGCCCATAAACTTATTTACAAGTGATTCCTAAAGTCCAGCTAACGTTTTGATTTGTGTGCAATAATCTCATAGGTAAATTAAAAAATTTTCCAAATCTTTTTTAAAGTCCTTGTTTTCTTGATTCCTGAGTCTCGCGGCTAATTTTGCCATTTCGGCAGAGTCCAGCAGTTTGGCTTGCCAATCTTCCCTCGTTGGGATTATTGCACCTTTCCATCGTTGGGATAATAACATCTGTGCAGCTGTTGTCGCATACATAGTCTTTCCTGGTCTTTTGGGATCTCAGTACCTGTAATTCCAAATAAATAAGCTTCTAGGTTCTTAACAAATTTTATTTTAAACATTTTTTTAAAAATTCATTATATACCATTTACCCAAATGATACTGGAATGTGGAATGTGGAGTTAACCAGGGCTATTGACTGTTTGGCTCCGAAGCGCCCTCTCCGATTGCATGGAGCCCGGGCAGCCCCGTGGTTTTCCACGGATCTGAGGGCAATGAAACAATCATTGAGACGGCTAGAGCGCCGGTGGCGGATAACTCATTCCAAATCTGACCGGACACAGGTTAGAGCTCAGCGTCGAGCCTACCAAGTGGCGATAGCGACAGCGAAGAAGACTTTCTTCGCCGCCTCTATTGCATCTGCAGAAAACAGCAGCAGGAGACTTTTTCAGGTGGTTCACAATTTAGCGGAACCACCTGCGACATTGGGGCCCAGTACTGCAATGATTTCGCAAAGTTTTTTGCAGATAAAATCGCTCAGATTCGGGAAGAAGTAGACTCCACCGTGGGAGCAGGGCCAGGGTGGGAGAGTGCTAGAGTCCTGTCTAGTCAAGTTGTGTGGGATCAATTCCAATCTGTTACCTCTGAGGATGTGGACAGGCTGCTTGGACGAGTGAAACCAACCACCTGTCTCCTTGATCCTTGCCAATCCTGGCTTATAAAAGCTAGCCGGGAAGGACTGGGCGATGGGCTTCGTGGGGTGGTGAATGCTTCCCTCCGTGAGGGAGCCTTCCCAGACCCGCTGAAAGAGGCGGTTATTAAACCGCTTCTTAAAAATCCATCTTTAGATGCGGCCACGATGGCCAATTATCGCCCAGTCTCAAATCTTCCATTCTTGGGCAAGGTGATTGAGCGAGTGGTTGCTGAACAACTCCAGGCACGCCTGGAAGAAGCGGACCATTTGGATCCCTTCCAGTCGGGATTCAGGCCTCATCATGGGACTGAAACTGCCTTGGTCGCACTGGTTGATGATCTCTGGCGGGCTAGGGACAAAAGTGAGAGCTGTTTCGTAGTTCTGCTGGCTCTCTCAGCGGCGTTTGATACCATCGACCATAACATCTTTCTGGACCGTCTTGAGGGGCTGGGAACTGGGGGCACTGTCATACAGTGGTTCCGCTCCTTCCTCCTGGGCCGTGTTCAGAAAGTGGTGGTGGGGGATGAGTGTTCAGACCCCTGGGCTCTCACTTGTGGGGTGCCTCAGGGTTCTGTCCTCTCCCCCATGCTTTTCAACATTTACATGCAGCCACTGGGAGAGATCATCAGGAGGTTTGGGCTGGGTGTTCATCAGTATGCGGGTGATACCCAGCTCTACCTCTCTTTTAAATCAGAACCAGTGAAGGCAGTGAAGGTCCTGTGTGAGTGTCTGGAGGCGGTTGGAGGATGGATGGCGGCTAACAGATTGAGGTTGAATCCTGACAAGACACAAGTACTGTTTTGGGGGGACAGGAGGCGGGCAGGTGTGGAGGATTCCCTGGTCCTAAATGGGGTAACTGTGCCCCTGAAGGACCAGGTGCGCAGCCTGGGAGTCATTTTGGACTCACAGCTGTCCATGGAGGCACAGGTCAAATCTGTATCCAGGGCAGCTGTTTACCAGCTCCATCTGGTAGGTAGGCTGAGACCTTATCTGCCTGCAGACTGTCTCATGCATGCTCTGGTTATCTCCCGCTTGGACTACTGCAATGCGCTCTATGTGGGGCTACCTTTGAAGGTGACCCGGAAACTACAACTAATCCAGAACGCGGTAGTTAGACTGGTGACTGGGAGTGGCCACCGAGACCATATAACACCGGTCTTGAAAGACCTACATTGGCTGCCAGTACATTTCCGAGCACAATTCAAAGTGTTGGTGCTGACCTTTAAAGCCCTAAACGGCCTCGGTCCAGTATATCTGAAGGAGCGCCTCCTCCCCCATCTTTCTGCCCAGACATTGAGGTCCAGTTCCGAGGGCTTTCTGGCGGTTCCCTCACTGCGAGAGGCCAAGTTACAGGGAACCAGGCAGAGGGCCTTCTCGGTAGTGGCGCCCGCCCTGTGGAACGCCCTCCCATCAGATGTCAAAGCGATAAACAATTACCTGACATTCAGAAGACATCTGAAGGCAGCCCTGTTCAGGGAAGTTTTTAATATGTGACATTTTAGTGTATTTTTCATCTTTGTTGGAAGCCGCCCAGAGTGGCTGGGGAAACCCAGCCAGATGGGCGGGGTACAAATAATAAATTATTATTATTATTATTAGATATTTGAACTTACTAGGAGTCAAATACCATCAGTACATCATTTTCATGTAGTTTTCTTTCAATGAACAGCAAGCTGTGAATTTCAGATCTGTTTTCCAAAGCCTCTCCCAATCTGCCATTTGTATGTTATATCCTAAGTCCCTTTCCCATTTCGTCATAACTGATTTGACCTGTTCATCCTTTGTATACCGTTCTAGGAGCAAGTTATACATTTTAGAGAGATCTTTTTATGTTACTTCCTAAGAGTTCTTTTTGAAATCGTGATGTCTCATAACTAAAACCTTTCTATTTGTCTATCTTAAAGATATCATTTAGTTGATGGTACTGTAACCAGTCAGTTACAGCTTTCCTTATCTCTTCAAAATCTTTTAATTTCAGTTGGTTTTCAACTTCAGTTAACAGCTCTGTATAAGTCAGCCGATTACTTCTCATATTCAATTTTTTTCAGAGATATTGCTTCCAAGGGGGAAAGCCACCAGGGTGTTTTTTACTCAAGCAAATTTTTATACTTCTCCCATACCCTACAAATTGATTTTCTTACTATATGAGTCTGAAAAGCTCTATGCACCTTGGCCTTTTCCTACCATAAATATGCATTCTATCCATTATTCTTGTCCTTCCAGATCTGAAATACAGTGTCTGTGTTTTCCAATGTAATCCATTCCCGGTTCTAGCAGATACAGGATGTTTCATAATAAACTTTCAAACCCGGCAGGGCAAAACCTCCTCTCTCTCTTACATCTGTTAATAATTTATTTTTAATCCTTGATTTTGTCCCTTGGATAGCTTGAAAAAGAGGATTAGACTGATGTCTGTGCTCTGCCCTCACGGTCCTAGGCAATAATGCTTCTTGATACTAGTTCCTGGAAAGCACAGGATGACAGGGGGCTCTTGTACTCAAATCCGGCTTGCTGGTTTCCCACAGGCATCTAGCTGGCCAATGTGAGAACAGGATGCTGGACTAGGTGGGCCTTTGCCCAATCGAGCAGGCTCTTCTTATGTTCTGATACAGGCATCCCCAAACTTGGCCCTCCAGATGTTTTGGGACTACAACGTCCATCATCCCTAGCTAACAGGAACAGTGGTCAGGGCTGATGGGAATTGTAGTCCCAAAACATCTGGAGGGCCAAGTTTGGGGATGCCTGTTCTAAGATATTGCAATATTTTTACAGTTACTTGTGGCAGAGTAACACAAAAGTTTGACTTCTTAGTCACAGGAGAGACTGCTATTTGAACCTGTGGGGATTGTTACTTGCCCATAACTGTTTGGGGAGAAAATCAACCTTGTCTTAGGTTGGCAGAATCTGGACAGTTAAAGTCCAGAACCAAGCATTTGGACATACGTTTCCAGAATGTATGTCAGCGTGTCCAAGCAGGTTGGATACGTCTCAAGTATTGTTCAAGCCATAGTAACATGAAAGTTTTACTTCTTAGTCATAGGAGAGACTGCTATTCGAGCCTGTGATCATTTCCTCCCTGGAAAAAGAGAAATACTATGGTACCTCAGGTTACATTCACTTCAGGTTACATACACTTCAGGTTACAGACTCTGCTCACCCAGAAATAGAGCTTCAGGTTAAGAACTTTGCTTCAGGATGAGAACAGAAATAGCGCTCCGGTGGCGCAGCAGCAGCAGGAGGCCCCATTAGCTAAAGTGCTGCTTCAGGTTAAGAACAGTTTCAGGTTAAGAACGGACCTCCGGAACGAATTAAGTACTTAACCTGAGGTACCACTGTACAGAGATGTGTCTAAGCAGCCAGTTCCACCATAAATTATAAAATAATGCAGTTTATTAAGTGTGAATGGAGTGATCATGTGTTGTTCTTGCCATTATCTCACCTGCATTCCTAAAAGTTTGGAACATAGAGAGGACAGTGGAGAAAGGAGACGGTGTTAAAATAAGAGAAGGTGCATACTGGGACTGACATGTATTCAGTTCCTATATTGTCTTTCTTGAAAGTCTTAACAGGATTCTCTTCCCCCTCCCCCACTCTCAAACAGGTGAGGAAGATGATGGCCAGAATTCTATAGAGCCATCTGTGAATTCATTGGGAAAAACAAAGAAACAGTTTAAATGCCTGGAATGTGGGATGTGTTTTAGTCACAGTGGAAGACTGAGGACACATCAACGAATTCACATAGAGGAGAAACCATTTAAATGTACTGACTATCAAAAGAAACATCAAGGAACTCACACAGTGGATAAACTATTTGAATGTATTGAATGTGCAAAGTGCTTCAGTCGAAATGGAAAGCTTAGAATACACCAACGAACTCACACGGGGGAGAAACTATTTAAATGTATTGAATGTGGAAAGAGCTTCAGTGAAAGTGGAGCACTAAGAAAACATCAACGAACTCACACGGGGGAGAAACCATTTGAATGTACTGAATGTGGAAAGTGCTTCAGCCAATATGGACACCTTAGAAGACACCAACTAACTCACACGGGGGAGAAACCATTTGAATGTATTGAATGTGGAAAGTGCTTCAGTCGATATGGAACACTTAGAATACACCAACGAACTCACACAGGGGAGAAACCATTTGAATGTACTGAATGTGGAAAGAGCTTCAGTCGAAATGGAACACTTAGAGTACACCAACGAAATCACACGGGGCAGAAACCATTTGAATGTACTGAATGTGGAAAGAGCTTCAGTCGAAATGGAACACTGAGAATACACCAACAAACTCACACAGGGGAGACACCATTTAAATGTATTGAATGTGGAAAGAGCTTCAGTCAATATGGACACCTTAGAAGCCATCAACGAACTCACACAGGAGAGAAACCATTTAAATGTATTGAATGTGGAAAGTGCTTCAGTCAAAATGGACACCTTAGAAGCCATCAACTAACTCACACGGGGGAGAAACCATTTAAATGTACTGAATGTGGAAAGTGCTTCAGTCAAAATGGAACACTTAGAGTACACCACCGAACTCACACAGGGGAAACATCATTTAAATGTATTAAATGTGGAAAGTGCTTCAGTGAAAGTGGAGACCTTAGAGTACACCACCGAACTCACACAGGGGAGAAACCATTTAAATGTATTGAATGTATTGAGAGCCAGTGTGGTGTAGTGGTTAAGAGCGGTAGTCTCGTAATCTGGGGAACCGGGTTCGCGTCTCCGCTCCTCCACATGCAGCTGCTGGGTGACCTTGGGCCAGTCACACTTCTTTGAAGTCTCTCAGCCCCACTCACCTCACAGAGTGTTTGTTGTGGGGGAGGAAGGGAAAGGAGAATGTTAGCCGCTTTGAGACTCCTGAAGGGGAGTGAAAGGCGGGATATCAAATCCAATGTGGAAAGAGCTTCAGTGAAAGTGGAGCACTAAGAAAACATCAAGAAACTCACACGGGGGAGAAACCATTTAAATGCATGGAATGTGGAAAGAGCTTCAGTAGAAGTGAACACCTTAGAATACACCAACGAACTCACACGGGGGGAGAAGCCATTTAAATGTACTGAATGTGGAAAGAATGTGGAAAGAGCTTCAGTCCATATCGACACCTTATAAGACACCAACTAACTCATGGGGAAGAAACCATTTTAATGTATGGCATGTGGAAGGAGCTGCAGCAAAAGTAGAGCACTTAGAATACACCAACTAATTCATACAGGGGAGAAACCATTGGAACGTATTGAATGTGGGAAGAGCTTCAACAGGGAGGATAAACTTGCATTACACTGGCGAACTCCCAAAGGGGAGTAGCTTAAGTCAATATGGAACCTTAGGAAACATCCGCTAACTCACATAGGGAAAACTAGATTTATGAAATGTGGAAAAAGCTTCAGAGGGAGTGGAGACCTTAATATTCATAAGATAATTCACACAGGCGGGAAACCATATAAATGTATGGAGTTTTCCGCTCAGGTTTCCCAGATTTCCTGGGAAGTGAAGATGATTGTCAAGTCTCTGGATGTACAGAAAAGAATTTCAATAATAATAATAATAATAATTTTTATTTGTACCACGTCCATCTGGCTGGATTTCCCCCGCCAATCTTGGTGGCTTCCAACAAAATATTGAAATACAATAGCCCTTCAGATATTAAAAGCTTCCCTAAACAGGACAGCCTTCAGATGTCTTTTAAAGTCTGGTGGCTGTTTTTTCCTTTGACATCTGGTGGGAAGGTATTCCACAGGGAGGGCACCACTACCGAGAAGGCCCTCTGCCTGGTTCCCTGTAACTTTGCTTCTCACAGTGAGAACTTTGCTCTCTCCTCCCGTCACCAGTCTAGCTGCCGCATTCTGGATTAGTTGTTTCCGGATCACCTTCAAAGGTAGCCCCACGTAGAGCACATTGCAGTAGTCCAAGCGGGAAATAACTGGAGCATGCACTACTCTGGCAAGACAGTCTGCGGGCAGATAGGGTCTCAGCCTGCGTACCAGATGGAGCTGGTATACAGCTGCCCTGGACACAGAATTGACCTGTGCCTCCATGGACAGCTATGAGTCCAAAATGACTCCCAGTCTGCGCACCTGGTCCTTCAGGGGCACAGTTACCCCATTCAGGACCAGGGAGTCCTCCACACCTGCCTGCCTCCTGTCCCCCCAAAACAGGACATCTGCCTTATAAAGCATTCAACTTTAATATGTTAGCCGCCATCCATCTTCCAACCGCCTCCAGACACTCACACAGAACTTCCACCATCTTCACTGGTTCTGATTTGAAAGAGAGGTTGAGCTGGGTATCCGCATACTGATGAACACCCAGCCCAAACCCCCTCATCTCTCCCAGCGGCTTCATATAGATGTTGAAAAGCATGGGGAGAGGACGGAACCCTGAGGCACCCCACAAGTGAGAGCCCAGGGGTCTGAACACTCAACCCCCAACATGACTTTCTGAACACGCCCCAGTGTATAATAGTGCCTCTAGCCCCCAGCCCCTCTAGACGGTCCAGAAGAATGTTATGACTGATGATGTCAAAAGCCTCTGAAAGATCCAGCAGAACAAGGAAACAGCTCTCACCTTTGTCCCTAGCCCGCCGGAGATCATTGACCAGCGTGCCCAGGTCTGTTTCAGTCGCATGATGAGGCCTGAATCCCAAGTGGAAGGGATCCAAATGGTCCACATCTTCCAGGCTTCCCTGGAGTTGTTCAGCAACCACCCACTCATTCACTTTGCCAAAGAATGGAAGATTTGAGACTGGGCGATAGTTGGCCGTATCGGCTGGGTCTAAAGATTATTATTTTTTTAAGAAGCAGTTTAATACAGTGGTTCCTCGCGTTACATACGCTTCAGGTTACATACTCCGCTAACCCAGAAATATTATCTCGGGTTATGAACTTTGCTTCAGGATGAGAACAGAAATCGTGCAGCGGCAGCAGGAGGCCCGATTAGCTAAAGTTGTGCTTCAGGTTAAGAACAGTTTCACGTTAAGAACAGACCTCCAGAACAAATTAAGTTCTTAACCAGAGGTACCACTGTAACTGCTTCTTTCAGTGTGTCTGGGAAGGCTCCCTCACAGAGGGAAGCATTCACCACCCCACGAAGCCCATCGCCCAGCCCTTCCCGGCTAGCTTTTATGAGCCAGTATGGGCAAGGATCAAGGAGACAGGTGGTTGGTTTCACTCGTCCAAGCAACCTGTCCACATCCTTAGACGTAACAGATTGGAATTGATCCCACACAACTTTACTAGACAGGACTCTAGCACTCACCAGCCCCCGCCCTGCTCCCACGGAGGAGTCTACCTCTCTGAATCTGAGTGACTTTATCTGCAAAAAAACTTTACAAAATCATTGCAGGAGATCATGTGGCCTGTACCGGACTCCATTGGACAGATGGTTCCATTAAATTGCAAACCACCTGAAAGAGTCTCCTGCTGCTGTTTTCTGCAGATGCAATAGAGGGGGTGAAGAAGGTTTTCTTCACCTTCGCTATCACCATTTGGTAGGCTCAACGTTGAGCTCTAACCCGTGTCTGGTCAGATTCAGAATGAGGTTTCTGCCACTGGTGCTCTAGCCGTCTCATTGCCCTCAGATCCATGGAAAACCACGGGGCTGTCCGGGCTCCATGCAATCGGAGAGGGCGCTTCAGAACCAGACAGGCAATAGCCCTGGTTAACTCCACATTCCAACGGGCCACCAGGGAATCAGCTGAAAGGCCATCAGCATGGGATAAAACATCACCTACCACTCTCTGGAAACCATTTGGATCCATTAAGTGGCAGGGGCGGACCATACAAATCGGTCTCACGTCCCTGCAGAGGGGAAGGGTTGTGGAGAAGTCCAGTTGCACCAGGAAGTGATCTGACCATGGCACTTCTTTAGATTTGCTTTTACTTAGTGTCAGATCACCAACAGGTGAACACCAGGTCTAAGGCATGTCCGCGGCTATGAGTTGGGCCAAACTTATTCAGGGACAGCCCCATGGAGGCCATGCTTTCCACAAAGTCCCAATCAGCCCCTTGTAAGGTTGTGTCGGTGTGAATGTTATAATTCCCCAGGACAACCAAACTAGGTGTCTCCAGGAGAACATCTGCCACAACCTGAAGCAGTTCGGGCAGGGAATCCTTGGTGCAGCGGGGAGATCAGTACAAAGGAATCCTGTACTGCCCCTATTGTTCAACATCAAGAATATGCACTCGGAGAACTGGGTCTTCCCAATAGGACACCTGGTGCAAATTAATGACTTCCTACAAATCACTGCAAACCACCACCCCCTCCCTGCCCACATGACTTGGGTTGCTGTGCGTAAGAGAAACCTGGTGGACAAGCAGTGGCAAGGACAGGTCCATTACTGCATACAAAAATATTCTTTTGTTTCTTTTGGGATGTCTGTTGTTAATAGGCCAAAAAAAACACATTTCTGGCTTATTGGGGAAAGTATGTTGTAACATTTTATTTAATTCTTCATTAATGGTATCCCAAATTTATTTAATTTTAGGGCATGTCCACCACATATGGGAGAAATTCCCTTCTTTAAGTTTGCACCTCCAACACTTTCCACTGGTGTTTTGGTACATTTTAGCCAATTTTGAGGATTTAAGATACCATCTGTACATCATTTTTTTTTAAAAAAAAAAAATTTATTGTATAGCATGCTGTAAGTTTTCCCATTTTTCTAAATCAATTGTATGACCGAAATTTTGTGCCCATTTGACCATGACATCTTTAACCCCTTTGTCTTTTAAGTGCCAATTTAATAATAGTTAATAAATTTTGGATAAATACAATTTGGATAAATTTTTATCATCATTTATAATCAATTCTTTGTCTATTTCAAATAATTTTGTATCAAATCCATTTACTTTCTTGTCTTCCTCAAAAATTGCATTTAATTGATGGTATTGAAACCAGCGTACTCCTGTATGTCTTATTGTTTCAATTTTTTTCATTTGTAATCTATTATTTACTTCCTCTAAAAGATCTTTATACGTCAACCAATTTGAATCCATATTTTTTCTTTTTACTGCCTCTGCCTCCATTGGTGACAACCACCATCGGCTTTTGGTTCCAATAATTTTTTGTTCCTTTCCCAAACTTCATATAAGGCTTTCCTAATAATGTGATTTAGAAATCCATTGTGGATTTTTGTTTTATTATAATCCAGGTAGCTGTGCCACCCCACTATATTATCCCAGCCCTCAATATCCAATAATTTAGTATTCTTCAATATCATCCATTCCTTAAGCCAGACCGGGCAGGCAGCTTCGTAGTAGATCCTAAAATCTGGCATTCCAAACCCTCCTTTGTTTTTGGTTTCTGCTAATAATTTAAATTTAATTCTGTTTTTTTTTTTGCCCTGCCAAATGTATTTTGCCAAATACCTGTGCCATTCCTTAAAACAATTTAAGCCATTAAGAACCAGAATTGATTGAAAAGGGAACAGCATTTTTGGTAAAACTACCATCTTGATTGTAGAAATTTCCCCACAACGTGAGTTTTAATTTACTCCAGATTTCTAAGTCTTTCCTTTTGTTCCATACCTTAATATAAATGTCTTTCTATAAATGAATGTTTTTCATGGTTATCCAAATTCCTAAATACTTTGCTCTGTTAGTAATTTTAAGTCCTGTTTCTATTTCTAACTTTACTTTTTCTTGTATATCTAATTTTTTTACCAGGAGTTTTGTTTTTTATTTATTAATTTTGAATCGTGAAAATTGTCCAAACGCCTTTCTTTTTCCTTTCCTTTCCTTTCATTATAATATGTTTTATTGATTTTCTTTCTTACAACAAATATCCATCACCATCACTAAATCTTCCTATATCTCATCATAGTCTTTCAATTTTAACTTTCCTTCTTGTTCTATTAGTAATTCTCTGTATGTTGGCCATATTCCTTTCATTGTTGACATGTTAAGTAATAGTGCTTCAATGGGTGATAGCCATCACGGAGTTTGGGGTTCCAATAATTCTTTGTATTTTCTCCATACCTTTATTAAAAACTTATTATAGTATTGTGGAGTCCTTTGTGTACTTCCCCCCCCCATACCACAAATATGCATGCCAACCAAATCTGTTGTCATGTCCTTCCAGTTCTATTGGCTCTTCTTTCTCCAATTTTATCCAATCCCGAATCCGAGTAAAACAAGCTGCTTCATAGTAAATTTTGAGATCTGGAAGGGAAAAGCCTCCCCTTTCTTTTAAGTCTGAGTTTTGTATTTTATTCTTGGCCTTGTTTTTTAATATTACTACAATACTCCAGAGCAGCCTTTTTCAACCTGTGGGCCCCCCAGATGTTGCTGAACTACAACTCCCATCACCCCTAGCTAGCAAGGCCAGAGCTCAGGGATGATGGGAGTTGTAGTCCAACAACATCTGGGGACCCACAGGTTGAGAACCGCTGCTCTAGAGGGTTTTCTGTTGTAATTATTAGATTGTCTGCTTAGCTCTGACCTTATATGCCCTTTGTCCAACTTTAATTCTTTCTATTCTAGGGTCTTCTCTTACTGCTTTCAAATATACTTCCAGAAGTGTGATAAAGAGGAGACGAGAAAGAGGGCAGCCCTGTCTTGTTACCTTAGAGATATTAAAAGCTTCTGATGTTTCACCATTTATAATTAGTCTGACCTTTTGGGAATTATAAATCGCTTTTATACCACTACATATTTTCTCACCCAAACTCATCATTTCCAAAGTTTTTTGCATGAATGCCCCTGAAGCATTATCCAATGCTTTCTCCGCATCCACCAAGATCAGGGCTGCCTTTTTATCTGGTCTCATTTATAGGTATTCTATTGTATCTACTACCAATCTACTATTGTATCTGCTGTAAATTTGTCCTCTGCGTAGGAAGCCTGACTGATCTTTCTTTATTAATTTTGCCAGGATCTTTTTCAATTTATTGACTAATTTCTTTGCAAATAATTTATAATCTGAATTTAGAAATGAGATTGGTCTATAATTTTTAATTTACTCTAAATTGGATCCATATTTCAGTATCAATGTAATTAGGGCCTCTTGCCATGATTCTGGCACTTGTCCTCCTTCTAAAATTTTGTTCATTATTTTTTTCTAACACCGGTAATATGGTCTCTTCCATTTTTTGTAATTCATTATAGAAATACCATCTGGACCAGGGACTTTACCATTCTTAGAAGTCACAATTCCTTCTTTTATTTCATTTATATTAATAGGGGCATTTAAGTATTTCTATTCTTTCTCTTATTTTTGCCAGTCTATTGTTTATTTTTAAAAAATCCTATTTTTTCGTCAAGTTCTTCCAGCTCACTTCCATTTCTGTTGTTGTTTTGCAGCAGATTTAGTTAATGTGAAAGCACAAAAGAACCACAGAGAATCTTGAGGGAGGTTACACATTTATTCCAGTTCAGTCTTTGGTTATTGACATTTCTATCCCACAACCCTATCCACCTAGCAGTCTGCCTCTCTCCCCTGGCCCTACAAGCCCATCAGTAAAATTTTCTGCAGAGACACTGGGGATTGTTCCATGACAGTTGTCACTTTCTGACAATGCAGAAGGAGGCTACCTTGGTGCACCCAGAAGATACCAGATGTTGGTTGTAGTTACGTCTATACAAAGTGCATAGCATTTGACCCTCCATAGAGAAATGGGGAGGAATGAGGAGCCTGAATAGCTGACTAGAAGGAAAGGTACCCTGGTAAGCTTCTGTTGATTCTTGAGGGGGCTTTGTATCATTTAACTTCAAAATGTGGAAAATGTTTGTGGGGCCTCCTCCTCCCCCTGTTGCTTCTGATGAGTGGGAACCTGGATATCTGCCCCAAACGTTTGCCTTGATGGTAGCAGGATGGGAGAAGTCAAGTGCCCAGAATAAAAAAGGAAAAGTATTTTCTGCATCTTTCTTGATTGAAATGGGTATGTCTGAGACCTCAGATAAAGTTCTTGTTGACAGTATCAAAACTGCTATTCATAACCCAGTTAATATATTTATTACTGCTGATATAAAGAGTCTATCCTTCAGAGAAATAAGGTGATATTCCATACAATATAATGCTGTCCCAAACAAACACTTTAACCAGATAAACTTGCCTTCTGGGAGGTGGGGCAAGATGCTGAGGGAATCTATTCTATCGGGGGGGTGAGCTCAATGCACTCAGAAGATTCCAGTTGTGGGTTGTAGTTGCATCTATACAAAGTGCATAGCCTTTGCCCCTCCATAAAGAAAGAAATGGCAGGGAGACAAGAGCTGGAATAGCTGACCAGAAGGAAAGGTAATTTTCTGGATCAAAATCCCTAGCTAATCTGTCTAGCTGCTGCTGCCTGTCACTGTTCCTGTGTCTCTGGAGTGTTTCTTTGAAGAGAATACAGGACACTGCAAAAGACCCTGCAATGCAAACAGGGAGACTTATGTCCAGGAGATTTCTGTATAAAAAATTCTTTGCTGAGGTGGAAGTGGGGACTAAGTGTTATGTATTGAAGTTCTCACCCTGGCCACCAGGGGTATTGTGTCTATAGTTTTCACTCAGGTCCACGTCAGTTAATTTAGGTGGGAAACCCTGGGTTGTTGTTGTTGTTGTTGTTGTTGTTACAATAAAAGCAGGCCGGCTGAGCTGTTTGAGCTCAGTTCAGTTCCAGCTTACTATAAAGAACCACTTGGAGAAATCTCTGTGTTGTCTGCTATGTCCACACACAATTTAATACTAAGTGAGGTTGGAGTAGAACTATGTTTACATGAACATGAGAAGGCAAAATATGTTCTCCATTTAAATGTTTATTAAAATAATTTATTCAGATACATAGAAGTGTTATTAGGCTTTTTTGTTGTAAGCTAATTCATACATTATAAGAAGTGGGTCCTGAGACCCTTGATCCCCTTCCTTAAAATACCATCTGAACAAAATTGGTGAAGTAGTAAAGAGTTTATTGAGGACAACAGGTAAAGGTAAAGGGACCTCTGACCATTAGGTCCAGTCGCGGACAACTCTGGAGTTGCGGCACTCATCTCGCTTTACCGGCCGAGGGAGCCGGCGTACAGCTTCCAGGTCATGTGGCCAGCATGACTAAGCCGCTTCTGGCAAACCAGAGCAGTGCACAGAAACGCCATTTACTTTCCTGCTGTAGCAGTAAGTATTAAAAAATTTTTAAAGTCATATATATATATATATATATGTCCCTCAGGTGGTGCAATGGGTTAGTGCACCTGACTTTAACCAGAAAGTTGGTGGTTCAAGCCCACCCAGGGATAACTGTGGGCAGGATTCCTGCTTTGCAGGGGGTTGGACTAGATGACCCTCAGGGTCCCTTCTAACTCTACAATTATGAAAGCTATGAAATATATATATATATATATATATATATATATATATATAATGAATGTTCATAAATGCACCAACCATGCACGTAAATACATATGTGGACCACATGTCTGGAGCAGCACAAGAAGACCGTCCTGAAACCATTTTGACTCCCAAACTGACCAAATGTTTTCCTGCAAGGAGGGAGGGGTGAGGGAACCTTCCCATTGTCTCAGGAATTGAGTAATCACCATCTCAAAGGAATGACCAGACTACCAGGAAAGGCAATCAGATAAGGCATTATCTGATAACCTGGCACACAGGAAAAACAACATTCAAATTTCTGTTGTAGATCGCCTTTTCTGTGATGTACGTATGATGTTTGTGGGGGGTGGTCTTGGGTTACACCTCTTTTGTGATGTATGTATGATGTATGGAGGGGTGGTCTTGAGCTCCAGGGCAGGAAATTTAAATGATCTGTATAAGGGCAGGCCCACCTTTGTTCGGGGTGTGAGGGTAGCACCCTGTTGCAACAGTTCAATAAAGATCAGTCTTACTAGCTGCTTTGCTTCTCAATATTCTCTGGTTGGCCTCTGTTATTTTCTCCCACTGATGGAGAACCTGCAAAGGACTCTACAAGGGCTCTTGTGTCCCCCATAAGGGAATAAGGACAGATTTTGTTTACAACAGGTACCTATTTATCTTCTTGCACTTTGTGCTTTCGAATTGCTAGGTTGGCAGGAGCAGAGACAGAGCAACGGGAGTTCACCCCTTCGCGGGGATTTGAACTGCCAACCTTCAGATCGCCAAGCCCTAGGCTCTGTGGTTTAACCCACAGCGCCACCTGCGTCCCTTATTGAGGACAATACGTTCTTGCAAAAGCGAGGCTCCAAAGCAGGCACAGTCTAGCTGGGGCACAGAATGAGCTTTTATTCCCTATGCACACGTTCCCTCCCTCCTCTTCCCATTGGTTGGGTGCTGCAAGGTTTTCCTCCCCCCATTATCAAATAACAGACAAGAGGCTGAACGTGGGGAGAAATTTCTCCTTCCTCCTCCGAGTTGCCTCCACTTCCGGCTTCACCAGCAGAGATAAAATTGGGGCTTGCAAGGGAGGGAGGGGAGGAGGCGGGAAGGGGGGATGCATCGTGCGGAGGCTGAGGAGGGGCTGCTTCCTAATTAAGGCTCCTAATTAAGCGCCCTCACTCCCTGCCTCCCATGCGGGGGCTCCCATTCCCGCCCCCGCTGCCCAGGATGTCGGGTGAGTGCAAAGCCAATGGCGGGAAGGGGCTTTACGAGGAGGTCCAGGATGAGAAGCCCCGGGACGGGGAGAAGAGAAGGGAGGGAAGGGAGCTGTTTATTTGAAGGGGCGGGGGGGGGAGAAGCTTCCTCCTGAAGGGATCTGGTACGAAGGGAATTGCAGGGGGGAGAGGGGAGATGGGTGGGCATTGCTGGCCAGGATCGCCTTAATAGTATTAATTTAAATTTAATATCTGTACTCCAGCAGAAAACCCTCGGAGGAGGACCTTATCTTTAGGCAACAGGCGAAAGCCTTGCTCTTCTCCCAGGCGTTTGGCTCATTAAACAATCTATGGACTTCACAACTGAATTGGGGGTGTTGTTTTTATTTTTTACTCTGCTACGCATCTCTGTGTTTTTCTCTTGTAAGCTGCCCTGTGATCTTTGGAGGAAGGGCAGTATAGAAATGTGAAGAATAGCTGTAAAAATAGGAAGCCCTCTTGCGTTCAAGGGGGGGGGGGTTGGGACAAAGTCATTGATCAGCATGCATAACAGGATGGGCTTAGGAGGGAATAATACTAATAAGAATAAGAGTAAAATAAAAATAAATAATTCATTGCTTGCCCCTGCCCATCTGACTGTGTTGCCTCAGCCACTGGGCGATTTCCATCAAAAACACCAAAAAATTTAAAACATCAAAAACTTTCCTGTACAGGGCTGCCATCATAAGACTACTGTTTTGTAGAAATGGCCCTCAAATATAAAGAAATGGCCTCTTCAAGGAATTGTGTGGTGTAAACGTGTATGTTGTCCTCTAGGTCCAAACACATAGTAAGAGCAAGCAGTGCTCCAAAGTGCTTCTCTTGTGAACTTGCCATCTAAGTTGTTTACTCCTGACCAAAACTCCTGTTTCCCAAAAGGACTGGAGGGGGGGGGTCTCCTCACCACTTTTAACCCCCCCACTCCCACCGCATGGAAGGCAGAGGACGTGTTCATTCACAAACCCAGTAAACCATGTGTGTATCTGAAGTGAACCAGGCGCTGCAGCTCCTTCCCCTCTCACTGGGCTGCTGCAAGAAAAGGCAGCAGAGGAGGAAAGGGATGGGTTTGAAGGCTCTTCCTGCCTCTCTCCCCTGAGGAACAAGAGCAAAGGGTGTTTGCAGGGCAGGAGGGCAGAGGAGGGGGCAGCGAGGGCAGAGGGAGCAGTGGGCGGATCCCCCGCCTCTCCCAGGGGGTCCTGATGCAAGCAAGGGGCTTCCTTCTTCTCCATGCAAGGGCCATTCAGAGCAGTCCTTTGCAGATGAACTCTTAAGTTCCATGGGATCTACTCTCAGGCCACTAATGTGCATACCATGCCAGCCTTAGGAAGGGAGGTGGGACAGGCAGGTGAAAGGAATTGCCAAAGGTGTTTGAAAATGGGTGGGGCTCTTGGGAAGGGGGTGCCCAGTTGGGGCTTCTCCAGGGGCAGCAGAATGTCTTGGGCAGGAGAATCCCTGCAGGGGCTCTCAGACTCCCTTGGCTTCTTCTTCTTCCCTCTCTCCCTGGAAGCTGCAACTTGCTCTGGATTCTGCGCTCTTCAGGAAGCTGAAGCTGCAAACCTAGCTGAGACTGAACCTGCAACCCTGGCCAGGATGGAAGGAGGAAGATGGACGGTTGACCTGGTCAGGCTGTCTCCTGCATCCCTCCCCGCAACCTCTGAGCATTCCCTCCCAGGACCCTTGGAGAAATCTGGTGAGTTCCAGGGGAGAGGAGATGGGGACAGGGGTAGATGGAAGGTGGAGGGAAAAAGAGGAAAAGATGGAGAGGAGACAAATGGAAGAAAGTTCCTGAAAGGAAGAAGGAAGGGGTGAGGCCTTCTCCAAAGCAGCTCTTTGTTTCTTGAATCCCTTTCATAAAGTAGCGGGGGCAGATTTTCTCCCTCCAGGATTTTAAATCTTAGGAGTTACAGTGGTACCTCGGTTCTCAAATTTAATCGGTTCTGGAAGTCTTCCAAAACCAAAGCGTTCCAAAACCAAGGCGTGCTGTCCCGTAGAAAGTTATGCAAAATGGATTAATCCATTCCAGACTTTTAAAAACAACCCCTAAAACAGCAATTTAACATGAATTTTACTATCAAACAAGACCATTGATCCGTAAAATGAAAGCAATAATCAATGTTCTGTACCATAAAATAATTAAGACAGTATTGTATATGATAAAAATTAAAATTATTATTTTTTCGTACCTGCATTGATGATAGTCAATGTTTGAATGGGGAGCTAATATCCCTTTCCACAGTCAATTAATCAATCAATCAATCAATCAATCATAAAACAAAAACCAAGCCTCAGTCAAAAATGAAAAAGCCACAAAAACAAAAACTCAAAAAATAGGAAAAAACTAAAGCTGCAAATGTCACCTCAGAACACTGCAACCAGGAATGGCTTGAATATTGAGGGGGGGGGCCTTAAATTAGCTGTCCAAGGGAACGAATGGGATGAAAAAAACCTTGATTACGATGGAGACGACTTAAATTAGCTGCTGAAGGGTAAAACGGAATGAAAAAAAGCCTTAATTAGGATGGGGGGCACTTAAATTTACTGCCCAACCATAAAAATGGAGCTCAGGAGCACGTTCGGTTTCCGAGGCAAACTTCAAAAACAGGAGCCCCTATTTCTGGGTTTGCAAATGATGAATCAACAGAAGCATAGTCAATCTATGGACTTCCCCTTTTTTTGAAATATTTTTATTGGTTTTTACAAATACAAGTTTACATCAAAAACATTTGATATAATGTTTTTATAGCATTTTAAATGACAGATCCCGAGGTTTTTGCAAACCAGAGGATCGCTTCTGCACACGCACACGGCGCAATAGAGTGCTTCTACGCGTGCGAGTGGCGAAACCCGGAAAAATACCAGAGGGTTACGTAACATGAGGTACCACTGTATAGATACATTCTCCACAGTTCTCATTTATCTAAAGTGTCCATAAACTTATTTACAAGTGATTCCTAAAGTCCAGCTAACGTTTTGATTTGCGTGCAGTAATCTCATACGTAAATTATAAAATTTCCCCATTCTTTTTTAAAGTCCTTGTTTTCTTGATTCCTGAGTCTCATGGCTAATTTTGCCATTTTGGCAGAGTCCAGCAGTTTAGCTCACCATTCTTCCCTAGTTCGGATTATTGCATCTTCCCATCTTTGAGATAATAACATCTGTGCAGCTGTTGTCGCATACATAGTCTTTCCTGGTCTTTTGGGATCGCAGTACCTGTAATTCCAAATAAATAAACTTCTGGTTTCTTAACAAAATTTATTTTAAACATTTTTTCCAATTCATTATATACCATTTCCCAAAATGATACTGTTGTTTTACATAACCACCACATATAGCAAAAGGTACCCACTTCTTCTTTGAAGTGACCTGTTCATCCTTTGTATGCCATTCTAGGAGCAAGTTATACATTTTAGACAGATTTTTTTATGTTACTTCCTAAGAGTTCTTTTTGAAATTGTGATGTCTCATAACTAAAACCTTTTTTTATTTTAATTTTTTTAAAAAAAATTATTGTTAAAATAGTTCATCATTAATCCACATATATTACAGATATACAAGCATACAAACATACATTTCATACAATCCTTAAAAGTGTTCAAACATACTTACACTCAATCCCACAAATAATTCCTTTTCCCATCACCATCCACCACCCCTCACCCCACCTTTGTGTTAGACTTCCAATCTACTCAATTGCAATTTCTTTCCACTTCTATTACTTTCTTTCACACACCTTTAGCCTAATTTCATAGAATCATATAATAGAATCATACAGTTGGAAGAGACCACAAGGGCCATCGAGTCCAACCCCCTGCCAAGCAGGAAACACCATCAGAGCACTCCTGACATATGGTTGTCAAGCCTCTGCTTAAAGACCTCCAAAGAAGGAGACTCCACCACACTCCTTGACAGCAAATTCCACTGTCGAACAGCTCTTACTGTCAGGAAGTTCTTCCTAATGTTTAGGTGGAATCTTCTTTCTTGTAGTTTGGATCCATTGCTCCGTGTCCGCTTCTCTGGAGCAGCAGAAAACAACCTTTCTCCCTCCTCTATATGACATCCTTTTATATATTTGAACATGGCTATCATATCACCCCTTGACCTCCTCTTCTCCAGGCTAAACATGCCCAGCTCCCTAAGCCGTTCCTCATAAGGCATCGTTTCCAGGCCTTTGACCATTTTGGTTACCCTCCTCTGGACACGTTCCAGTTTGTCTTGAATTGTGGTGCCCAGAACTGGACACAGTACTCCAGGTGAGGTCTGACCAGAGCAGAATACAGTGGCACTATTACTTCCCCTGATCTAGATGCTATACTCCTATTGATGCAGCCCAGAACTGCATTGGCTTTTTTAGCTGCCGTGTCACACTGTTGGCTCACTCTTCTCCAGGATGAAGAGGAACCATTGATGAGCACCCTTTGGGTTCAGTCAGTCATCCAGTTACAAATCCACTGAGTGGTAGCATAGTCAAGTCCGCATTTTACCAGCTTCTTTACAAGAATATCATGGGGCACCTTGTAGAATGCCTTGCTGAAATCAAGGTAGGCTACATCCACTGCGTTCCCTTCATCTACCAGGCTTGTAATTCTGTCAAAAAACGAGATCAGGTTAGTCTGACATGACTTATTTTTCAGAAATCCATGCTGACTATTGGTGATCACAGCATTCCTTTCTAGGTGCTCACAGACTGTTTGCTTAATGATCTGCTCCAGAATCTTCCCTGGTATTGATGTCAGACTGACTGGGCGATAATTATTTGGGTCCTCTCTTTTCCCCTTTTTGAAAATAGGGACAACATTTGCCCTCCTCCAGTCTGCCGGGTCTTTGCCTGTTCTCCAGGAATTCTCAAAGATGACTGCCAGTGGTTCTGAGATCACATCTGCCAGTTCTTTTAATACTCTTGGATGCAGTTCATCTGGCCCTGGAGACTTGAATACATCTAAACTAGCCAAGTATTCTTGTACTATCTCCTTAGTTATTCTGGGCTGTGTTTCCTCTGCTGAATCATTTGCTCCAAATTCTTCAGGTCGGGCATTGTTTTCTTTATCGGAGAAGACTGAGGCAAAGAAAGCATTGAGGAGTTCAGCCCTTTCTGTGTCCCCTGTTTGCATTTCACCATCTTCTCCTCTGAGTGACCCCACTGTTTCTTTGTTCTTCCTTTTGCTACGGACATACCCATAAAAGCCTTTTTTGTTGCTTTTAACCTCTCTAGCAAGCCTGAGTTCATTCTGTGCTTTAGCTTTTCTGGCTTTGTGTCTACATGTGCTGGCTATTTGTTTGAATTCCTCTTTGGTGGTTCCCCCCCTTTTCCATTTTTTGTACACATCCTTTTTTAATCTTAACTCAGTTAAAAGTTCTTTAGATAGCCACCCTGGCTTCTTTAGGCACCTTCCATGTTTCCGTCTCATTGGTATTGCCTGAAGTTGTGCTTTTACTATCTCCCTCTTAACAAACTCCCAGCCATCATGAACTCCCTTTCCTTTTAGTATTACTGTCCATGGGATCTCACCCAGCACTTCCCTAAGTTTTATGAAGTCGGCTTTCTTAAAGTCAAGAAATTGAGTCCTAGGCTGCTCCTTTCCGCTGTATAGTAAACTTCAGAAGAGCATGATCACTCACGCCTAATGATCCTTCCACTTCTACCCCACTAACCAGGTCATCAACATTGGTTAGGACCAGATCTAAAATGGCTGTTCCTCTTGTTGCTTCTCCCACTTTCTGGACAATGAAGTTGTCTGCAAGGCCAGTGAGGAATCTGTTTGACCTTATGCTCTTGGCTGAGTTTGACATCCAACAAATATCCAGGTAATTGAAGTTCCCCATTACTACTATCTCCCTTCCTTTTGCATGCTTGGCCATCTGTTCCAGGAAGGCATCGTCTATGTCCTCCGTTTGGCTTGGGGATCTATAGTAAACTCCCACAATGAGGTCTCTGTTATTCTTCTCTCCCTTAATTTTGACCCAAATGCTCTCACTTTAGCTTTGAGGTTCTAAATCTTGGATCTCTTCACAGGTATACACATCCCTGACATATAACGCCACTCCTCCTCCTTTCTTGTCTGGTCTGTTTCTCTGAAATAGATTGTATCCCTCCATTATTACATTCCAATCGTGGGACTTATCCCACCAGGTTTCAGTGATGCCTATTATGTCAATATTTAGCTTGCTGTACCAAGAGCTCAAGCTCATCTTGTTTATTTCCCATGCTTTGCGCATTAGTGTACAGACATTGAAGTCCATTAATCATTCCCCCGTGTCTCTTATTTCAGGATTTTTTCCTCCCACCACTAGGTCTGCGTGCTGTTTGCTCCATTTGGTATATGACATTTGGATGATCATCTTCATCAATTGATAGACTCCCACCTTCAGGAGCACTGTCTCCCTCCCCCACATTAGTCAGTTTAAAGCCCTCCTGATGAGGTTTCTGAGATTTTTGGCAAAAACATTCCTCCCAACCGTTGTGAGGTGCAGCCCATCACTTGCCAGAAGTCCATCTTCAAGAAACTGCAGTCCGTGATCTAAGAATCCAAACCGTTCCTGTTTACACCATTTGCGAAGCCAGCTGTTCACTTCCACCATTTGTTCCCTCTCTCCCTGGGCCACGTCGTTCAACTGGGAGGACAGATGAGATGACAATTTGTGCATTTAATTGCTTCAATTTCCTGCCCAGAGCCTCGTAATCTCTTTTGATCTTCTGGAGGCTATTGCTTGCAGTGTCATTGGTTCCCACATGAACCAAGAGGAAGGGGTATTTGTCAGTGGGTTTTATGATTCCTTGCAGTCGTTCAGTCACATCTTGGATCTTAGCCCCGGGGAGACAGCACATCTCCCGAAACATCTTGTCAGGCCCACAGATCACTGCTTCTGTTCCCCTCAGTAGGGAATCCCCTATCACCACTACACGCCTCCTCTTAGGTTTGGTCGGGGTTCTTCCGTGAGCTGTCCATTCCAAGGTCGCCTGCACATTCCCTGAGGACTGACTTTGCTGCTCGTCTTCATATACCTGATCGACTGTAATGAGGGAGAGATCCTCAAATGGAGTCTGTTCTTCGTCTTCCATGCTAGGGGAGAGGACTTCAAAGCGATTGTGTATTTCTAAACAATCAGAGCGAACCCTGGGCCTCCTACTTCTTTGAGTCATGTTTCTCCATATATCTGGCACCTGTGTTGGTGAACTAGCCTCCTTCTCAGGGGTGTTCCCTGTCTCCTCCTTGGTGGAGACGGTGTTCTCTGTTGCTTCCAAGAAGAGCTCCAGCTCTCTAATTCTTTGGAGCGTAGCTACACGTTCCTCCAGTTGCTGGACTTTGTCTTCTAAGAGGGCAATCAATATACAATTGCTGCAGGTAAAGCTGCCTGCAACCTTTGGCAAGATGGCAAACATTGCGCAGGAACTTCTTTTCTATTACACATTGTTATCCATCTTATTTAGTATTTCAGTGTTTGAAACTGAACTTGTTTATTCCAATAGGAGTTCTGATTTTTCGATATGGTTTTGCAAGTATCTTTTAAACACCTTCCAGTCCCTATCTATCTACTCTTTTGAGATCCTTCCAATTTCTCCCACTGTTTTAGATATATTGTAGGACTCCAATAATTTGGCAAGCCACTCTATTTTTGTCAGTACAATACCACTTTTCCAGTTTTTCGCACTCAATAGCCTTGCGGCTACTGTTGCGTATAAATATAAGGTTCTTGTCTTCTTCCTTTAGGCTTCCTAGTACTATTCCCAATAGAAAATCTTCTGGTGTTTTCCTAAATGAATATCTAAACATTTTTTTTCATTTCATTATATATTATTTCCCAAAATTGTTTGATGTTTAAACAATTCCACTATATATGTATCATAGTACCTTTTCCAGTGTTGCATCGCCAACAGACATCGCTACAATTTTTATTCGTTTTTGTTATTCTTTCAGGTGTTAAATACCATCTATGTTGTACTTTGAGGTAATTTTCTTTCAGTATATAACACATCGTGAATTTCATCTCTTCTTTCCACAATTTTTCCCATTGTTCAAACATAATATTTTCCCCAATATCTTGCGCCCATTTAATCATTGATGCTTTAACCAATTCATCCTTTGTTTCCCACTCTAAGATCAGATTATACAATCTAGATATATTATTTGATTTTTCTTGTATTAAATATTTATCAAATTTTGATATTTCTTTTTCAAATCCTAGCTTTTTTGTCTTTCGCTAATCTAAACTTAATTTGAATATATTGGAACCAATCACTAATATGAGCTTTACTTTCTGTATAATCCTTTAATTCCAATTCTCCATTTTCTTCCTTTAATACAGTTTTTTATATATATAAAATATTTATTAAAGGTTTTAAACAATAAAACACCATTCACATACACAACCCAAAAAAGGAAAAACACCATCACCATCGGTCACATAGACCAAAAGAAAAAACCCCGAAAAAAACATACAAAAAAAGACAAAAGACAAAAATCATATAAAAGACATGAAAAATAGTTCAGTTTCATAAACAAAATTTCCATAACCCTCTTTTCTGACTCCCTCACATCTCCCTTTTCTGTGTTCCCATTTACAAAATCTTGTTCAGCAATGCTTCACCTTCTCTCAAAACTTATTTTAAATTGTACGTTTCAACTATTATGTCTCCAGTTTTACCCTTTGTTATCAAATATTTAAGCTTGACATAATGTTATTCAAATTTCACCTTTGTTCTTATAGTTCAATTGTTTTCATACTCCTTTCAACTAAGTCACTAATGCCATATTATCTTTATATCCTGCATCATTCTAACATTCATACAATTTACAATACTTTTGCAAATAATCCTTAAATTTCTTCCAGTCCTCTTCCACTATCTCTTCTCCCAGGTCTCGGATTCTGCCAGTCATTTCTGCCAGTTCCATGTAGTCTATCAGTTGCATCTGCCATTCTTCCAGGGTGGGCAAATCTTGTGTCTTCCAATATTTTGCGATGAGTATTCTTGCTGCTGTTACTGCATACATAAAGAAAGTTCTGTCCTTCTTTAACACCATTTGGCCAACAATGCCCAGAAGGAAGGCCTCTGGTTTCTTAGGGAAGGTATATTTAAATACCTTTTTCAGTTCATTATAGATCATTTCCCAGAAAGCCTTAATCTTAGGGCACGTCCACCAAAGGTGAAAGAATGTTCCTTCAGTTTCTTTACATTTCCAACACTTATTGTCTGGCAAATGGTATATTTTTGCAAGCTTGACTGGGGTCATGTACCACCTGTATATCATTTTCATAATATTTTCTTTCAGGGCATTACATGCCGTAAATTTCACACCAGTGGTCCATAACCGTTCCCAGTCAGCAAACATAATATTATAGCCAATGTCTTGCGCCCATTTTATCATTGCTGATTTAACCATTTCATCCTGAGTGTTCCATTTTAACAGCAAGTTATACATTCTTGAAAGTACCTTAGTTTTTCGTTCTAGCAGTTCTGTTTCTAGTTTCGATTTTTCCACCTGGAAGCCTATTTTTTTATCCACCTTAAAGGCCTCCCTAATCTGACCATAATGTAACCAGTCTCGCACTTTGTCCTTTAATTTCTCAAAACTCTGCAATCTCCAAGTGTCTCCATCCTCTTCTACTATCTCCCAATATTTTGGCCAATTGGCCTCCATATTGAGTCTTTTCTGAGCCTTAGCTTCCATTGGTGACAACCACCTTGGGGTCTTACTCTCTAATAAATCTTTATATCTTGTCCAGACATTAAACAGTGTCTTCCTGACTATATGGTTCTTAAATGCTTTATGAGCTTTAACCTTGTCATACCACAGATATGCATGCCACCCAAACACATTGTTAAACCCTTCCAAATCCAAGATGTCAGTGTTTTCGAGAAGTAGCCAATCTTTCAACCAGCAGAAAGCTGCTGATTCATAATACAGTTTCATATCTGGCAGGGCAAACCCCCCTCTTTCTTTAGCATCAGTTAGTATTTTAAATTTTATTCTGGGCTTTTTGCCCTGCCAGACAAACCTAGAAATATCTCTCTGCCACCTCTTGAAACAGTCCATCTTGTCCACAATCTGCAAAGTCTGAAACAAAAACAACATTTTTGGCAATACATTCATCTTTATAGCAGCTATTCGACCCAGCAAGGAAAGCTTCAATTTTGACCAAATTTCTAAATCCTTTTGATTTCTGACCAGCATTTTTCATAATTGTCTTTAAATAAATTCAGGTTTTTAGCCGTCATATTAACCCCTAAATATTTCACCTTTTTGACCACATTTAACTCTGTCTCCTTCTGAAACCTTTCTTTTTCCAAAGTTGTCAAGTTTTTCCCAGAACCTTAGTTTTCTGCTTGTTTAATTTGAATCCTGCCACTCGACCAAATTTTTGGATCAGTTCTAACACCCTTTTCGTACTAGATTTTGGCTCCTGTAATGTCAAAACAAGGTCATCTGCAAAAGCCTTAAGTTTGTACTGTTTAGCTCCGACCTGAATTCCTTCAATCAACCGGTCTCCTCTAATCATAGTTCAAGAGCACCTCCAGGACCGAGATGAATAGCAATGGGGAAATAGGGCAACCCTGTCGTGTTCCTTTCTCAATTTTAAACTCTTCTGACACCACATTATTAACTATCAATTTTGCCTTTTGTTCTGAATAAATTGCATCTATACCATTTTCAAACCCCCGTCCCACTCCCATCCCTTTAAGATTTTTCTTCATAAAATTCCATGAAATGTTATCAAAGGCCTTCTCCGCATCTATAAAAATCAACACTGCTTTTGTATTAGTATTCATTTGCAATAGTTCCAAAATGTCAATGATGTTCCTTGTATTGTCAGACAAATGTCTACCTGGGAGAAAGCCTGCCTGGTCTTTATGAATCACTCCATTTAACACTCGTTTTAATCTATTAGCCAAAATGTCTGCAAAAATTTTGTAATCCACGTTTAAAAGGGAAATGGGACGGTAGTTCTTGAGTTGTGTCTTTTCAGTTTCAGATTTAGGTATAAGTGTGATGAAAGCTTCTTTCCACGTTTCCGGTGCCTTCTTCCCTCCATAATCTCATTACATACCTCCTTCTTCCTTTAATACAGTTTTATAGGTAACCCAATTTTATTTCATATTTAATTTTTTCACTGCGACAATTTCTGCTGGCGATGCCCACCAGGGAGTTTTCGGTTCTAGGAGTCTTTTATATTTCTCCCATATTTTATATATAGACTTTCTGACTATATGCCCTAGGAAGCCTTTATGTACTTTGACTTTTTCATCTATTAGATAGGCATGCCATCCAAATCTCGTCTCTACTCTGTCTAAATCCAATACATCCGAGTCATCTAATTTGATCCATTCTTTTAGCCAGGTCAGACCCACCGCATCATGATATAACTCCATGTCTGGGAGACCAAATCCTCCTCTCTCCTTCTTATCTATCATTATTTTGTGTTTTATTCTTGGCTTTTTCCCTGACCATACGAATTTAGCCAAATCTCTTTTCCAGTTATTAAAACATTTATCTCCTCCTAGTATTGAGATACTTTGAAATAAAAACATCATCCTTGGTAATATGTTCATCTTTATTACCGATATTTTCCCTAGTAAGGAAAGATTTAATTTCCCCATACTTGCAAGTCATTTTTATTTCATTCCATGTTTTCCCATAGTTCTCATTACTTAAGTCTATAGTGTTTGTTGTTAAATTTATTCCAAGATACCTTATTTTCTTTTTAATTTCCAATCCTGTAATTTATTGTAATTTCACTTTATCTTTTTCTTCCATATTTTTCACTAGTATTTTGCTTTTCCCATAGTTTAATTTGTATCCTGCTAATCTGCCAAATTCGTTTATGCATTCCAATATTCTAGGTGTACATTGTAGGGGATTTTCTGTTGTGATCATAACATCATCTGCAAAGGCTCTTAACTTGTATCTTTTTTCACCAACTGCTATTCCTCTTATTTGGTTGTCCTGCCTTATTTTCTTTAATAGAACCTCTAATACTATTGTAAATAGCATTGGGGGTAGGGGGCATCCTTGTCTTGTACCTTTAGATGTTGATGTCTTCTCCAAACTCTCCATTAATAATAATTTTTGCTTTCTGTTGGTCACATATTACATTTATACCTTTTTGGAATTTTTCACCTAGACACAATTCTTTTAATAGTTTTTTCATGTCTATCTTAAAGATATTGTTTAGTTGATGGTACTGTAACCAGTCAGTTACAGCTTCCCTTATCTCTTCAAAATCTTTTTATTTCAGTTGGTTTTCAACTTCAGTTAAGAGTTCTCTATAAGTCGGCCAATTACTTCTCATATTCAATTTTTTCAGAGATATTGCTTCCAAGGGGGAAAGCCACCAGCGTGTTTTTTACTCAAACAAATTTTTATACTTCTCCCATACCCTAAAAATTGATTATCTTCCTCTATGATTCTGAGAAGCTCTATGCATCTAGGCCTTTTCCTACCGTAAATATCCATGCTATCCAAAATTCATGTCCTTCCAGGTCTAAAATACAGTATCTGTGTTTTCCAATGTAATCCATTCCTGGTTCTAGCAGATATAGGATGCTTAATAATAAAGTTTCAAATCCAGCAGGGCAAAACCTCCTCTCTCTCTTACATCTGTTAATAATTTATTTTTTATCCTTGGTTTCTTCCCTTTCCATATAAACCTAGATATATCTCCTTGCCATTTTTCAAAGCATCCTGTGTTGCCTATTGCCGGGACTGATTGGAATAAAAATAACATTTTTGGCAATACATTCATTTTTATTACTGATATTCTTCCCCAAAATGATAAATCCATTCTTCCCCATATCTCTAAAGCTCTTTTTATTTCTTTCCACTCATTCTTGTAATTGTCTTTAAAAATATTAATATTCTTAGCTGTCAAACAAATCTCTCAGAATTTGACTTTGTTATATATAACTGTCAGGGGTTCAGGAACAGAGGCACAGGAAAGGGAGGAAATAGAGAGCGAGGGGGAGGAGTCCGAAGGTAATGTTAGCGATGACAGCGGTCCGAGGTCTCTGAGTCTTTCCAGCGAATCGGAAGATTCACAGAAAGGGGCTCCCATGGTCAGAGCAAGGGGGGTGCCGAGGGTGACACCCCAGGAAGAAGGGGCCAGAGGGGACTCAGAGAGACGCAGTTGGAAATCAGGACCAGCGTCCACACCAGAGTGCAGTAGGGGAGGAGTCCCAGGCATCGGGATCAGGCGGCGCACTGCCAGTGGGAGGACATGAGTCAGGATTGGCCACGCCTCCATCGGGGAGCGAGGAAACGGTCGAGAGGAAGGTTGAAGGCTGGGCGCGCGCGCCAAGTTCAAATGTACAGGAGGGCGGTGCAGTTGGCAGCCCGGATAGGGAGCCAGGTCCCAAAGCCCGCCGAAAAGACGGGGAGGAGTCAGGGGGGTCAACGTCAGCGTCAGAAGAATCCGGGAAGGAAGGGACCCTGGGGGGTAGCAGGACCCAGAGGAGAAAGGAGAGACGGAAGAGGTGGAGTAAGGCTAGAATCTTAAACTGGTGTACAGGGGGCGGAGACTCAGATGGAGCTTCGCCGATCTAACCATGAGACGTAGAGTTGCACGCAGCAGCTTGAGAATGGAAACTGTAACTCAATAAAGACTTTTGTTTAATGATCGCTGGCTAGCGTGATCCTCTGTGAGCTAGGATCTGGAAGCAGCTCTGACAGTAAGCTCCATCTCTTAAATTGTGGGCATCTACGGCCTCGCGGAGAGGAGAGAAAGCGGGTGCCTACTAGCGAGCTCACGAACGGCAGACAATATGACGGCCGAACAGCAGATAGCGGAACTCAGAGAAGCAGTGTCACGACTGAATGCCGAGGCTCTTGCATCCAGGAAGAGAGAGGAGGACGCAGCTGCCGCCTACAGGGATCTCCAGGTCAGGTTGGAAGTGCTTACGAAGCAAGGGCAACTGACACCCAAACCGGAGGGGATTGGGTTGGGGAGACGAACAGGCGGTCTGGTCTCTCACTTCGATGGGAATTTGCAACAGTACCCCAACTTTAGAGCAGATGTAATGTGTGCACTGCAACTGCTGAACAAAGACTTTAGAGATGAGCAAGAGAAGGTGAGATTCATCATGTCCCATTTGCATGGAGATGCTAAAGCATGGCTGCGCAATTTGTGGAGAGATAATGATCCGGCGCTCCAAAATGCGGATGCCTTTATTAAAGCGATGGATGGGTGCTTTTATTCAAGCATTGACGTGGATCTTGCTCGGCAGCAGATACATGGACTGAAGCAAGGGAGGGCCAGCGTAAGGCAGTACCATGCCCGCTTTTCGCTTTGGTCAGTGCTCTGGAATGGGACAGAGATTCGGCTCCTGTAAGAGACCTGTTTTGGGAGGGATTGCACGGCTTGGTTAAAGATGAATTTGCGAGGGGAGAGACCCGGACCACGCAGGAGATCGTTCAGAGGGCGCTGGCGGTGGGGGTGCGGCTGGAAGAACGTCCGTGGAGCAGGGACGAAGGGCGTGGAGGGCGCGAACCAGCCAGGGGCTCCTCCTTCCTTCCCAGAGAAGCAGCGCGTGCGCAATCCACGCCTCCGCCAGGAGGAGGAGCGGAACCTATGGAGGTAGGAGGTGCAAGGGCTCAGTCAGCAGCCAGAGCCCTAGCACCGGCAGCAGTGAAGCGAAGCCTCCTAGAGGGAACAGGAAGTGTTACATCTGCGATGATCCACAGCATATGGCGAAAGAGTGTCCCCAGAGGCTCCACAAGCACACTGCAGCCTCAGCAATGGTAACTGCAGCAACGCAGCAAGGAGAACCACAGCAGGGAAACGACGGAGTCTGGCTGGAGAAAGAGGCACTGGGGCCCAGCCAGACGTGTCAGTGAAGCAGTCCCCAGAGATTTTACAGCCCATGGACCCCTCCCGCCCAAACCAGTAGTGAGGCTCACCGCGTCGCTCCAGCTGCCCAATGGAATCACCATGGACGTGCCAATCACCATTGACTCCGGAAGCAATGCGGACTTTATAGGGCAGGACTTTGTCGACCGGCACGCTATACAGTTGCTGCCTGCCACGCTGCCCCTGCAGGTTGTCACGGTGGATGGCAGGGAGCTGCTAGGGGGGCAAGTGGTGAAGCAGACGCCACCAATGGTGATGCGACTTGGGAATCACAGGGAAATCATCAGCTTCAATGTCACTCAACTATCGGACACGCCCATTGTATTGGGCATGAGTTGGCTGGACAAGCACAGCCCGACGCTGGCTTGGTACCAGAGGCAGCTGACCTTCGGCTCTTCCTTTTGCGCTGAACACTGCATCGTGCCCCGGCAGGAAGGAGAGGAAGAGGTGTCACAGCTGCAGCTAGGCACGCTGCAAGCGGTTCCCCACAAGTACGCAGAATTTTTGGAGGTTTTCTGCGAGAAGGAGGCAGACAGGCTACCCCCCCACAGACCATATGACTGCAAAATTGACCTGCTGCCGGGGGCGGCGCTGCCCAAAGGGAAGCTGTATTCCATGTCTGAGGACGAACTGCAGGAACTCAAAGAGTTCATAGATCATAATTTGGACCGCGGTTTCATCCGAGAGTCCAAGGCAGCGGGGGGGCAGTCCGGTATTCTTTGTTAAGAAGCGGGACACGCCCCAAAAAAAGACTTGTAGTGGACTATCGCATTTTGAACAGTGTGACCAAGCCATCGGACTTCCCCATGCCCCGAATCGACGACCTCCTCGCAAAGGTACGGAAGGGCAGCGTGTTCACCAAGTTGGACCTGCGAGGGGCGTACAACCTCATTCGCATGCGGGAAGGAGATGAGTGGAAGACAGCCATGTTCACGCCCCTGGGCACCTACGAATATAGAGTTATGCCTTTTGGATTGCAAAATGGTTCCCACGTTTTCAAGCTTTCATGCATCACGTGTTGGCGGGGCTCCTCTACAAGACGTGCGTCTGTTTCTTGGATGACATCCTGATCTTTTCGGAATCGCAGCAGGAGCATGACAGACACGTCAAGGAAGTGCTGAGCAGGCTACAGCAACATAGGCTTTACGCCAAGCTGGAGAAGTGCCAATTCGACGTGACCGAGGTGGATTTCCTGGGCTACAAGTTGTCTGACAAGGGGCTCGCCATGGACAGCGCCAAGGTTCGAGCAGTGTTGGATTGGAAAAGCCCACGCAACCGGAAGGAGGTCCAACGGTTTGTCGGCTTCGCGAACTTCTATCGCAAGTTTATCAAAGGCTTTGCCATGCAGACAGCGGCCATCACGGACACGCTCAGCTCCAAGAAAAAGAAGTTCATCTGGACAGAGCAGGCGGAGCAGTCCTTTCAGGCACTCAAGCGTCTCTTCCCGTCGGAAGAGCAGCTGCTTCATGTCAACCCCAGCAGGCCGATGAGGGTGGAGACAGACGCTTCGGACAGAGCCGTGGGAGCAGTCCTGCTGCAGAAAGACCCGCAGGGGGCTTGGAGGCCGGGAGCGTTTTACTCCAGGAAGCTCAGCAAGTCTGAACAGAACTACACCATCTGGGACAGGGAGTTGCTGGCCATTCATGCAGCATTCAAAGCGTGGAGGCACTTCCTGATCGGCGCCAAGCACACGGTGCAGGTCTGCACGGACCACAAGAATCTGGAGCACTGGCGCACGGCACAGTTCCTGAACCAGAGGCAGATACGTTGGGCTGAGTTCTTTGCGAACTTCGACTTCCGAATAGAGTATGTCCCGGGGGACACCAACATCATGGCGGATGCTCTCTCCCGTAAGCCACAGTATCTGGAGGAGGCAACGCCAGCGGCCGCCATGCACATCTTCGCACCGACAGTGTGGGCGTGCGCTGCTGCAACAGTTGACCTGGAGGCGGTGCGACGAGCGTTGCAGGATGACTCCTTCGCGCAAGCAAAGATGGCAGAGGTGCGCAAGGGCACGGCAGCGACCGACGAGTTCCTGCTGCGAGATGGATTGCTCATCCGTAAAGGGGCCATCTACGTGCCGGGAGACGAACTTCGCGCCAAGGTACTGCAGCAGCTGCACGACGCGTCCACTGCCGGGCACTTTGGCAAGGAGAAGACGGTGGAATTAGTCGCCAGAGACTTCTGGTGGCCCGGAATGAGAGGGGAAGTCGCGGACTACGTGGCGAGGTGTGACACCTGCCAGAGGGCCAAACCAGTGCACAGACCGCCGGCCAGACTGCTGGAACCACTGCAAACTCCGTTCGAACCATGGGAGAGAGTGGCCCTGGACTTTGTCACGGATCTGCCCAGCTCGAGGGGCAAGACGGCAGTGCTAGTGGTGGTGGACATGTTCACCAAAATGGCCCACTTCATTCCGTGCGCAAAGGTGGCCACAGCGGAACAGACCGCCAAACTGTTCATAGACCACGTGTTCAGGGTTCACGGTCTGCCACGGTCTATCCTGTCCGACCGGGGGCGACAGTTCATCTCGAACTTCTGGCAGAAGCTGATGGGTTTCCTGAACGTCAAGATCAACCTAGCGTCGGCAAGACACCCGCAGACCAACGGACAAGCGGAGCGAGTCAACGCCATCATGCAGCAGTACCTGAGATGCTACGCAAATCAGCAGCCGGCAACATGGGTGGACTACCTGCCGCTCGCTGAGTTCGCCTACAACAACACGAAGCACGTGTCCACGGGGGTGACACCGTTCTTCGCCAACAACGGGAGGCATCCCAGAACCTTCCCGGGATTAGAGAGACTGGGGGAGGGGGAGCCACAGGCAGCGGAAGCCTTAGCGTCAGAGTTGCAGGAGGTTCACGAACAGCTTCGGAGGCAGTTAGAACTAGCAAAGCACGCATACAAACTGCAGGCTGACAAGCACAGAAGGGTTGGGGAAGACATACAGGTGGGAGACTGGGTTTGGTTAGCAGCCCAGGCGGTGCCGGCCAGATCGTTAGCGAAGAAGAAGCTCGGACATAAGCAGCTAGGCCCTTACCAAGTCGAGGCACAGGTCAATCCAGTGGCCTTCCGGTTGACACTTCCGGAGGGATCCAGAATGCACCCAGTGTTCCATAGATCAGTGCTCACGCCCTACAAAGCACCTCACAGATTTCAGGAGCCGGGCACGGCACCAGACCCGCTCAGGGAGACGCCCCCAAGGAGGGGGTCGCCAAGGGGGGAACCCATCAACGAGGTCACAGAGATTTTAGACTCGAGATGGGGGGAAGAGGGTGTAGAATATTTTCTCGCCAGAGAAGGTACCCCGGCCAGCGCCAACAGTTGGGTGCCGGACTATGCCTTGGACGAGCCTCTTCTCAAGGACGAGTTTCATGCCCTTTTCCCACACAGGCCCATGCCAGCCGAGTATTTCGACGACTGGCTTTTCACACCCACATTTTCAGCCAGCACATTCCAGGGGTTCACCTCGGACGAGGAACCGGCACTAGAAACACGTTCCCCGGAGGGATCACCCTCGGAGTCGGCCTCAGACCGTTCCTATTGGTGGGACGATCGACCAGAGGAGCAGTGGCGCAGGAAGTGGCTGGGGGGTCCTTGGCAGGCAACGTCCCCGGAGGAGACCGGGGGAGAGACGGACATGGACGTGTTGGGGGAGGACCTTGGGTTCGAGCACAGCGGCAAAGAGATGGAAGCAGAGGAAATCGAGGTCGGCGAGAGCACGGAGGACGAGCCGGACTTATCCGGCTGGATGCACGCCACGGGGGACGAACTGTATCCGGCACTCACCCCCACAACGACGGAGCACCCAGTACCCACACCTGAAGGAGGGGAGGGGGGAAGGGGGGCTTCGAGGGGGGGATGGATGTCAGGGGTTCCGGAACAGAGGCACAGGAAAGGGAGGAAATAGAGAGCGAGGGGGAGGAGTCCGAAGGTAATGTTAGCGATGACAGCGGTCCGAGGTCTCTGAGTCTTTCCAGCGAATCGGAAGATTCACAGAAAGGGGCTCCCATGGTCAGAGCAAGGGGGGTGCCGAGGGGGACACCCCAGGAAGAAGGGGCCAGAGGGGACTCAGAGAGAAGCAGTTGGAAATCAGGACCAGCGTCCACACCAGAGTGCAGTAGGGGGGAGGAGTCCCAGGCATCGGGATCAGGCGGCGCACTGCCAGTGGGAGGACATGAGTCAGGATTGGCCACGCCTCCATCGGGGAGCGAGGAAACGGTCGAGAGGAAGGTTGAAGGCTGGGCGCGTGCGCCAAGTTCAAATGTACAGGAGGGCGGTGCAGTTGGCAGCCCGGATAGGGAGCCAGGTCCCAAAGCCCGCCGAAAAGACGGGGAGGAGTCAGGGGGGTCAACGTCAGCGTCAGAAGAATCCAGGAAGGAAGGGACCCCGGGGGGTAGCAGGACCCAGAGGAGAAAGGAGAGACGGAAGAGGTGGAGTAAGGCTAGAATCTTAAACTGGTGTACAGGGGGCGGAGACTCAGATGGAGCTTCGCCGATCTAACCATGAGACGTAGAGTTGCACGCAGCAGCTTGAGAATGGAAACTGTAACTCAATAAAGACTTTTGTTTAATGATCGCTGGCTAGCGTGATCCTCTGTGAGCTAGGATCTGGAAGCAGCTCTGACAATAACTAATTCTGTTTTCTGTTGTAATTCCTTTTGGCCTTGCTCCATTGTGCTTTTTACCAAAAACGTAGTCTTATTCTTGTTTAGTTTAAAGCCTCCGGCCTGCCCGAAGTCCCGTATCTTTTCTACCACATTCGGTGGAGTATTTTTGGGATTCTTTACTGTAATTACAAGGTGAACTGTAGAAGCTTTTAATTTATATGCTTTATTTTCTACTGTTATTCCTGTAATTAATTTCTCCACTTTTTCTCTCTCACCAGGGCCTCTAATACCAAAATAAATAATAATGGTGATAGGGGATATCCTTGTCTTGTCCCCTTTGTTATTTTACACTTTTCTTTTATAACCTTATTAACAATCAGCATAGACTGTTGGTAAAAATAAATTGCATCAATTCCTCTCCCAAATGCTTCCCCAAAATTCATTTTTTCTTTTATCTTTTTCATAAAAGCCCATGAAACATTATCAAAAGCCTTTTCAGCATCAATAAACATTAAGACCGCTTTTTTCTCACTTCTTACTTCCAAATATTCAATAATATCAATTATATTCCTTCATCTGACGTCCTCGTAGAAAGCAGGCCTGCTTGTCATGAATTTTTTCTGCTAAAACACCTTTCATTCTATTGCCCAAGATATGAGCAATACTCTAAATGGACTTCTATCGACTTCCATCCTACAGGAGTGATGGCCAACAACTTGGATAGCTTGAAAAAGAGGATTAGACTGAAAGCAGAGGAAGGCAGAGGGCTCTTGTACTCAAATCCTGCTTGCTGGTTTCCCGCAGGCATTTAGTTGACAACTGTGAGAACAGGATGCTGGACTACGTGGGCCTTTGCCCAAATGAGCAGGCTCTTCTTATATTCTAATACAGGGATCCCCAAACTTGGCCTTCAAGATGTTTTTGGGACTACAACTCCCATCATCTGTAGCTAACAGGACCAGTGTTCAGGGATGATGGGAATTGTAGTCCCAAAACATCTGGAGGGCCAAGTTTGGGGGTGCCTGTTCTAATATATTGCAATATTTTAACAGTTACATGTGGCATAGTAACAAAAAATTTTACTTCTTAGTCATAGGAGAGAGTGCTACTTGAGCCTGTGATCATTTCCTCCCTGGAGAAAGAGAAATACAGAGATGTGTCTAAGAAGCCAATTCCACCATCGATTATAAAATAATGCAGTTTATTAAGTGTGAATGGAGTGATCATGTGTTGTTCTTGCAATTATCTCAACTGCATTCCTAAAACTTTGGAACATAGAGAGGACAATGGAGAAATGAGATAGTGTTAAAATAAGAGAAGGTGCATACTGGGATTGAAATGTGTTCAGTTCCTTTCCTGTCTTTCCTGAAAGTCTTAACAGGATTCTCTTCCCCCTCCCCCACTCCCAAACAGGTGAGGAAGACGATGGCCAGAATTCTATGGAGCCATCTGTGAATTCATTGGGAAGAACAAAGAAACAGTTTAAATGCATGGAATGTGGGATGTTCTTTAGTCACAGTGGAAGACTGAGGACACATCAACGAATTCACACAGGGGAGAAACCGTGTAAATGTACTGACTATCGAAAGAGCTTCAGGGACAATGGAACACTTAGAAAACATCAACGAACTCACACAGGGGATAAACCATTTGAATGTATTGAATGTGGAAAGAGCTTCAATGATAGTAGAAACCTTAGACAACATCAACAAACTCACACGGGGGAGACACCATTTAAATGTATTGAATGTGGAAAGTGCTTCAGTCAAAATGGAAAACTTAGAAGACATCAACGAACTCACACAGGGGAGAAACCATTTAAATGTATTGAATGTGGAAAGAGCTTCAGTGGAAGTGGAGACCTTAGAAAACATCAACAAACTCACACGGGGGAGAAACCATTTGAATGTATTGAATGTGGAAAGAGCTTCAGTGGAAGTGGAGACCTTAGAAGACATCAACGAACTCACACGGGGGAGAAACCATTTAAATGTATTGAATGTGGAAATAGCTTTAGTCGAAATGAACACCTTAGAATACACGAAGGAACTCACACGGGGGAGAAACCATTTAAATGTATTGAATGTGGAAAGTGCTTCAGTCAAAATGGAACACTTAGATTGCACCAACGAACTCACACGGGGGAGAAACCATTTAAATGTATTGAATGTGGAAAGAGCTTCAGTCGATATGGAAACCTTAGAAGACACCAACGAACTCACATGGGGGAGAAACCATTTGAATGTATTGAATGTGGAAAGAGCTTCAATGATAGTAGAAACCTTAGACAACATCAACAAACTCACACGGGGGAGACACCATTTAAATGTATTGAATGTGGAAAGTGCTTCAGTCAAAATGGAAAACTTAGAAGACATCAACGAACTCACACAGGGGAGAAACCATTTAAATGTATTGAATGTGGAAAGAGCTTCAGTGGAAGTGGAGACCTTAGAAAACATCAACGAACTCACACGGGGGAGAAACCATTTGAATGTATTGAATGTGGAAAGAGCTTCAGTGGAAGTGGAGACCTTAGAAGACATCAACGAACTCACACGGGGGAGAAACCATTTAAATGTATTGAATGTGGAAATAGCTTTAGTAGAAATGAACACCTTAGAATACACGAAGGAACTCACACGGGGGAGAAACCATTTAAATGTATTGAATGTGGAAAGTGCTTCAGTCAAAATGGAACACTTAGATTGCACCAACGAACTCACACAGGGGAGAAACCATTTGAATGTATTGAATGTGGAAAGAGCTTCAGTGGAAGTGGAGACCTTAGAAGACATCAACGAACTCACACGGGGGAGAAACCATTTAAATGTATTGAATGTGGAAATAGCTTTAGTAGAAATGAACACCTTAGAATACACGAAGGAACTCACACGGGGGAGAAACCATTTAAATGTATTGAATGTGGAAAGTGCTTCAGTCAAAATGGAACACTTAGATTGCACCAACGAACTCACACGGGGGAGAAACCATTTAAATGTATTGAATGTGGAAAGAGCTTCAGTCGATATGGAAGCCTTAGAAGACACCAACGAACTCACATGGGGGAGAAACCATTTGAATGTATTGAATGTGGAAAGAGCTTCAATGATAGTGGAAACCTTAGACAACATCAACGAACTCACACGGGGGAGAAACCATTTAAATGTATTGAATGTGGAAAGCGCTTTAGTCAATATGTACACCTTAGAAAACATCAACGAACTCACACGGGGGAGAAACCATTTAAATGTATTGAATGTGGAAAGTGCTTCAGTCAAAATGGAACACTTAGATTGCACCAACGAACTCACACGGGGGAGAAACCATTTGAATGTATTGAATGTGGAAAGCGCTTTAGTCAATATGTACACCTTAGAAAACATCAACGAACTCACACGGGGGAGAAACCATTTATATGTATTGAATGTGGAAAGTGCTTCAGTCAAAATGGAACACTTAGATTGCACCAACGAACTCACACGGGGGAGAAACCATTTAAATGTATTGAATGTGGAAAGTGCTTCTGTCAAAATGGAACACTTAGATTACACCAATGAACTCACACTGGGGAGAAACCATTTAAATGTATTGAATGTGGAAAGAGCTTCAGTCGATATGGAAACCTTAGAAGACACCAACGAACTCACATGGGGGAGAAACCATTTAAATGTATAGAATGTGGAAAGAGCTTCAGTCGAAATGGAACACTTAGAATACACCAACAAACTCACACGGGGGAGAAACCATTTAAATGTATTAAATGTGGAAAGAGCTTCAATGATAGTGGAAACCTTAGACAATATCAACAAACTCACACGGGGAGACACCATTTAAATGTATTGAATGTGGAAAGTGCTTCAGTCAAAATGGAAAACTTAGAAGACATCAACGAACTCACACGGGGGAGAAACCATTTAAATGTATTGAAAGGGGGAAGAGCTTCAGTCAAAATGGAACACTTAGAATACACCAACGAACTCACATAGGGGAGACACCATTTGAATGTATTGAATGTGGAAAGAGCTTCAGTCGAAATGGAACACTTAGAATACACCAACGAACTCACACAGGGGAGAAACCATTTAAATGTATTGAAAGGGGGAAGAGCTTCAGTCAAAATGGAACACTTAGAATACACCAACGAACTCACACGGGGGAGAAACCATTTGAATGTATTGAATGTGGAAAACGTTTTAGTCAATATGTACACCTTAAAAGACATCAACGAACTCACACGGGGGAGAAACCATTTAAATGTATTGAATGTGGAAATAGCTTTAGTAGAAGTGAACACCTTAGATTACACCAATGAACTCAGACTGGGGAGAAACCATTTAAATGTATTGAATGTGGAAAGAGCTTCAGTCGATATGGACACCTTAAAAGACACCAACGAACTCACATGGGGGAGAAACCATTTAAATGGATAGAATGTGGAAAGAGCTTCAGTCGAAATGGAACACTTAGAATACACCAACAAACTCACACGGGGGGAGAAACCATTTAAATGTATTGAATGTGGAAGGAGCTTCAGTCAAAATGGACACTTTAGGAAACATCAACGAACTCACACCGGAGAAGCCATTTAAATGTACTGAATGTGGAAAGAATGTGGAAAGAGCTTCAGTCCATATCGACAACTTATAAGACACCAACTAACACATGGGGAAGAAACCATTTTAATGTATGGCATGTGGAAGGAGCTGCAGCAAAAGTAGAGCACTTAGAATACACCAACTAACTCATACAGGGGAGAAACCATTGGAATGTATTGAATGTGGGAAGAGCTTCAACAGGAAGGATAAACTTACATTACATTGGCGAACTCCCACAGTGGAGAAGCTTAAGTCAATATGGAACCTTAGGAAACATCCGCTGACTCACATGGGGAAAGCCAGATTTATGAAACGTGGAAAGAGCTTCAGAGGGAGTGAAGACCTTACTATCCATAAGAAAATTCACACAGGCGGAAACCATATAAATGTATGGAGTTTTCCACTCAGGTTTTACCAGATTTCCTGGGAAGTGAAGATTACTGTCAAGTCTTTGGATGTACAGAAAAGAATTTGGCAGTGTTTGTTTTCAATAATAATAATAGCAACAGCAACAATAATAACAATAATTTATGCCACACCCATCTGGCTGGCTTTCCCTGCGGCAGAGCCACTCTTGGTGGCTTCCAACAAAATATTGAAATACAATAGTCCTTCAGATATTAAAAGCTTCCCTAAACAGGGCAGCCTTCAGATGTCTTTTAAAGCCTGGTGGCTGTTTTTTCCTTTGACATCTGGTGGGAGGGTATTCCACAGGGAGGGCACCACTACCGAGAAGGCCTTCTGCATGGTTCCCTGTAACTTCACTTCTCGCAGTGAGGCAACCTCCAGAAGGCTCTTGGTACTGGACCTCCATGTCCAGGCAGAACGATGGGGGTGGAGACTCTCCTCCTGTCACCAGTCTAGCCGCCGCATTCTGGATTAGTTGCAGTTTCGGGACCACTTACACAGGTAGCCCCACGTAGAGCGCATTGCAGTAGTCCAAACAGGAGATAACTGGAGCATACACTACTCTGGCAATACAGTCTAAGGGCAGATAGGGTCTTAGCCTGCGTACCAGATTGAGCTGGTAAACAGCTGCCCTGGACACAGAATTGACCTGCGCTTCCATTGACAGCTGCAAATCCAAAATGACCGCCAGGCTGTGCACCTGGTCCTTTAGGGGCACAGTTACCCCATTCAGGACCAGGGAGTTCTCCACACCTGCCTGCCTCCTGTCTCCCAAAAAGGACATCTACCTTGTCAGCATTCAACTTTAATATGTTAGCTGCCATCCATCCTCCAACCACCTCCAGACACTCACACAGGACCTTCATCATCTTCACTGGTTCTGATTTGAAAGAGAGGTAGAGCTGGGTATCCGCATACTGATGAACATCCAGCCCAAACCCCCTGATCTCTCCCAGCGGCTTCATGTAGAAATCTGAAAAGCATGGGGAGAGGACGGAACCCTGAGGCACCCCACAAGTGAGAGCTCAGGGGTCTGAACACTCATCCCCCAACACCACTTTCTGAACAAGCCCCAGTGTATAACAGTTCCTCCAGCTCCCAGCCCCTCTAGTTGATCCAGAAGGATGTTATGGCCAATGGTGTCAAAAGCCTCTGAAAGATCCAGCAGATCTAGGAAATAGCTCTCACCTTGGTCCCTAGCCCGCCGGAAATTATCGTGTCCAGGTCAGTTTCAGTCCCATGATGAGGCCTGAATCCCAACTGGAAGGGATCCAAATGGTCCACATCTTCCAGGCGTCCCTGGAGTTGTTCAACAACCACCCACTCATGCACCTTGCCAAAGAATGGAAGATTTGAGACTGGGCGATAGTTGGCTGTATTGGCTGGGTCTAAAGATTTTTTTTAAAGCAGTTTAATACAGTGGTGCCTCGGATTACATACGCTTCAGGTTACAGACTTCGCTAACCCAGAAATATTACCTTGGGTTAAGAACTTTGCTTCAGGATGAGAACAGAAATTGTACAGCGGCAGCAGGAGGCCCGATTAGCTAAAGTGGTGCTTCAGGTTAAGAACAGTTTCACGTTAAGAACAGATCTCCAGAACGAATTAAGTTCTTAACCTGAGGTACCACTGTAACTGCCTCTTTCAGTGTGTCTGGGAAGGCTCCCTCACAGAGAGAAGCATTCACCACCCCATGGAGCCCATCGCCCAGCCCTTCCCGGCTAGATTTTATGAGCCAGGATGGGCAAGGATCAAGGAGACAGGTGGTTGGTTTCACTCATCTAAGCAGCCTGTCCACATCCTCGGACATAACAGATTGGAATTGATCCCACGCAACTTTACTAGACAGGACTCTAGCACTCACCAGCCCCCGCCCTGCTCCCACGGGGGAGTCTACCTCTCTTAATCTGAGCGACTTTATTTGCAAAAACTTTGCAAAATCATTGCAGGAGATCATGTGGCCTGTACCGGGCACCATTGGAGAGATGGTTCCATTAAATTGCAAACCACCTGAAAGAGTCTCCTGCTGCTGTTTTCTGCAGATGCAATAGAGGGGGTGAAGAAGGTTTTCTTCACCTTCAGTATCGCCATTTGGTAGGCTCAACGTTGAGCTCTAACCCGTGTCCGGTCAGATTCAGAATGAGGTTTCTGCCACTGGCGCTCTACCCATCTCGTTGCCCTCAGATCCTTGGAAAACCATGGGATGGTTGCACTCCATGCAATCGGAGTGGGCTTTTTGGAGCCAGATACTCAATAGCCCTGGTTAACTCCACATTCCAACAGGCCACCAAGGAATCAGCTGAAAGGCCATCAACATGGGATAAAACATCCCCTGCCACTCTCTGGAAACCATTTGGATCCATTAAGTGGTGGTGGCGGACCATCCAAATCGAACCCACATCCCTGCAGAGGGGAAGGGTTGTGGAGAAGTCCAGTTGCACCAGGAAGTGATCTGAACATGGCACTTATTTAGTTTCGCTTTTACTTAGTGTCAGATCACCAACATCCATAGAGGAGAAAAACCAGGTCTAAGGCATTTCTGCGACTATAAGTTGGGCCAAACTTATTTAGGGACAGCCCATGGAGGCCATGCTTTCCACAAAGTCCCAATCGGCCCCTTGTAAGGTTGTGTCGGCGTGAATGTTAAAATCCCCCAGGACAACCAAATTAGGTGTCTCCAGGAGAACATCTGCCACGACCTGAAGCAGCTTGGGCAGGGAATCCTTGGTGCAGCGGGGTGGTCGGTACACCAAAAGGAATCCTGTACTGCCCCTATTGTCCAACTTCAAGAACATTCACTCAGAGAACTGGGTCTTCCCAATAGGACGCCTGGTGCAAATTAATGACTTCCTACAAATCACTGCAAATCACACCCTCCCCTGCCCACATGACTTGGGTTGCTGTGCGTAAGAGAAACCTGATGGACAAGCAGTGGCAAGGACAGGTCCACCTGCTTCATCCCACCAGGTCTCTGTTAAACATGCCAGGTCAAGTTCTCCATCCACAATCAAGTCATGGATGGCAGTGGTCATATGAATCATTGACCTGGCATTCCATAGCGGCACCTTCGGGTCATGTGGGTCTCCCTTGCTGATTCCAGTATCCATCCAAATGACACCAGACCCAGAGGCAGGGATAGTCCTCAAACTGAAATGGGGGGCCATGCTATTTGGTGACCCTCTTTTTTCTTTTTTAATTTATACTTCTACATCACACAAACAAGCATTGAATAAAACGAACAAACAATAGAAAACAGAAGAAAATGCAAAAACTAAATTACAAGGATCTAAACATAATATGCAATCAAAAATACAAAACATTATATTCTCTCCAAAAAAGGAAAAAGAACGAAAAACACCAAAAAAGAAAAAGAAAGGGGGGGGAATGACTTCTAACTAACTCCATGTGGCTCTTTATTCTTCATATCACTGGTTGTCTGTAATGATTAATTTTTTGGAGAATTATTCTAATTACCTGTGACATTTTTATTCTAAACTAAGCCAAGTATGAATCTGGAAATCGGTTCTCTTCGTATAATTTATAAAGACTTTCCACTCTCTCCTTATTTTCTCATTAGAATAACTTCTTATTAAACCTGTAAGTCTGGCCAATTCAAGATATCCTGACAATTTAAGAACTCTTTCTTCTTTTGTTGGTGTTATGTTACTTTTCCAATTTTTAGCCATTACTATCCTGGCCGCCGTTACTGCATACAAAAATATTATTTTGGTTTCTTTTGGGATGTCTGTTGTTAATAGGCCCAAAAAAACCTTTCTGGTTTTTTGGAGAAAGTATGTCTTAACATTTTAATTAATTCTTCATTAATGGTATCTCAAAATTATTTAATTTTAGGGCACGTCCACCACATATGGAAGACATTCACTTCTTTAAGTTTGCACCTCCAACACTTTCCACTGGTGTTTTGGTACATTTTAGCCAATTTCGAGGGTTTAAGATACCATCTGTACATCATTTTTAAAAAAAATTATTTTATTGTATAACATGCTGTAAATCTTATGTGGTGTGGTGTGGTGTGGTGTAGTGGTTAAGAGCGGTAGTCTCGTAATCTGGGGAACCTGGTTCGCGTCTCCGCTCCTCCACATGCAGCTGCTGGGTGACCTTGGGCTAGTCACACTTCTTTGAAGTCTCTCAGCCCCACTCACCTCACAGAGTGTTTGTTGTGGGGGAGGAAGGGAAAGGAGATTGTTAGCCGCTTTGAGAGTACTGAAGGGGAGTGAAAGGCGGGATATCAAATCCAAACTCCTCCTCTTCTTCTTTTCTATAAGTTTTCCCATTTTTCTAAATCAATTGAATGACCGATATCTTGTGCCCATTTGACCATGACATCTTTAAACTCTTTGTCTCTTAAGTGCCAATTTAATAATAGTTTATACATTTTGGATAAATTTTTATCATCATTTATAATCATTTTTTTGTCTATTTCGGATAATTTTGTATCAAATCCATTTACATTCTTGTCTTCCTCAAAAATTGGATTTAATTGATGGTATTGAAACCAGCCTTTTCCTGTATGTCTTATTTCATATTTTTTTCATTTGTAATCTACTATTTACTTCCTCTAAAAGATCTTTATACATCAACCAATTTGAATCCATATTTTTTCTTTTTACTGCCTCTGCCTCCATTGGTGACAACCACCATCGGGTTTTTGGTTCTAATATTTTTTTGTTGCTTTCCCAAACTTCATAAAAGGCTTTCCTAATAATGTGATTTAGGAATCCCTTGTGGATTTTTGCTTTATTGTAACCCGGGTAGCCGTGCCACCCCACTATATTATCCCAGCCCTCAATATCCAATAATTTAGTATTCTTCAAGATCATCCATTCCTTGAGCTAGACCAGGCCGGCAACTTCTCTTTTTAAAAAAAAAATAATTTTTATTAACAGGCCAATCACATCACATTATCCAAATCACATTAGTTTCAAATTATACAGCCAAATTTTAAATTTTGTTGGGGGTACCCATACATCAAGCTCCGCACGAGTCCAAAACTCCGAACGAGTCCAAACATCACTTATATTACTGCTTTAATTAGACAGTTCTATCCAGTTCAATCCAGATAGTCCTTTAATTACTTTCTTTCTCTTCTTGTTGTTATCGTATATTCCTTTCTTTGTGATCTCTGATAATTTTCACAAGCAGATTGAAAACAGGCATCCTTTGTGTGGGTTTTGTACTGTCCAAAGATCATATCACTCAGGGACACCCTCTGTTCAGCGCTTCCATAAAAAAAATTAATCTTCGGTCTGTCCTTTACTTTTCTCAGGCTTGCCAAATAAATCAAATGAGTCAGGAGGCTCTGTCAGGTCAAGTTTGCATTCCAACATTCCTTCTCTTTTGAATAATCCTGATTCTCCTCCCCCTGTCCTTCTTTCTCCGGCAAGCCTGTCTTGGCGAGACGCCATTTTTTAACTGCGTCATGAAAATTTTCCTCTTTCTCACCGTTCACCAATCCTCTCTCCTGTTATAATCCATCCCACACAGTTCTTGAATTCCTGCTTGTGATTAATAAAAACGCAACAATCTTATTTCTATCTGGGGTGAAGGGTTATTAATATCACATCGTGCAAATAAAAAATTTTTTTCCTCCACACACACCCCCCCCCCCTTCATTCCAAACATACAGTCTCCTAGTGGTGATTCATCAGAAGATTTACTTATCCATCTGTCACTCCTGGTCACAGAGATCCATTAATCAGCACTCTTATCTCTCGAACATTACTTGATATATGTGCTTCAGCTTCATTCCAATCGTATGTTTCCAATTATAATTCCGAGCTGAAGCTAACCAGCACGCGCTAATTGGAATCGGCGTCAGGAAGATCTGACTTCACCGAGGGCTCGTGCCAAGTGTTCGGCAGCCCCATCTCTCGGATCGGGGGTGCATTGTGAACACCGCTGGCAAGGCAGTGCCCCCCGTCTCCTGGGGGGGTAGGAAGACTGCATACTTCCCATAGCAGCCCCTTATTTACCTCGTATGGGCCAGAGAGATGTTATTGTCGGCCATCTTCCAACGCGCCACCTGGTGGCCCCCAGGCAGACAACTTCATAGTAGATCCTAAAATCTGGCATTCCAAACCCTCCTTTGTTTTTGGTTACTGTTAATAGTTTAAATTTAATTCTGGTGTTTTTTTTTGCCCTGCCAAATGTATTTCGCCAAATACCTGTGCCATTCCTTAAAACAATTTAAGCCATTAAGAACCGGAATTGATTGAAAAAGGAACTGCATTTTTGGTAAAACTACCATCTTGATTGTAGAAATTCTTCCCCACAACGTGAGTTTTAATTTACTCCAGATTTCTAAGTCTTTCCTAATTTTGCTCCATACCTTAATATAATTGTCTTTCTATAAATTAATGTTTTTCATGGTTATCCAAATTCCTAAATACTTTGCTCTGTAATTTTAAGTCTATTTCTAACTTTACTTTTTCTTGTATATCTAATTATTTTACCAGGAGTTTTGTTTTTTCTTTATTAATTTTGAATCGTGATAATTGTCCAAACGCCTTTCTTTTTCCTTTCCTTTCCTTTTATTATAATAATTTTTATTGATTTTCTTTCTTACAACAAATATTCATCACCATCACTAAATATTCCTATATCTCATCATAGTCTTTCAATTTTAACTTTCCTTCTTGTTCTATTAGTAATTCTCTGTATGTTGGCCGTATTCCTTCCATTGTTGATGTGTTAAGTGATAGTGCTTCAATGGGTGATAGCCACCATGGAGTTTGGGGTTCCAATAATTTTTTGTATTTTCCTCATACCTTTATTAAAAACTTATTATTGTATTATGGAGTCCTTTGTGTACTTTTGTTTTCCCATACCACAAATATGCATGCCAACCAAATCTGTTGTCATGTCCTTCCAGTTCTATTGCCTCTTCTTTCTCCAATTTAATCCAATCTCGAATCCGAGTAAGACAAGCTGCTTCATAGTAAATTTTGAGATCTGGAAGGGAAAAGCCTCCCCTTTCTTTTAAGTCTGAGTTTTGTATTTTATTCTTGGCCTTGTTTTTTCCAACATTACTACAATAATAATAATAATAATAATAATAATAATAATAATAATAAATAATAGTAATAATAACAACAATAATTTATTATTTGTACCCCGCCCATCTGCCTGGGTTTCCCAGAGCAGCCTTTTTCATCCTGTGGGTCCCCAGATGTTGCTGAACTACAACTCCCATCACCCCTAGCTAGCAAGGCCAGAGCTCAGGGATGATGGGAGTTGTAGTCCAACAACATCTGGGGACCCACAGGTTGAGAACTGCTGCTGTAGAGGGTTTTCTGTTGTAATTATTAGATTGTCTGCTTAGGCTCTGACCTTATAGGCCCTTTGTCCAACTTTAATTCCTTGTATTCTAGGGTCTTCTCTTATTGCTTTAAAATATACTTCCAGAAGTGTGATAAAGAGGAGAGGAGAAAGAGGGCAGACCTGTCTTGTTCCCTTAGAGATATTAAAATCTTCTGATATTTCACCATTGATAATTAGTCTGACCTTTTGGGAATTATAACTCGCTTTTATGCCACTACATATTTTCTCACCCAAACTCGTCATTTCCAAAGTTTTTTGCATGAATGCCCCTGAAACATCAAATGCTTTCTCCGCATCCACCAAGAGCAGGGCTGCCTTTTTATCTGGTCTCATTCTAGGTATTTTATTGTATCTACAGTGGTGCCTTGCAAGACGAAATTAATTCGTTCCGCAAGTCTCTTCGTCTTGCGAGTTTTTCGTCTTGCGATGCACGGTTTCCCATAGGAATGCATTGAAAATCAATTAATGCGTTCCTAGGGAAACCGCCTTCAGACCAGGTCCGGGGACAGTCGGTCCCCGGACCTCTTCTGAAGGCTGGGGGGGGGGGGGACAAGGTCTTTTCTTCATACCCCCAGCATTTTAAAAAACCCCGGGACAGCGGAGGACTTCTCCGCTGTCCGGGCGATCTTAAAATGCTGGCGGGCGGCATTTTAAAATCGCCCCGGGACAGCGGAGGACTTCTCCGCTGTCCGGGGCGATTAAAGCCCCTGGGAAGGCAGGCAGGGGGACAAAGACTTTGCCCCCCGCCAGCCTTCAGAAGAGGTCCTGGACCTCTTCTGAAGGCGGGCGGGGGCAAAGTCTTTGCTCCCCTGCCTTCAAAAGCCCTCCGGGACAGGCAGACAGGGGGGAGCAAAGACTTTCGCCCCCCCGCCCGCCTTCAGAAGGTGTCCCCTCCCCCCGCCCGGCTTCCGGAGCACCGTGCCCGAGGCCGGGCGGCGGCGGGAGGTGTCCCCTCCCCCGCCCGGCATCGGAGCACCGTTACGAAGCCGGGCGGCGGGGGGAGGTCGTACCTCCCCACCGCCCGGCTTCGGAGCACCGTTCCGAAGCCGGGCGGCGGCGGGAGGTGTCCCCTCCCCCCCGCCCGGCTTCGGAGCACCGTTCCGAAGCCGGGTGGCGGCGGGAGGTGTTCCCACCCCGCCGCCCGGCTTCGGAGGAGCCTTCCGAAGCCCGGCGGCGGCGGGAGGAGGTGTCCCCGCCCCGCCACCAGGCTTCGGAGGAGGTCCGAGGACTGGGGAAGACGCGCTGCGCTTCCCCGCTGTCCCTGAGATTTCCCTATGGGCTGTCGTCTTGCGAAGCAAGCCCATAGGGAAATTCGTTTTGCGAAGCGCCTCCAAAACGGAAGACCCTTTCGTCTAGCGGGTTTTCCGTCTTGCGAGGCGTTCGTCTTGCGGGGTACCACTGTACTAAGAATCATAAAGGTAAAGGGACCCCTGACCATTAGGTCCAGTCGCAGACAACTCTAGGGTTGCGGTGCTCATCTCACTTTACTGGCCGAGGGAGCCGGCTTACAGTTTCCAGGTCATCTGGCCAGCATGACTAAGCCGCATCTGGCGATCCGGAGCAGTGCATGGAAACGCCGTTCACCTTCCCGCTGGAGTGTTATGTAATAAAAAAATTTAAGGCCTTTTATATATAATAGGTAAAGGTAAAGGTGCCCCTGCCCGTACAGGCCAGTCTTGACAGACTCTAGGGTTGTGCGCTCATCTCACTCTAGAGGCCGGGAGCCAGCGCTGTCCGCAGACACTTCCGGGTCACATGGCCAGCGTGACGAAGCTGCTGTGGCGAACTGGCACCAGAGCAGCACACGGAAACGCCATTTACCTTCCCACTAGAAAGCGGTACCTATTTATCTACTTGTACTTAAGGGTGCTTTCAAACTGCTAGGTGGGCAGGAGCTGGGACCAAACGACGGGAGCTCAGCCCGCCGCGGGGATTCGAACTGCCGACCATGCGATTGGCAAGTCCTAGGCGCTGAGGTTTTACCCACAGCGCCACCCGTGTCCCTTTATATATAATAGATGTTCATAAATGTACCAACCAAACACGTACATAGATACGTGGACCACGTGTCTGGAGCAGCACGGGAAGACTGTCCTGAAACCATTTTGACTCCCAAACTGACGAAATGTATTCTCTGCAAGGAGGGAGGGGTGAGGGGCCTTCCCATTGTCTCAGGAATTGGGTAATCACCGTCTCAAAGGAATGGCCAGACTACCAGGAAAGGCAATCAGATAAGACATTATCACATAACCTGGCAGACAGGAAAAACAACAACATTCAAAGTTCTGTTGTAGACCACCTTTTCTGTGGTGTAAGTATGATGTTGGTGGGGGGTGGTCTTGGGTTACACCCCTTCTGTGATGTATGTATGATGTATGGAGGGGTGGTCTTGAGCTCCAGGGCAGGGAATTTAAAAATTCTATGTAATGGCAGGCACACCTTTGTCCGGGGTCCTCCTCCTTTCTCCTGCCTGTGAGGGGAGCAACCTGTTGCAACAGTTCAATAAAGATCAGGCTTACTAGCTGCTTTGCTTCTCAATATTCTCTGGTTGGCTTCTTTGATTTTCTCCAACTGATGGAGAACCGGCAAAGGACTCTATAAGGGCTCTTGTGACCCCCATAAGGGAATAAGGGCAGATTTTGTTTACAACAGGTACCTATTTATCTACTTGCAGTTTGATGTGATTTCGAACTGCTAGGTTGGCAGGAGCAGAGACAGAGCAATGGGAGCTCACCCCTTCGCGGGGATTCGAACAGCCAACCTTCTGATCGGCAAGCCCTTAGTGAGGACAATATATTCTTGCAGGAACTGGGAGCCAAAGCAGGCACAGTCCAGCTGGGGCAAAGTATGATCTTATATTCCCTATGCACACGTTCCCTCCCTCCTCTTCCCATTGGTTGGGTGCTACAAGGTTTTCCTTCCCCCAGTTATCAAATAACAGACAAGAGGCTGAACGTGGGGAGAAGCTTCTCCTTCCTCCTCTGAGTTGCCTCCACTTCCGGCTTCACCAGCAGAGATAAAATTGGAGCTGGCAAAGGAGGGAGGGGAGGAGGCGGGAAGGGGGGCTGCATTGTGCGGAGGAGGGGGCTTCTTCCTAATTAAGCCTCCTAATTAAGCGCCCTCACGCCCTGCCTCCCACGCGGGGGCTCCCATTCCCGCCCCACTGCCCAGGATGTGGGGTGAGTGCAAAGCCAATGGCAGGGAAGGAGGGAAGGGGCTTTGCGAGGGGGTCCAGGATGAGAAGCCCCCGGACGGGGAGAAGAGAAGGGAGGGAAGGGAGCTGTTTTCTTAAAGGGGGCTTGAAGGGGAGGGGGGGGGGAGAAGCTTCCTCCTGCAGGGATCTGGTACAAAGGGAGTTGCAGGGAAGGAGGGGGGAGAGGGGTGGGCATTGCTGGCCAGGATCGCCTTAATAGTATTACAGTGCTACCTCGGGTTACATACGCTTCAGGTTACAGACTCTGCTAACTCAGAAATAGTACCTCGGGTTAAGAACTTTGCTTCAGGATCAGAACAGAAATCACGCAGCAGCAGCGCGGTGGCGGGTGGTCCCATTAGCTAAAGTGGTGCTTCAGGTTAAGAACAGTTTCACGTTAAGAACGGACCTCCAGAACGAATTAAGTATTTAACCCAAGGTACCACTGTAATTTAAATTTAGTATCTATACCCCAGCAGAAGACCCCTCGGAGGAGGACCTTATCTTTAGGCAACAGGCGAAAGCATTGCTCTTCTCCCAGGGGTTTGGCTTATTAAACAATCTTTGGACTTTACAACTGAGTTGGGGGGGTGTTGTTTTTATTTCTTACTCTGCTATGCATCTCTGTGTTTTTCTCTTGGGTAAGGTAATTGAGAGAGCGGTTGCCGAACAGCTTGGTTGGTTTCTGGAGGAAACATCGGCTGTAGATCCATTTCAGTCCGGTTTCCGTCCTGGTTTTGGGACCGAGACGGCTCTGGTTGCCCTAACAGACGATCTCCGTAGACAACTGGATCGAGGCGGGTCAGGACTGGTGATCCTTCTAGATTTGTCATGGTCGATCATTATCTTTGCCTTTGACATGGTCGATTATGATCTTCTGGACCACCGCCTCGCAGACGTGGGGATACAGGGCATAGCCCGTAACTGGCTGTGCTCTTTTATCTCTGGTCGGGGACAGAGGGTGGCACTAGGGAGGGAAATGTCGTCGCACCACTCCTTGGTGTGTGGAGTGCCACAGGGCACAATTCTCTCCCCGATGCTTTTAAACATCTTTATGCGCCCCCTTGCCCAGATTATCCGGAGCTTTGGGCTGGGCTGTCACCAATATGCTGATGACACTCAGCTCTATCTGCTGATGGATGGCCACACCGTCTCGGCCACACCGACACACTGACCAGATGCTTGGAAGCTGTGGCTGGATGGTTTTGTGGGAGCCGATTGAAACTAAATTCTTCGAAGACAGAGGTCCTATGGCTGGGTCGGGATGACATGGGGATGAGGGACCAACTCCCTTCTCTTGTGGGGGCCCAATTAGTGCCATTGCCTTCCGTTAAGAGTTTGGGTGTAATCCTTGACGCCTCCCTTTCCAGGGAGGCGCAGGTTACAGCAACAGCCAAGGTGACATTTTTCCACCTTCGCCGCATCAAGCAGTTGGTCCCTTACCTTTCCCGCCCTGACCTGGCCACAGTGATCCATGCGACAGTCATCTCCAGGCTTCACTACTGTAATTCGCTCTACACGGGGCTGCCCTTGAAACTGTCCCAGAAACTCCAGCGGGTGCAGAATGCTGCAGCGAGGCTCCTCATGGGGTCTCTGCCATGGGAACATATTCATCCAGTGCTTTTCAAGCTGCACTGGCTCCCGGTGGAGTACAGGGTCAGATTTAAGGTGCTGCTTTTGACCTTTAAAGCCCTTCACGGCCTTGGACCCTCGTACCTATGGGACCGCCTCTCCCGGTATGCCCCATGGAGAGCCTCAAGGTCCATAAATGGCAACACCCTAGTGGTCCTGGGCCCTAAGGAAGTTAGATTGGCTTCAACCAGAGCCAGGGTCTTTTCAACTCTGGCTCCGGCCTGGTGGAATGCTCTGCCTCATTAGACCAGGGCCCTGCAGGATCTGATATATTTCCGCAGGGCCTGTAAGACAGAGTTGTTCCGCCTGGTCTTTGGCTTGGTGCCAATTTGATTCCCTCCCTCTCTTTTTTCTTTCCTTCTCCTCCTGCGAGGAGGCTACATTTTAATATTTTAATGTTTCAATATTTTAATGTTGTATTTTAATTTTGTTTTTAAGTTGTAATCATTCAACTTGTTTTTATTATTGCTTGTAAGCCGCTCGGAGCCCGGCCTTGGCTGGGGAGGGCGGGGTATAAAAAATTATTATTATTATTATTATTATTATTATTATTATTAGCTGCCCTGTGATCTTTGGAGGAAGGGCAGTATAGAAATTTAAAGAACAGCAGTAAAAATAGGAACCCCTCTTGCGTTCAAGGGGAGGGGTTGGGACAAAGTCTCTGACCAGCATGCATAGCAGGATGCGCTTAGGAGGGAATAATAATAATAATAATAATAATAATAATAATAATATAAATAAATAAAAACTGTGTTGCCTCAGCCACTCTGGGCGGCTTCCAACAAAAACACCAAAAAATTTAAAACATCGAAAACTTCCCTATATAGGGCTGACATCAGAAGACTTCCATTTTGTAGAAATGGCCTTTGAATTTAAAGAAATGCCCTCTTTAAGGAACCAGGTGGTGTAAACGTGTATGTTGTCCTCTAGGTCCAAACACATAGTAAGAGTTGGAATTCACTTTCTCTCCTAAATCCTTTATACTTGTAGTATTCTCATCAATTTTTACTGAGAACTCGGCTATTCGCCTATTTGTTTCTGCCCCCTGTTTCATTAAGAATTCCAAAGATTCATTTATTTTGCAAAGTGCTTGTGCCACTGGATCAGAAGACATAACTTTTGGTTTTGTTTGCACAGCTGCAGTTGCTCCTGTACTTCCTGCGCCACCAGTTACTGAGACCCTTCGCTGTTGTGGAATATCAGTCTTGTATTGTCTACCAGACCTGGTGGTTTTTTCCATAACACTCTCATGCAGCCAAGGTCACCTACAAACTTGTTTTGAAAGGGAAATTTCCAGTGGCTTTGCAGTTCTTACAATTGTAACAAAGTCTCCTCTAGGGGGAGAAACTTTCCGGTTTCACTTCACAGATAAACAAAATATCTCCTTAAAATGTCCCAGAAAATGCCACAGTTTCAATTTCTTTCAAAAGTTATTTTATGCATGAAACAGTCCAGCAACTTTATATCCTTTAGCAGAGTGATTTCAAATGTCCCTTCAAAAGATTTGACACATTGACAGTCTCTAGCCGGCTTCCCCTGTCAAGGCAGTCCGTCCCAGGGTTTAAGGCAGCAGATGTAATTTTACTCTCCCTTTTCTAGCAGGTAAATAGGGCAAAGTATCCTCTCCCTCTGCTCCTGCTGGCAAGAGGGGGTTCTCACTTTGACGTTAGATTTACTTAGTCCCACTGTAAAACAGCTCTTTATATTACAGCTTGACAGTCTCTTTGTTTTTCTCTGTAGTCCGGAAAGGCAGACTTCCCTTTTATACCTTTCCCGTCTCAGTTCCCAATTCTTTTAAATTATTTTTAAGTCCAATAGGGTCTTTTAATCCTACTCACGGGTAGTTGCTTTTGAATCCAATTTTCAGAGAAGAATCAGCGCTCTCCGTCAATGGCGATGCGGCTTCGCTCCGCGGACTGGGTGACGACTCTCAGTACCGCACCACTCACCCGCTGCCACTCGGAAGCCTTTAAAAAGGCTTCTTCCTGGCTTCGGGGGGGCGCCAAGGGTACCCGCCGAGTCTCCTTGTTCCCAGGCTTCACCGCCTGCGATTTTTGAGGGCCCCTGCTTCGCCGTAGCAGCAGGACTCGAACCCGCGAAGCAGACTCCCTCCGGAGCTCGGAGGGATGTCCGCCATTAAACGCTGGCGCTTCCTTCTTCTCCATGCAAGGGCCACCCATGTATTCAGAGCAGTCCTTTGCAGATTAACTCTTAAGTTCCATGGGATCTACTCTCGGGCCACTAATGTGCATACCATGCCAGCCTTAGGAAGGGAGGTGGGACAGGCAGGTGAAAGGAATTGCCAAAGGTGTTTTAAAAGGGGTGGAGGATATTGGGAAGAGGGTGCCCAGTTGGTGCTTCTCCAGGGGCAGCAGAATGTCTTGGGCAGGAGAATCCCTGCAGGGGCTCTGAGACTCCCTTGGCTTCTTCTTCCCTCCCTCCCAGGAAGCTGCAACTGGCTCTGGATTCTGCGCTCCTCAGGAAGCTGAAGCTGCAAACCTAGCTGAGACTGAACCTGCAACCCTGGCCAGGATGGAAGGAGGAAGATGGACGGTTCACCTGGTCAGGCTGTCTCCCTCATCCCTCCCCACAACCTCTGAGCATTCCCTCCCAGGACCCTTGGAGAAATCTGGTGAGTTCCAGGGGAGAGGAGATGGGGACAGGGATAGATGGATGGTGGAGGGAGAAAGAGGAAAAGATGGAGAGGAGACAAATGGAAGGAGGTTCCTGAACGTAAGAAGGAAGGGGTGAGGCCTTCTCCAAAGCAGCTCTTTGTTTCTTTAATCCCTTTCATAAAGTACAGTGGTATCTCGGGTTACATACGCTTCAGATTACAGACTCCGCTAACCCAGAAATAGTACCTCTGGTTAAGAACTTTGCTTCAGGATGAGAACAAAAAACGTGCGGCAGTAGCAGGAGGCTGCATTAGCTAAAGTGGTGCTTCAGGTTAAGAACAGTTTCATGTTAAGAACAGACCTCCGGAACGAATTAAGTACTTAACCTGAGGTACCCCTGTAGTGGGGACAGATTTTCTTCCTCCAGGGTTTTAAATCTTAGGAGTTACAGTGGTACCTTGGTTCTCAAACATAATAGGTTCCGGAAGTGTTCCAAAACCAAAGCGTTTCAAAACCAAGGCATGCTTTCCCATAGAAAGTAATGCAAAATGCCAAGTGGCCAAAATATTGGGAGATCTTGGAGCAAGAAGGAGATAAATTGAAATTGCAGAGTTTTGAGAAATTAAAAGATAGAATGCGAGATTGGCTTCATTATTATCAAATAAGAGAGGTATATAATTTGGACAAAAAAATTGGCTTCCAGGAGGAAAAATCAAAGTTGGAAACAGAATTGCTAGATCCCAATACAAAGATACTTTCAAGAATGTATAACTTGCTGTTAAAATGGAACACTCAAGATGAAACGGTTAAATCTGCCATGATTAAATGGGCACAGGATGTTGGACATAACATTATGTTTGCTGACTGGGAACAGTTGTAGACCACAGGTATGAAATTTACGGCATGTAATGCCTTAAGAGAGAATATTATGAAAATGATATACAGGTGGTACATAACACCAGTCAAGCTTGCAAAAATCTATCACTTGCCCGATAATAAATGCTGGAAATGTAAAGAAACTGAAGGTACATTCTTTCACCTTTGGTGGACGTGCCCAAAGATTAAGGCTTTCTGGGAGATGATCTATAATGAAATGAAAAAGGTATTTAAATATACCTTTCTGAAGAAACCAGAGGCCTTTCTCCTGGGCATAGTCGGCCAATTGGTACCAAAGAAGGATAGAACCTTTTTTATGTATGCAACAACAGCAGCAAGAATACTGATTGCAAAGTATTGGAAGACACAGGATTTACCCACACTGGAAGAATGGCAGATGAAAGTGATGGACTACATGGAATTGGCAGAAATGACTGGCAGAATCCGTGACCAGGGAGAAGAGTTGGTGGAAGAAGATTGGAAGAAATTTAAAGACTACTTGCAGAAATACTGTAAAATTAAGGAATGTTAAAATGATGTCGGATGGAAAATAAGTGGTATTGGTAAAAAGATTATCAAGAATATGTAAATATGGATTGATAGTGGTTATAAACATATGGTTATAATAGGTTAAGATATTGAGTAAAGATAAATGACAGAGGGTAAGGATTTGCTGAATTAAATATCTGAACTGGAATACAAAAAGGGAGGCGTGAGGAGGTCAGGAAACTAGTAAATGAAGTATAAGATATGAAATTATTGATTTTTTTTCTTTTATTTTTTTCCTTTTTGTTAACTGTTTTCTATTTTGTATTTTTCATGTGTTCTGTTTTTGTATTTTTGTAGGTTTTTTTTCTTTTTTAAGGTTATTCTTTGTTCTTATTTGTTAAGTCTAAACTTTGAAACTTTTTAATGTTTTTACAATCTCAATAAATATTTTTTTTTTTTTTTTAAAGAAAGTAATGCAAAATGGATTACCGTATTTTCTGTCCCATAGGACGCACCTAGTTTTTTTGGGGGGAAATAAAGGAAATTTTTTCCCCTTTATTTCCCCCCCAAAAGCAGGTCGGGGAAACCGAACCAGGTCCAGGAACAGCGGGATGGCGGCGCTGCGCCTCCCTGCTGTCCCCCGAGCTTGTGGGGCTGGCCGATGTCTGTCCGGCGTGAGGGGCGCTCTGCTTTAGGGCGCCGGACGCTCTGGGAAGCAGGCTGCTATTCGCAGCCTAGACATACCTGCGGGACCTCCTGCAGGGCTGCCTAGGCTGCGAATGTGTTCCCGAAGCGCCGGGCGCTCTGCTTTCAGGGCGCCCGACGCTCCGGTAAGCAGGCTGCTATCCGCAGACTAGACATCCCTGCGGACCTCCCGCAGGGCTGCCTAGGCTGCGGATGTCTTCCTGAAGCCTAGAGAGCGAGAGGGGTCGGTGCGCCCCGACCCCTCTCGCTCTCCAAGCTTCAGCGAAAGCATCCATTCGCCCCATAGGACGCACCCAGATTTCCCCTTCATTTTTGGAGGGGAAAAAGTGCGTCCTATAGGGCAAAAAATACGGTAATGCGTTCCAGACTTTTAAAAATAACCCCTAAAACAGCAATTTAACATGAATTTTACTATCTAACAAGACCATTGATCCATAAAATGAAAGCAGTAATCAATGTTCTGTACCATAAAATAAAGAAGACAGTATTGTTGATGATAAAAATTACCGTATTTTTCGCTCTATAACACGCACCCGACCATAACACGCACATAGTTTTTTGAGGAGGAAAAAAATATTCTAAACAAAACAATGGATGTATGATTTTTGTGGTTCATGCTGTGGGCACAGACATGTGATCTGACGGTGAGTTTGGGGTAGCCCAATGCAAAAATCCTGAGGATCCATGTGGATCCATGCTTTGTAAGCATGTTTTTGCACCTCTGCAGGGGCTCTTCTCCCGCTTTGCTGTTTCAAAGCAAGCCACGGAGGAGGGAAGGAAGGGGAACCATGGATCCTCTGCTCACGACTGCAGCAGATACCCCGCCATCTGTAGGCATTCGCTCCTTAACACGCACAGACATTTCCCCTTACTTTCTAGGAGGAAAAAAGTGAGTGTTATGATGCAAAAAATACGGTAAAATTAAAAAAAGAAGCCACAATCAAAAATGAAAAAGCCACACAAACAAAAATGCAAAAAATAGGAAAAAACTAAAGCACCAAATGTCACCTCAGAACACTGCAACCAGAAATGGCTTGAATATTGATGGGGTGGGGGCTTAAATCAGCTGTGCAAGGGAACAAATGGGATGAAAAAAGCTTTAATTACAATGGGAGGGGGGACTTAAATTAGCTGCTCAAGGATACAACTGGGATGTAAAAAAACCTTAATTACGATGGGGGGGGGGGACTTAAATTTGCTGTGCAACAGTAAAAATGGAAGCCCAGGAGCACGTTCTGTTTCCGAGGAAAAGTTCAAAAACAGGAGCCCCTATTTCTGGGTTTGCAAATGATGAATCAACAGAAGCATAGTCAATCTATGGACTTCCCTTTTTTTGAAATATTTTTATTGGTTTTTACAACTGCAAGTTTATATCAAATACATTTATATAATCAATTCCTGAGATTCTCTGAATCACATGACTTCGCTCCATCCCTTTCATGGGTCCTGATAGTACCGTATTTGTTGCTCCATCAGGCGCACCGGACCATAAGACGCACCTAGTTTTCAGAGGAGGAAAACAGGGGGAAAATATTCTGAATCAAATGTTGTACTAAACTATTTAATAAACTACTGGTATATCAGAGTGAGACTAAGAGGGACAGGAGCTGTATGTTTGTTTAGTGTGCAGGCTCAAGGAGCCAGCGGATCAGCTGAGACGCGGGGGATTTGCGTAATTTCCCCCTCTCCCTCATCCTCTGCCCTCCAGTCTCCAGCAGCCTTCCTTTTTTACTTCCTGGTTTTCACTGCGCTGGTGGCTCAGAGCTCGAGGTTGGTTGTTTTTTTTTTGCTGCTGGTTGCTTAAATTTTATCCTTCCCGATCTTTCCCCTCCTGTGTCCTGCCGTCCCTCTGCAGCCTCATTGCTCCGTTTAGGGAGCAGGCGAACCTTCTGCAGCTGTTGCTGGCTGCGCACCACTTTTAAAAGTGCCTGCTGGCTTTGAATCACCTGTCTCCCTTTACTATTTTACCTAAGGTATTTGCCCTGTGCCTGGGTTTTTTTTCCATTTAACAGTTTGCAGCCTTTTCCTTCCGTTGCTTGTTTTGAGGCAGGATAGATTTGAGCAAGTGATCAGGAATTGGATTGCAGGGGATTCGCCATTAGCTGTGTAAAAGCGCTCCTGCTTGAAGCCTTCTACGTTGTTTGTACACATGGCTACTGGTATCAGGTTCAGTTTGAGTAATAAGCAGCCCCTGGCAGCAATAGAATGGAGCATAAAAAAGAAGTAGGGGCACTGGGACCCAGACAATGCTCAAATCTATCCTGCCTCAAAACAAGCTGTAGAAGTAAAAAGCCCGCTCCCGCTCCCCTGCCCCTCATCCTGTGCCCTCCCCAGCCTTTTTTTTCCTTCCTGGTTTTCACTGCGCTCGTTGGCAAGGTGATGTCTCTACTTTTTCATTATATACCATTTCCCAAAATGATACTGTTATCTTACATGACCACCACATATAGCAAAAGGTACCCACTTCTTTACATTTCCAGCAGATATTTGAACTTACTCTATATGTTTTAGATAACTTACTAGGAGTCAAATACCACCAGTACATCATTTTCATGTAGTTTTCTTTCAATGTACAGCAAGCTGTGAATTTCAGATCTGTTTTCCAAAGCCTCTCCCAATCTGCCATTTGTATGTTATATCCTAAGTCCCTTTCCCATTTCGTCATAACTGATTTGACCTGTTCATCCTTTGTATACCGTTCTAGGAGCAAGTTATACATTTTAGACAGAACTTTTTATGTTACTTCCTAAGAGTTCTTTTTAAAATTGTGATGTCTCATAACTAAAACCTTTCTATTTGTCTATCTTAAAGATAGTGTTTAGTTGATGGTACTGTAACCAGTCAGTTACAGCTTCCCTTATCTCTTCAAAATCTTTTAATTCCAGTTGGTTTTCAACTTCAGTTAACAGCTCTGTATAAGTCGGCCAGTTACTTCTCATATTCAATTTTTTTCAGAGATATTGCTTCCAAGGGGGAAAGCCACCAGGGTGTTTTTTACTCAAGCAATTTTTTTTAAATAGATATTTATTGAAGTTTCAGAAATTATATACAAAAGAAAAACAAACAAAACACAGACAAAAAAGAACAAGTATAATTTCAATTCCTTATTTTCTTATGCCTTACTTCGCTGACCTCCTCCTACCTCCCCTTTCTGTATTCCAATTTCAAAATATTTATTCAGCAAGTCCTCTCCCTTAATTTCATTTAGATTTACCATTCTTTTCTTTTAACTTAGACATTACTACTATAAATCACTTAGCTCCTAAACCATCATCATTCTAACATTTATTAACCCTTTCTTCAGTTTATTTTTGATAACCTTATTTTCATTTAGTTTAGTTCATTTAAAAAAAGAGAAATCCAGTTTTATCTTATCCATACTTAATCATCGAGCTTATACCTCAGTTCATATTCTTAAAACATTTTTTCTAAGGTCGACCAAGATTCCCTTCCACGAATTTCCCAGTTTACATAGCAATAATAAAAAAATAAAAACAACAAAATAAATTGTAATTATGAACCCTTTGGATTCCCAAACTCCACCCCCCCTTCCCGGTTTCAGTCCCCAAAAGTATCCATCAGTCTTAATCTACTATCAGCCTGGAGATCTCACGTCCGAGGCACTTACCGTAATTGTCTTTCAGTTCCTCTCTGCCGGTCTTTTTGATAGACCTTGATATTAAACACCAAATCTTGGAGAGGCTCCGGCCCAACAGGATCCATGTTTTTTCCAGCTAGGCCTCCATACTTAAAAGTAGAGCCCATGGGGTGTTCCATTTCTTGTTTCTTGCTCCTTTCCAGTCCAAAAATCCCCAAAGCTCTAACCTCCACCTTAATCACATTTGTAATCCTTAGGTCTTCTGATCTCCACATAAGAAGATCTCTCCATTTCTCAATCTCCAATTCAGGCCAAGCTTTCCACATCAAATTTTTATTTTCCTTCATTGCCATCATGTCAGGCCTCAAAGTAGAATTCTCTTTTAGCATCTGCACACCGACTCCTCCTTCCTTTTCTTCAAGGGCAACATATGTCTCCTTATCCATATTCTCAAAACTCTCAGATGTCTCTATTTGTCCAGTTAAATGGGCTCCTTGTTTCCAATCCTTATCCAATCCAAGAATGTTATTTACTGTTAAATCCAGAGTTGAAACATTAGAGTCCAGAGTTGAAACATTTGTAGCCATAACATCAAATTGACCTTGTAACTTTCCTAAGAGAACAAATGCTCTATCCAATTCATCCTGGATTTTCCCACCTCCAGACATTTCTGTAATGTCACCAAGTCCCTCTAGGGGGATTTTAGTTCCTTAATATTCTTTTCAGCTCGAGTCCAGAAATCCAGTTATTTTGTAACAGCAATTCCTTATTGTCAACAAATTGTAACAGATTGTAACCAATGTAACCGGCAGAAACAACAATAACAGTGTTCTCTTTTTCCGTCTTGACAGCCGACTTGACAGCTGTCAAGCTCTTCAATACTTCATCATCAGGCTCTCGGGGCGGTCCCGGGTCCGGGGGGGATAGAACTTCAGCTCTCAAAATCAGTTCTTAATCCTCCAGTAAAGATTTTGTAATATCAAACCGTGAAATTAAAGTCTTTTACAAGAGAAAAGAGAAAATTTCTTACGACCTTAGGTAGCAGGTCCTTTGCTTTATGATGTTTACAAAGGGGGGGCGGACTTCCTTTTTAACCCTTCCCCGCTCGTTCCTAATTCAAAGAAATTCTTCCTTTAGAGCCCAAATTTCCATGTTACTCACGGGTTGTTACTTTGAAATCCGATTATTCAAAAGAAGAAGTCAGCGCTCTCCGACAATGGCTTGCGGCTTCACTCCACAGAAGAAGAGGAAGTACTCTCAGCACCGCACCGCACCCCGACCCCGTTCCAGAGCCTTTAAAAAGGCTCCTTCGCAGATCGGGGGGCGCAAATGGTGCCCGCCGAGTCACCACGTTCACAGGCTTCTCCACCTGTGATTTTTTAGGGTCCCCGCTTCGCCGCAGCAGCAAGACCCGATCCTGCAGAGCCGATTCCCTCCAGAGCTCGGAGGGAATCCGCCATTAGTCCCCTACTCAAGCAAATTTTTATACTTCTCCCATACCCTACAAATTTATTTTCTTATTATATGAGTCTGAAAAGCTCTATGCACCTTGGCCTTTTCCTACCATAAATATGCATTCTATCCATTATTTGTGTCCTTCCAGATCTAAAATACAGTATCTGTGTTTTCCAATGTAGTCCATTCCTGGTTCTAGCAGATACAGGCTGTTTCATAATAAAGTTTCAAACCCGGCAGGGCAAAACCTCCTCTCTCTCTTACATCTGTTAATAATTTATTTTTAATCCTTGATTTTGTCACTTGGATAGCTTGAAAAAGAGGATTAGACTGATGTCTGTGCTCTGCCCTCATGGTCCTAGGCAATAATGCTTCTTGATACTAGTTCCTGGAAAGCAAGGGAAGGCAGAGGGCTCTTGTACTCAAATCCTGCTTGCTGATTTCCCACAGGCATTTACCGTATTTTTCGCTCTATAGGACGCACTTTTTCCCCTTCAAAAATGAAGGGGAAATGTGTGTGCGTCCTATGGAGCAAAGACGCCATAGCCCAGCGACCCTCTCCCGGCTGGAGAGGTAACGCGGGGCTATGGCAGGAGCCTCTATAGCCGCGTGTCACCTCTCCAGCCGGGAGAGCGCGCGCAGGGCTAAAGCAGCCCCCCGCGACCCTCTCCCGGCCGGAGAGGTGACGCGCGCCTATGGCAGGAGCCTCCATAGCCGAGCATCACCTCTCCAGCCGGGAGAGCGCGCACGGGGCTAAAGCAGCCCCCTGCGACCCTCTCCCGGCTGGAGAGGTGACGCGCGCTATGGCAGGAGCCTCCATAGGCCCGCGTCACCTCTCCAGCCGGGAGAGCGCGCACGGGGCTAAAGCAGCCCCGCGACCCTCTCCCGGCTGGAGAGGTGACGCGCGCCATGGCAGGAGCCTCCATAGCCGAGCGTCACCTCTCCAGCCGGGAGAGCGAGCACGGGGCTAAAGCAGCCCCCCCACGACCCTCTCCCGGCTGGAGAGGTGATGCACACCTATGGCAGGAGCCTCCATAGGCGCGCGTCACCTCTCCAGCCGGTAGAGCACGCGTGGGGCTAAAGCAGCCATAGCCCCGCGACTCTCTCCCAGCTGGAGAAGTGACGTGTGACTATGGCAGCAGCCTCTCTGCTGCGCCTTTACCCTGCTCCCTGACCTGCTCTTTGGGGCTGGTGGTGGGCGTCCCCCCGCCAGCCCCAAAGAGCAGGTCGAAAGGAACCTGTAGCCTGGAGAGCGAGAGGGGTCGGTGCGCACCGACCCTTCTCGCTCTCCAGGCTTCCAAGGTAGCTGCCTGAACGCACCTTAAACGGCACCTTGTTTTAGAGCGGGAAAACAAGAGGGGGAAAGTTCTCCCACTCTCTGCGCAGCGCCTCCTGCCGCTTCACTGAAGGGGCGCTGGGCAGAGAGCGGAAAATTTTTTTTCCCTTGTTCTCCCCCCTCTAAAACAAGGTGCGTCATATTGTCCGGTGCGTCCTATGGTGCGAAAAATACGGTAGTTGGCCACTGTGAGAAGAGGATGCTGGACTAGGTCGTCCTTTGCCCAATCGAGCAGGCTCTTCTTATGTTCTGATATAGGCATCCCCTAACTTGGCTCTCCAGATGTTTTGGGACTACAACGTCCATCATCCCTGGCTAACAGGACCAATGGGAATTGTAGTCCCAAAACATCTGGAGGGCCAAGTTTGGGGATGCCTGTTCTAAGATATTGCAATATTTTTACAGTTACTTGTGGCACAGTAACACGAAAGTTTGACTTCTTAATCATAGGGGAGACTGCTACTTGAGCCTGTGATCCTTTCCTCCCTGGACAAAGAGAAATACAGAGATGTGTCTAAGAAGCCAATTCCACCACAGATTATAAAATAATGCAGTTTATTAAGTGTGAATGGAGTGATCATGTGTTTTTCTTGCCATTATCTCACCTGAATTCCTAAAAGTTTGGAACATAGAGAGGACAGTGGAGAAAGGAGACAGTGTTAAAATAAGAGAAGGTGCATACTGGGACTGACATGTGTTCACTTCCTTTCTTGTCTTTCTTGAAAGTCTTAACAGGATTCTCTTCCCCCTCCCCCACTCTCAAACAGGTGAGGAAGATGTTGGCCAGAATTCTATGGAGCCATCTGTGAATTCATTGGGAAGAACAAAGAAACAGTTTAAATGCCTGGAATGTGGGATGTGCTTTAGTCACAGTGGAAGACTGAGGACACATCAACGAATTCACATAGAGGAGAAACCATTTAAATGTACTGACTATCGAAAGAGCTTCAGGGAAAATGGAACTCTTAGAAAACATCAACGAACTCACACAGTGGATAAACCATTTGAATGTATTGAATGTGCAAAGTGCTTCAGTCGAAATGGAAAGCTTAGAATACACCAACGAACTCACACGGGGGAGAAACCATTTCAATGTATTGAGTGTGGAAAGAGCTTCAGTGAAAGTAGAGCACTAAGAAAACATCAACGAACTCACACGGGGGAGAAACCATTTAAATGTCTAGAATGTGGAAAGAGCTTCAGTAGAAGTGAACACCTTAGAATACACCAACGAACTCACACGGGGGAGAAACCATTTGAATGTATTGAATGTGGAAAGCGCTTCAGTGTAATTGGAAACCTTAGAAATCATCAACGAACTCACACGGGGGAGAAACCATTTAAATGTATTGAATGTGGAAATAGCTTTAGTAGAAATGAACACCTTAGAATACACGAAGGAACTCACACGGGGGAGAAACCATTTAAATGTATTGAATGTGGAAAGTGCTTCAGTCAAAATGGAACACTTAGATTGCACCAACGAACTCACACGGGGGAGAAACCATTTGAATGTATTGAATGTGGAAAGAGCTTCAGTGGAAGTGGAGACCTTAGAAGACATCAACGAACTCACACGGGGGAGAAACCATTTAAATGTATTGAATGTGGAAATAGCTTTAGTAGAAATGAACACCTTAGAATACACGAAGGAACTCACATGGGGGAGAAACCATTTAAATGTATTGAATGTGGAAAGTGCTTCAGTCAAAATGGAACACTTAGATTGCACCAACGAACTCACACGGGGGAGAAACCATTTAAATGTATTGAATGTGGAAAGAGCTTCAGTCGATATGGAAGCCTTAGAAGACACCAACGAACTCACATGGGGGAGAAACCATTTGAATGTATTGAATGTGGAAAGGGCTTCAGTGGAAGTGGAGACCTTAGAAGACATCAACGAACTCACACGGGGGAGAAACCATTTAAATGTATTGAATGTGGAAAGCGCTTTAGTCAATATGTACACCTTAGAAAACATCAACGAACTCACACGGGGGAGAAACCATTTAAATGTATTGAATGTGGAAAGTGCTTCAGTCAAAATGGAAGACTTAGATTGCACCAACGAACTCACACGGGGGAGAAACCATTTGAATGTATTGAATGTGGAAAGCGCTTTAGTCAATATGTACACCTTAGAAAACATCAACGAACTCACACGGGGGAGAAACCATTTAAATGTATTGAATGTGGAAAGTGCTTCAGTCAAAATGGAACACTTAGATTGCACCAACGAACTCACACGGGGGAGAAACCATTTAAATGTATTGAATGTGGAAAGTGCTTCTGTCAAAATGGAACACTTAGATTACACCAATGAACTCACACTGGGGAGAAACCATTTAAATGTATTGAATGTTGAAAGAGATTCAGTCGATATGGACACCTTAAAAGACACCAACGAACTCACATGGGGGAGAAACCATTTGAATGTATTGAATGTGGAAAGAGCTTCAGTGGAAGTGGAGACCTTAGAAGACATCAACGAACTCACACGGGGGAGAAACCATTTAAATGTATTGAATGTGGAAATAGCTTTAGTAGAAGTGAACACCTTAGAATACACGAAGGAACTCACACGGGGGAGAAACCATTTAAATGTATTGAATGTGGAAAGTGCTTCAGTCAAAATGGAACACTTAGATTGCACCAACGAACTCACACGGGGGAGAAACCATTTGAATGTATTGAATGTGGAAAGCGCTTTAGTCAATATGTACACCTTAGAAAACATCAACGAACTCACACGGGGGAGAAACCATTTAAATGTATTGAATGTGGAAAGTGCTTCAGTCAAAATGGAACACTTAGATTGCACCAACGAACTCACACGGGGGAGAAACCATTTAAATGTATTGAATGTGGAAAGTGCTTCTGTCAAAATGGAACACTTCGATTACACCAATGAACTCACACTTGGGAGAAACCATTTAAATGTATTGAATGTGGAAAGAGCTTCAGTCGATATGGAAACCTTAGAAGACACCAACGAACTCACATGGGGGAGAAACCATTTAAATGTATAGAATGTGGAAAGAGCTTCAGTCGAAATGGAACACTTAGAATACACCAACAAACTCACACGGGGGAGAAACCATTTAAATGTATTAAATGTGGAAAAAGCTTCAGTCAAAATGGAAACCTTAGAATACACGAAGGAACTCACACGGGGGAGAAACCATTTAAATGTATTGAATGTGGAAAGAGCTTCAATGATAGTGGAAACCTTAGACAACATCAACAAACTCACACGGGGGAGACACCATTTAAATGTATTGAATGTGGAAAGTGCTTCAGTCAAAATGGAACACTTAGAAGACATCAACGAACTCACACAGGGGAGAAACCATTTGAATGTATTGAATGTGGAAAGAGCTTCAATGATAGTGGAAACCTTAGACAACATCAACAAACTCACACGGGGGAGACACCATTTAAATGTATTGAATGTGGAAAGTGCTTCAGTCAAAATGGAACACTTAGAAGACATCAACGAACTCACACAGGGGAGAAACCATTTGAATGTATTGAATGTGGAAAGAGCTTCAATGATAGTGGAAACCTTAGACAACATCAACAAACTCACACGGGGAGACACCATTTAAATGTATTGAATGTGGAAAGTGCTTCAGTCAAAATGGAAAACTTAGAAGACATCAACGAACTCACACGGGGGAGAAACCATTTAAATGTATTGAAAGGGGGAAGAGCTTCAGTCAAAATGGAACACTTAGAATACACCAACGAACTCACATAGGGGAGACACCATTTGAATGTATTGAATGTGGAAAGAGCTTCAGTCGAAATGGAACACTTAGAATACACCAACGAACTCACACAGGGGAGAAACCATTTAAATGTATTGAAAGGGGGAAGAGCTTCAGTCAAAATGGAACACTTAGAATACACCAACGAACTCACACGGGGGAGAAACCATTTGAATGTATTGAATGTGGAAAACGTTTTAGTCAATATGTACACCTTAGAAAACATCAACGAACTCACACGGGGGAGAAACCATTTAAATGTATTGAATGTGGAAATAGCTTTAGTAGAAGTGAACACCTTAGAATACACGAAGGAACTCACATGGGGGAGAAACCATTTAAATGTATTGAATGTGGAAAGTGCTTCTGTCAAAATGGAACACTTAGATTACACCAATGAACTCACACTGGGGAGAAACCATTTAAATGTATTGAATGTGGAAAGAGCTTCAGTCGATATGGACACCTTAAAAGACACCAACGAACTCACATGGGGGAGAAACCATTTAAATGGATAGAATGTGGAAAGAGCTTCAGTCGAAATGGAACACTTAGAATACACCAACAAACTCACACGGGGGGAGAAACCATTTAAATGTATTGAATGTGGAAGGAGCTTCAGTCAAAATGGACACTTTAGGAAACATCAACGAACTCACACCGGAGAAGCCATTTAAATGTACTGAATGTGGAAAGAATGTGGAAAGAGCTTCAGTCCATATCGACAACTTATAAGACACCAACTAACACATGGGGAAGAAACCATTTTAATGTATGGCATGTGGAAGGAGCTGCAGCAAAAGTAGAGCACTTAGAATACACCAACTAACTCATACAGGGAGAAACCATTGGAATGTATTGAATGTGGGAAGAGCTTCAACAGGAAGGATAAACTTACATTACATTGGCGAACTCCCACAGTGGAGAAGCTTAAGTCAATATGGAACCTTAGGAAACATCCGCTGACTCACATGGGGAAAGCCAGATTTATGAAACGTGGAAAGAGCTTCAGAGGGAGTGAAGACCTTACTATCCATAAGAAAATTCACACAGGCGGGAAACCATATAAATGTATGGAGTTTTCCACTCAGGTTTTACCAGATTTCCTGGGAAGTGAAGATTACTGTCAAGTCTTTGGATGTACAGAAAAGAATTTGGCAGTGTTTGTTTTCAATAATAATAATAGCAACAGCAACAATAATAACAATAATTTATGCCACACCCATCTGGCTGGCTTTCCCCTGCGGCAGAGCCACTCTTGGTGGCTTCCAACAAAATATTGAAATACAATAGTCCTTCAGATATTAAAAGCTTCCCTAAACAGGGCAGCCTTCAGATGTCTTTTAAAGCCTGGTGGCTGTTTTTTCCTTTGACATCTGGTGGGAGGGTATTCCACAGGGAGGGCACCACTACCGAGAAGGCCTTCTGCATGGTTCCCTGTAACTTCACTTCTCGCAGTGAGGCAACCGCCAGAAGGCTCTTGGTACTGGACCTCCATGTCCAGGCAGAACGATGGGGGTGGAGACTCTCCTCCTGTCACCAGTCTAGCCGCCGCATTCTGGATTAGTTGCAGTTTCGGGACCACTTACACAGGTAGCCCCACGTAGAGCGCATTGCAGTAGTCCAAACAGGAGATAACTGGAGCATACACTACTCTGGCAATACAGTCTAAGGGCAGATAGGGTCTTAGCCTGCGTACCAGATTGAGCTGGTAAACAGCTGCCCTGGACACAGAATTGACCTGCGCTTCCATTGACAGCTGCAAATCCAAAATGACCGCCAGGCTGTGCACCTGGTCCTTTAGGGGCACAGTTACCCCATTCAGGACCAGGGAGTTCTCCACACCTGCCTGCCTCCTGTCTCCCAAAAAGGACATCTACCTTGTCAGCATTCAACTTTAATATGTTAGCTGCCATCCATCCTCCAACCACCTCCAGACACTCACACAGGACCTTCATCATCTTCACTGGTTCTGATTTGAAAGAGAGGTAGAGCTGGGTATCCGCATACTGATGAACATCCAGCCCAAACCCCCTGATCTCTCCCAGCGGCTTCATGTAGAAATCTGAAAAGCATGGGGAGAGGACGGAACCCTGAGGCACCCCACAAGTGAGAGCTCAGGGGTCTGAACACTCATCCCCCAACACCACTTTCTGAACAAGCCCCAGTGTATAACAGTTCCTCCAGCTCCCAGCCCCTCTAGTTGATCCAGAAGGATGTTATGGCCAATGGTGTCAAAAGCCTCTGAAAGATCCAGCAGATCTAGGAAATAGCTCTCACCTTTGTCCCTAGCCCGCCGGAAATTATCGTGTCCAGGTCAGTTTCAGTCCCATGATGAGGCCTGAATCCCAACTGGAAGGGATCCAAATGGTCCACATCTTCCAGGCGTCCCTGGAGTTGTTCAACAACCACCCACTCATGCACCTTGCCAAAGAATGGAAGATTTGAGACTGGGCGATAGTTGGCTGTATTGGCTGGGTCTAAAGATTTTTTTTTAAGCAGTTTAATACAGTGGTGCCTCGGATTACATACGCTTCAGGTTACAGACTTCGCTAACCCAGAAATATTACCTTGGGTTAAGAACTTTGCTTCAGGATGAGAACAGAAATTGTACAGCGGCAGCAGGAGGCCCGATTAGCTAAAGTGGTGCTTCAGGTTAAGAACAGTTTCACGTTAAGAACAGATCTCCAGAACGAATTAAGTTCTTAACCTGAGGTACCACTGTAACTGCCTCTTTCAGTGTGTCTGGGAAGGCTCCCTCACAGAGAGAAGCATTCACCACCCCATGGAGCCCATCGCCCAGCCCTTCCCGGCTAGATTTTATGAGCCAGGATGGGCAAGGATCAAGGAGACAGGTGGTTGGTTTCACTCATCTAAGCAGCCTGTCCACATCCTCGGACATAACAGATTGGAATTGATCCCACACAACTTTACTAGACAGGACTCTAGCACTCACCAGCCCCCGCCCTGCTCCCACGGGGGAGTCTACCTCTCTTAATCTGAGCGACTTTATTTGCAAAAACTTTGCAAAATCATTGCAGGAGATCATGTGGCCTGTACCGGGCACCATTGGAGAGATGGTTCCATTAAATTGCAAACCACCTGAAAGAGTCTCCTGCTGCTGTTTTCTGCAGATGCAATAGAGGGGGTGAAGAAGGTTTTCTTCACCTTCAGTATCGCCATTTGGTAGGCTCAACGTTGAGCTCTAACCCGTGTCCGGTCAGATTCAGAATGAGGTTTCTGCCACTGGCGCTCTACCCATCTCGTTGCCCTCAGATCCTTGGAAAACCATGGGATGGTTGCACTCCATGCAATCGGAGTGGGCTTTTTGGAGCCAGATACTCAATAGCTCTGGTTAACTCCACATTCCAACAGGCCACCAAGGAATCAGCTGAAAGGCCATCAACATGGGATAAAACATCCCCTGCCACTCTCTGGAAACCATTTGGATCCATTAAGTGGTGGTGGCGGACCATCCAAATCGAACCCACATCCCTGCAGAGGGGAAGGGTTGTGGAGAAGTCCAGTTGCACCAGGAAGTGATCTGAACATGGCACTTATTTAGTTTCGCTTTTACTTAGTGTCAGATCACCAACATCCATAGAGGAGAAAAACCAGGTCTAAGGCATTTCTGCGACTATAAGTTGGGCCAAACTTATTTAGGGACAGCCCATGGAGGCCATGCTTTCCACAAAGTCCCAATCGGCCCCTTGTAAGGTTGTGTCGGCGTGAATGTTAAAATCCCCCGGACAACCAAATTAGGTGTCTCCAGGAGAACATCTGCCACGACCTGAAGCAGCTTGGGCAGGGAATCCTTGGTGCAGCGGGGTGGTCGGTACACCAAAAGGAATCCTGTACTGCCCCTATTGTCCAACTTCAAGAACATTCACTCAGAGAACTGGGTCTTCCCAATAGGACGCCTGGTGCAAATTAATGACTTCCTACAAATCACTGCAAATCACACCCCTCCCCTGCCCACATGACTTGGGTTGCTGTGCGTAAGAGAAACCTGATGGACAAGCAGTGGCAAGGACAGGTCCACCTGCTTCATCCCACCAGGTCTCTGTTAAACATGCCAGGTCAAGTTCTCCATCCACAATCAAGTCATGGATGGCAGTGGTCATATGAATCATTGACCTGGCATTCCATAGCGGCACCTTCGGGTCATGTGGGTCTCCCTTGCTGATTCCAGTATCCATCCAAATGACACCAGACCCGGAGGCAGGGATAGTCCTCAAACTGAAATGGGGGGCCATGCTATTTGGTGACCCTCTTTTTTCTTTTTTAATTTATACTTCTACATCACACAAACAAGCATTGAATAAAACGAACAAACAATAGAAAACAGAAGAAAATGCAAAAACTAAATTACAAGGATCTAAACATAATATGCAATCAAAAATACAAAACATTATATTCTCTCCAAAAAAGGAAAAAGAACGAAAAACACCAAAAAAGAAAAAAGAAAGGGGGGGGAATGACTTCTAACTAACTCCATGTGGCTCTTTATTCTTCATATCACTGGTTGTCTGTAATGATTAATTTTTTGGAGAATTATTCTAATTACCTGTGAGATTTTTATCCTAAACTAAGCCAAGTATGAATCTGGAAATCGGTTCTCTTCGTATAATTTATAGAGACTTCCCACTCTCTCCTTATTTTCTTATTAGAATAACTTCTTATTAAACCTGTAACTCTGGCCAATTCAAGATATCCTGACAATTTAAGAACTCTTTCTTCTTTTGTTGGTGTTATGTTACTTTTCCAATTTTTAGCCATTACTATCCTGGCCGCCATTACTGCATACAAAAATATTATTTTGGTTTCTTTTGGGATGTCTGTTGTTAATAGGCCCAAAAAAACCTTTCTGGTTTTTTGGAGAAAGTATGTCTTAACATTTTATTTAATTCTTCATTAATGGTATCTCAAAATTATTTAATTTTAGGGCACGTCCACCACATATGGAAGACATTCACTTCTTTAAGTTTGCACCTCCAACACTTTCCACTGGTGTTTTGGTACATTTTAGCCAATTTCGAGGGTTTAAGATACCATCTGTACATCATTTTTTAAAAAAAAATATTTTATTGTATAACATGCTGTAAATCTTATGTCTCTTTTCCATAAGTTTCCCCAGTTTTCTAAATCAATTGAATGACCGATATCTTGTGCCCATTTGACCATGACATCTTTAAACTCTTTGTCTCTTAAGTGCCAATTTAATAATAGTTTATACATTTTGGATACATTTTTATCATCATTTATAATCAATTTTTTTGTCTATTATAGATAATTTTGTATCAAATCCATTTACATTATTGTCTTCCTCAAAAATTGCATTTAATTGATGGTATTGAAACCAGCCTATTTCCGTATGTCTTATTGTTTCAAATTTTTTCATTTGTAATCTATTATTTACTTCCTCTAAAAGATCTTTATACGTCAACCAATTTGAATCCATATTTTTTCTTTTTACTGCCTCTGCCTCCATTGGTGACAACCACCAGGGGGTTTTTGG